CCACAAACTCAATTAGAAACAAGCTTTGTCGGTTAAACGATCAATCCTGTGGAGCCTTTAAAACAAAACAATTTAGTTTATCTAATATACCCTGTCTGCAGTGATTGTCAGGTCAAATACATAGGTCAAACTGGTAGAACAGGGGCAGTTAGACTAGCCGAACATAAAAACCCAGTAGCAAAATCTAGATTGGTTGACCCGAATAAGATAGGAAATTTAGAGAATAGTTCAGCTATACCGCTCACTACATGCAATTGCACACAACCATACAATAGGATGGGTGGGATAGGATGACAGTTTTAAAATCTAATGTAATAGCAGGGTGGAGGCAGAGATAGACAACAGAAGCTTTGTGTTATCGAATCAACAGCAAGTACGTGTAATAGGAATCATTCAACACCTGTCCAATCGGATATCTGGGAAATTCTACTCCTCCATCGACGACAAATAGGAGAAGACAAAGAAAACTGTGAAACTCAAGTTTCGAAGTTGTGTGATTATAATTGATGAAATGATTATGAACCATATTTAATTGTGTTCGAAACTGTGTCATCCAGTAAATAATACTGTTTCACTGACTGTGTGATACATCAAATAAACAAACTAATATGGAATTACTTACTATCACAGTGCCCAAGTTTTACGCATATACTTATTACTTATGCATTTAACTTATCCTGGTAAAGAGGAAAGGTTGGGCATGAGGCTAGCAACCCCATCCTGTAAAAATTAAACACTGCTACAGAAACTTCAAGCCACTAGCTTGGAGCCCTATGTTCCACTGGGAACGTGAAGGAAAAATTATTATTATTATTAACTAATCCTACTTTTTTCTGCTGATATGTGATGGGATGAAACGAAGTCCAAATATCAGTACTTGTATCCACTTTGAATTTTTATGTTATTTACTCTATTTTTTATGAAGTGATTGACAGAATTTACAGTGGAACACGTTAAAACTCTGTTTTGATAACTACTCATTATATCTTGGTAAAGTTTACTATATAGTTTCCATAGTAATATTTATCTATTCAGTTATTTATGACAAGAGGTACCCGGTTTAGCGTATGATAGGATCATCTAAAGGACTGATAAGTCTGAGTCAGTTCAGTAGGTATTGTTGATTTAACCCTCCCGCCCCCTTAAAGCATCAAAGATTATTTCATTTTTATTTTAAAGAAGAGAAATATATTTTTTGATCAATTTCTGAACAATTCTGAAAAAAAGTAGGACATAAAATACATAAATTCAGAAACAGGCGTAGCAACTTCATGATTATTATTATAATTTCCTTGGGTTCCGAGTAGAACATAGGGCTTCAACAACACATCTGCTCGTTTCTGGTATTTTCTGCCACCCTCTTCATGTGACCAGTTCCTCCTTAGACACGATCTCCTCCATATCACCCTTGCACTAACGACCCACTCTTCGCGTCCCATTGGGTTCCCCTATCTAGCTATCGCCTGAATTGTGCGCGATTTTATCTGACGGCCTCCTTAGTGATGTATGCCTGATCAATCCACCTCAATTTCCTCCTACGTATTTGTTGATTAATCAATCGACTGTCGCCTGTTGGTTTGTTCCACTGCAGAGGTTTTTGTTGCTAATTCTCTCTGGCTGGCTGGCTGGCTGGCTGGCCGGTCATTTGATCTTCAGTATGTAGAGAATGAAGTTGGCAGCTGTTGATAAAATTCTCCCCTTTCGCAGTTGAAAATCCTTTTCGTGACTCACATGCGGTGCAAGTTTCTGACGCGTATAGAAACATTAACTGACTGACTGACTGACTGACTTCACATTTGAGCTGAAAATCCGAATCTTGTTCTTTATGCTGACTGACTGACTGACTGACAGCAGAAGATTTCCAAATTGGTTTCAGGTTGATGAAGGCGTATTTCGCCTTTCCGATGCTGGCTGGCTGTGACATATTCATCTGTGCTTCTTAGATAAATGAAGGAAGTTACCTCTCTGATGGGGATTGATTGTGGTTGTTGTCGTTGTTGTTGTGGTTAATTGGTTGGTTATCTTAATCACCTCTGTCTTTTCTGTGTTCACCTGCAGTCCTGTATTCACTGCCTGCCTCCCGCTAGTCTGTTGCTTTTCACCTGGTTATCTAACCGTATATATGTATATTTACAAAAAAAAATTATTTAGGTTATTATACGACTACTGCATTTCAAATCAGTAGATCTGTCTGTCTGTCTGTCTGGGTTCAACATAGAATTTGGCACCGAAGTGCAGCACTTCGAGTTGCCACGTTCCAAATAGCACACAGAAGTAGACAAGAAGATGAGTGAAGAGAATCAATAGAGTTTGACAAGTATAAGAGTCAAACAGAATGGGTAATGGTAGAAAGGAATATGAAAGATTACAGAGACTGAATACATCTGAGCTGGCCATTGACAACGATTTTGAGCCATGTCACCTATTGTCTCCAGCCATTGATTCCTAGAGTCCCGAGGACCCCAACCCGGGAGTCTGCATCTCCCTACCTGATTCAGTCAAACTGTCAAGGATTTCATGGATTGATGAGGCCATGTTTTTGTTTGGCCACCACTTACTCTTTTCCAACCTGCACCTATATCAGCTAGCAATGCCCGTCGGGGGAGGCGGTGGTTAGGCATGCGCAGCACGTAACCTAGCCATCTCAATCTATGTAACTTTATAGTCTCGTCGATTGATTTTCCCTGTTTGCCCAACACTCTACACCTAATGTCAACATTACTTACCTTGTGAAACCACCTAAAGTGAGACAGAGATCGCAGACATCTATGATGAAAAGCAGTCAACCTTTTCATGTCTTCAACGCGTATTGGCCATGTTTCAGAGCCATAGAGAAGGACGGAGCGAACTGATGAGCAGTACACACGTCCCTTGGTTGATAACCGGATGTCACGCCTACGCCAGAGATGGTGTAAGTCAGCGAAAGCAGCTCGAGCTTTTTGGATCCGTGCTGAGATTAGTAGATGGTAATGTCTATTGTCATACAAACTAGAAAAGATCAGTAGGCGAAAATCACCAAGTTGACAGGAGAAATGGAGAAGATAGAACTTTAAGTAAATGCAGAAAAGACAGAGAGATAGTGAAGATACTGCAAGCACCAATCACAGTCAGATAGAAGAAGAAATTTCTAAAAAAAAGGAAGTAACCTACTCCACTTACCTGGCTAGGCAGCATCATTTCGGCTACACAACATACAGACCAATCTGTATGGAATTCCATTACACTCATCATGAGGAACAAGATTCGAATTTTAAAACACTCATATCCTCTCAATGATTCTGTGTACTTCACAAGACTGGAAAATCTATTGCTGTTAGTGCATTTAATCCTACTCCAAAAATATGGTGGAGATATGTGGATGACACTTTCACAGTCTTAAAACACTAGCTTTTTGACACATGTAAACTCACTAGTTGAGGGAATAAAATTCAAATTTGAATCGGAAAATGAAGAAGAAGAATTAGCCATAATGTTAGACTGTAAAATAAAACGAACAGATGAAGGCAAACTACACACTAATGTTTACAGAAAACCAACGCATTCTAATAGATAATTAGACTTTAATTCGTCTCATCCGTTAACTGTTAAGGCAGTCTTAGTTAAGTGTCTAACAGACCGAACAGTAGCACAAAGTAGTGCAAGAAAAGACCTAGATGATGAACTAAAACAGATAGAAGAAGCGTTGGTGTTGTATAACTAACTATCCTATAAAATTCATTAGGATGATCGGTAAAGGGCAAAAGTAAATTAAGCATAATTGTGAAACTAGTAATAATAACATAAATGAGAGAGAATATAAGTCATCCACTGTTATACCATACGAGGAGGAGACATCTGAGACCCTACCCACGTAGGATTCTCAATAAAGCAGGAACTAGGGCTTCAAGCTTGAGAATGTAGGTTTCAGTCGAAATGGAATTTATTTTTACTTACGGAATAGGGCTGCTATTTTCAAACCCGACTTTCCAAACCCTTACCAGCTTTACTACCAACTGAGGTTTAGGAGTGCGCCTGCCTGTGATCGAACCCTGGAACAAGTGGGTGGTTGGTGAATATTTTACTACTGAAATACCGATGTGTCATCATGAATCCTTACTTTTCTGAATTCGCGATATCTATCACCACCAGTAACTTATGTCGTCCACGGCTATCTGTCGATACACCCCAATTAGAGCAATCCGCTTTCCAGGATTTCATCCCGCAATAAGTCACGAATGAATCACACAGACTGGTCGTGGAGCCATTTTGTCACTGATGGACAGAAACAAGAATCCATGGCCAACTGGACTTCATCTCAGTGACTGAATAGTCAATGATTTTGTCTTGTAGTCTGCAAGTTCTGGGTTCTGTCTATCCTCTGTAAAATCATAGGTTTGAAGGAGACACCCGTTCGGTACTCCCTGGTTTCCAATGATTCCCTAAGCCATGTCAATTTGTGATAAGACCTGAAAAGTGAAAATGGTGCAAGTGTAATCATAACTTGATTTAAGCAGTCTAGTTTCTTAGGTAACCTAACTACTACTCATAAAAAGCTCCGTTACTTAGAGATTTGCAATTCGAAATCCTCTGCAATCCATCACTTTTCTTCGTTTCAACCTCAAACTATTGTGGTGAGAGCAGGCCGTGAGAAAATATGAGCAAGGCTGATTCAACAACCAATCACAGCAAAGTTAACGTGGCAAAATATGATTCGCAGATAGAGAACTCTATTTGTCGAGGAATCCCGAAACAACCAATCAGAAGCCTGCGTTTGTCTGCCTAACTTCTGATAAACAACCAATCAGATAACTACGCTTGTCTACTTGCATAAGCTATAATAATGTATGTGAAATATGTATAAATACGTGTTGATTTTCATAATAAAACGATCTGTTGCCTGGCCCTTGTCTTCTGTTGTTACACTATAAATTCCACTGCATAAATAAGAGTCTGTCAAGTGAAAAAATTACAAACCAAACAAACTGTTTCACTCTTAAATCATTTTCACTTTTTTATTTCAGCTGGTAAGGAATATCAACCAACAGTGTCGAGTGATGATACCAACAGTACAGTTGTCTTTCAATATGAACCAATGGTTGGAAAATTTGTAAGTTAATTCCTTCGTCTCAAAATTTCATTTTGTTTTTTCAGTCATTATTACCTTATGGATTGACTGAATTATTAATAATTTTTGTTACAGGATTTCATCATCAGCTGACATTGGTTAAAGAACCATTAATCCACTGGGATCCGGTCCAGTGGGCCATGAATACCAATACTTGAATATCAATGAGATGCTCACTGGCGACTCGCGATATTCAGGTAAGTACTTACCTGGGGTTCTAGTGAGAAGTTGTGACCAATAGAGTGCAGCAGGTTGAGTGTGGGGAAAAATACTAGCCGAAGACATTGGCTAGAGAATGAGCTATATCTTGAATCGGTAGCTTGCCTTGTTACCAGAAGGTCCTGGGTTCGAACCCTGACAGCGGGTGCGCACGGATGAAGAGTCACAAACTAGGGCGAAACAGCTGTCCAGTACTCCCTGCAGGTTTTCCAATGGTTCTCTAACCAATGTCAGCTGATGATGAAATCCTGAAACCAATCAACCAAATGCTTACAAACCAATGCTTGAATAATTTTTGTGTGATTCCAGCTTTTTAGAAGAAACTTGTCTTGATTAAATGAAAATTAACATGAATAGATTTCAAGTGTTAGAATTTATTATTACCTCAGTGATATTTTTTTTATTGAGGTAAATACTCAGTCTGGGTTCACTGTTACTGTTATTTCAACACACACACACACGGTGATAGATAATAGTGGAGTTCAGGTCACATGTTTCGTCACACGCAGGACTCATCAACCGGATTTGCATCTGTCTAACTGTATGGTAATCTTCCTACGGGGACTCAAGCACACACCCTGTTGAGCTAAAATAACCTTTTCTTGTCAAGGAAATCAGATAGTGGGAAGTTCAAGATAATTTCAACAAATAGTTAGAAAACAGGCAGAAGTTGACATGATGTAATAAGTGTGAGAAAATGACTAATCAATATGATTGTGTGGAAAGACGATAAAGTGTTTTTATATGAAATCTCTATGAAAACGCAATGTTAATAATAAACGGAAATAGAGTGACAATGAACTATGGATAATAGTTGTAAACTTACATAATAAAAAAGAAGGGAAATTATAGTAAGAGCCGTCCTCTGGTTATGGTAGGGTAACTGATTATGTGTAGTGCTTTTGAATGTAGAGGTCCAATTTCAGATCCTGAATAGCCAATGATTCATCTCTGTACAGATGACGTATGCGAATTTCCTTTGTACGATATTGAGCGACTTTGTGTAGCACTTTGAAGCATTAATGCGGGGGTGCTCAATTTCTAGAGTTGACAAGGTGTTCGGGATGGAGCTGCTACTATTCTTCTCTTCTCGTCTGGCTAACCAAGCTGGATAATGTTCCAGAATACGTTTGTGAACTTCACATTACTTACGACCGACATACTTTGCTCCACACAAGCAAGTCCCGCCATGGGTGTGGCTTTTATTTGTGCAACGGTAACACAGCAGTTAGGACTCTCGCCGATCATGCACATGGTCCAGGATTCGATCCCCTGCTGACGCACACATGATATCTATGATCGTCCTGCAAAATTTGGGCTACTGATATCATAAGCTGAAAATTGCATACTTGTACCTAAAATACTGTGTGGTTTGAAGTTATAATCAAAAATTAAAATAATTAAAAATTAATTAAATACACTCTGATTTGCCCAAATGTGTTATATGGAAGGTGACTGCTTGAAATGTCTACTTCAAACATTTTACCAAGTCAGTTTCTAAGAATTTCTGCTTCAATGTTTTCTTTGAATTTCTGGTTCATGAAGAGAGTTATTTTCTTAGGAACAATTGTGATTTTTGGCGACGGAGGCTTTTATTTCCATGTTTAAGTTGATACCAATTCGTATATCTAACCTTGGGTTATATATTTCCTTGTCAACGAGTACACTACTCAATTATGTATTCATTCTTCACTGTCTTGATCTCTTTAGTTTACAACATCTAAAATTAATGGAAACTCTGGAAATCAACCAATACATCCTTCAATTGATTCAAAATTCTTAAAGTTTGAATCACGTTTCGAATGTGGTAATTTATCAAAAGCAATATGCACGTAAGTTTGTGCATAATCAGCAAGATTTATTTTTCTCAAACGAATTTATATTTATACAGAATAATTTGCAAATAATTCTTCAAAATTTTAAAGAAATTGTTTTGCTAATATTTGAATATGCGGATAGCAACTTTTGGTTAACTCAACCCAGTATGAGTTACGTAGTAAAATTCATGCAGTGTTGAATATCTGAATAGGGTGAATCTACATCTTGTTCAGGCTATTGTTGAATCAAAGGTGACTGTAATGCAGCTGATGAAGTCTTTGACTGTTGATCTCAGTAACGCTGAGAGGAATTTATGGGCTGGCTAGGGTCCTTGAGGTGCTAATTATCAATGTCTTCGAGATTGTTGCCGATACGGCTCAAAGTTCTTCTCGGTGGTACAGATGCATTTACTATTTGTAATCTTCTGGAGGCAGTTAATTCTCATTATTATTGTGTGTCATTGGCACGGAGGTAGAGTGCTCGCCAACCACGCTGGTGGTTCGGGGTTCGATCCTCAGCCACAGACGCACTCCTTTACCTCACTAAGCCAGTTATAAGCCTGGTAAAGAGGGAAGGTTAGGCATGAGGCTAGAAACCCCATCCTGTAAAAATAATCACCACTGTTACAGAAATTTCAAGCCTCTAGGTTTGGGCCATATGTTCAACTGGGAACGTACACTATTATTCCTTTTGACTGGATACTTGTCAGTAACGAGTGTGTGTAGTGTGTCCAGTCCTTCGGTTGGTGCAGACTGAATTCCATCAGTCAAATTTGCAATATGGCTACCATACCACTAGGTGGTTCACCATCAAGGTGCATTTTAAATCGTCAGAAAGCCCCGCTCCACCGTGGTTTCGTACTAGTTACTACCTGACTGGTGATTGCCAACTTGCATGAAATCTAGGCGGAGCGGGGCTTCCTACCGATCGCCTCTAACCATCTAATATCTTATTCTTTCTCGCTACATCCATATGATGACTAGCTACAGATGCCAAACTACTCCTCTTTTTGTCGAGAAATGTTACCCAACAGATAATTAAGTTATAGAAGATTAAGGGTTAGTCAGATCAAAGTTTGATATCGATTTATGAAGTTTTCGACAGGTGATCTGTGGTAGTTACATAGGTGGGCATACACTGCCTATTTTGGGATCCTTTTAGACGTTAAGGGGGCAATGACTGCAGATTGTCAGTAAAATGGTTCAAGATTGTTTTAAATGGCGCAGAAGTATACACTCTTTGTATTTACCAATATCCATCCAAAAGGTTGTCATTATTCCATATTAGTTTGTTTATTTGATGTATCACACAGTCAGTGTAACAGTATTATTTCCTGGATGACGAAGGTTCGAATACAACTAATTATGGTTCATAATCATATCAATTATAATCACATGACTTCCAAACCTGAGTTGTATAGTTTTCTTTGTCCTCTCCTATTTGTCGTCGTTGGGGTAGTAGAATTTTCCAGATATCTGGCTAGACAGGTGTTGAATCATTCCTATTACACGTATCTGCAGTTGATTCGATAACACAAAGCTTCTGTCATCATTCACTCCCTCCACCCTGTGACATCAGATTTCAAAAATGTCATCCTATCCCACCCATCCTATTGTATGGTTGTGTGCAATTGCATGTAGTGAGTGGTATAGCTGAACTATTCTCTAGATTTCCTATCTCATTCGGGTCAACCAATCTAGATTTTGCTACTAGGCTTTTATGTTCGGCTAGTCTAACTGCCCCTGTTCTACCAGTTTGACCTATGTATTTGACCTGACAATCACTGCAGACAGGGTATATCAGATAAACTAAATTTTTTTGTTTTAAAGGCTTCACAGGATTGATCGTTTAACCGACAAAGCTTGTTTCTAATTGAGTTTGTGGGTGGTTTGAATGTCAGCCAGTCACTTTTATTCCTGCCAGCGTTGTTAAGAATTCTCCATAAGGTGGTTTCCGACGTTCCTTCCTTGTATGGAATTACTACTGATGATTTAGATTCCTTATTGTTAGTGTCGTCATTAATATTATTACTATTATCGCTATTATTATTATCACTCTCACTACTATCATTATTTATTTTACTTTTACATTTCCCTACATACTTTCTGACTAATTTATCCGGGTAATTATTAAGTTTCAAGGCTTCTTTTATGTGTATCACATCCTGTTTGAAATTTTCCTTGGTACTACTTAGTTTTTGTGCCCTGCTGTCACTTAAACATTTCACCAGTCGTATTTTTACTGACATGGGATGGGATGATCGGAAGTCTAAATATCTGTTTGAATGTGTAGGTTTCCTGTAAACACACACTCGTATTTAACTTCCCATCTTCTTTACTTTTTACGTTGCAATCTAACATTGGAAGCTCCCCTTCCTGACTTCCTAATTCCAATGATTCAACACCTGTTCTCCCAGACATCTGGAAAATTCTACTATACAACTCATGTTTCAACGTTGTGTGATTGTAATTGATGGAATGATTATGAACAATAAATTAATTGTGTTCGAAACTGTGTCATCCAGTAAATAATACTGTTTCACTGACTGTGTGTGATACATCTAATAAACAAATCAATATGGAAGTACTTACTATCACAATGCCCAAGTTTTACACATATATTAATAAGGTTGTCATTATTCTCTAATGGAATGATTCTTTCCAGCATATATTCGCATTTATGATTTTTTGGCCTTTCTATCTCTATTTCTTTGTACTTTATGCGTGATTTTATCAAGTGGGGCGACTTTAAAACCTGGTGTACTTTAACGTTTCCAGAATTCTGATTATGCAAGAACTGCATTAGCTAGCTATTTATTCTGTAAGGGGAGGTAAACAGTGGTGATGCTGGGAAGAGGGCAGCGGGAAATTGACACAAAGACATGAAGAAAAGACTATGAATAATTAAGAATATTTGACTTCAAATGAGATATCTTGAAGAGTGTCCTTTTCTAAAAGTGTGTATACATACACACAGAGAGATCTGTCACATGATGATATATCTGAAAAGGGTATTCTCTGTTCTGTATATATTTATATATGTACTACAAATACACATTTTACATTTCTCATCCTACTCTCTTGTAATTTCTATGTTATTTTTCTATATCGTTGTGAATAAATTATTATCATAGTATGTAATTATAAACAATAGAAATGTGTGTGTGTGTGAGTTTTGATTTCCAAAATATCAAATGATAATTAATTTCATTGTGATTTATGCAAGCGAGATAGATAAGCTTTAATGACTTGACATAAAGACTGGCATTTTCATTGTTCACAGTTATCATGTGATGATTCTGTACGTTAATAATTCAATTTGATATAAGTATAAAACTTGGGCATTTTCTGGTGGTAAAGTATAACTCCATTATGGATAAGATTTCATTTTGACAAATCACAGAGTGCTCTTATACAGTAATATAAACAGATGACCACGTTTCGAGCACAAACTATTGTCACTCATAATCATATCAAGTCACTCACTCACAAAACGTTTTCCTTCATTTATATACATGTCTGAAATTGACTAGATATTTGAATAAAATCCAATATGGGATAATGTACATTCAGAATTAATATGAGTGTTATTGATCAGTTACAATCCGATGGGAAATAAAACGAGTGTTTTTATAGTCATCAGTAATAAGTAACTTGTTAGAATGTTGTGATGTAGGTGAATTGAAATGAAATAGAATTTTTAGATTATTTATTACCCTCCTCTGATTTGACTTACTGACTGGTGGTAATACTATCTTCCATGCATATCTGTGGTATTTGCATTGAGTTCTTTCTGTTGGATGTGTTGTGTTGGCTGTGTAGACTCGATGAACCAGGCAGGATTCAGTAATCAGTCTCTCTCTCTCTCTCCACCTAGATAGATTACTTCTTAGAATCTTAACCCTCTCTCATCCTTTTGTGTGGTTGTGTGTTAATGGATGTGGTGCAATTACTGAGCTTTTTTCTAAATTACTCATCTTCGCGAGTGGGTTCAATCATTCTTCCACTAGCTAAATCTTAATGTTTCGACAATCTGAATACCTCGATCTACTTGTTTGACCTTTGTAGTTGACCTCACTGACAGTCATTTTAGAGTATTTTGTAAATGATATTATTTCGTTTAATTGGATCAACCAACCGGTCCTTTTAATCTACAGATTGTGTCGTTTCAATTTTTCGATCATAGGTTGTGATGTGAGTTACACGTATAGATTCATTGAAAACCACGGAGTGCTGAACGGATGCTTTGTTCTATCTTGGAATTCTTTATTGGTACGCACTGGCAACCCCATCAGCGATTAAACCAAGCACATTCTGGTTACAAGGCTACTGAGAGATCACGGTAAAATAATGAAATGACAGAAGTTAGAGTTAGTGGACTGTTGAATTGTAGTCCAGGTGGGAGAACGTTCGAACAGCTTGGCTTTGCAGCCCGAAGGTCTTGGGTTCGATCCGTGGTGGGGTTGTGGGTGCGCGCTGCTGAAGAATCCCATGTTAGAACGAAACAGGTGTCCAGTACCCCCATTTTTTTCAATGACTCTCTGAACAACATGAATCCTTGATCAGTATTGAAACAGTTGATGAAATCCCATGAACCTAAGTCTTGAAAAGCATCTTTTTATAGGTGAACTGATAATATTCTTCTCGATGTCTTCCTGTTCTTTAGGTCCTACAGGTATGTGTTGGTAATAATTTAATAAATTATTGTTAACTATAATACTACTGATCATTAGCTAACACCAAATCAATAAAAAAGCTATTGATTACAGCTCAAAAGCACCTGTAAGTGACAATTTGGATCAATAAAACACTACAGTAAATGTGAGATAACATTAAGAAAAAATGATGCAGATCCACAGCAGACTAGGTTGAGTGACTGTAGATGGACATATTTCATTTACATTCAGATCTTCGGGTTGTTTAAAGTGGAGTGCAGCGGAGTGGCTTTTACCTTTTAGAGTATTCGTTATAGACGACAGGCTTTTGGAAATTTATTTCGTAGCTGATAAGGGATGGAAAAGTGTTCATCAATACTGGCTGTATAGCTTAATATCGAACTGTTGTTGATGGCTTTTACCGCAGGTTTGTTTATCAACATTGGTTGGGTGTTGTAGAGCACGGAAAAATTCAGTTCATAGAGCAATTAGCTAATATAAATGGTTCCCCCGAAGCAGCAGTTGAATTGTCAATACTTATGCTGTTCCACTGCATTGCAAGCCTGACTAACTGAAACTTTGGGTGACCAGGGTTTAAATCTCAGAAAATGATATGGGTTCCTTCAAAACTGAAGACACTTTTTGCTAGCCAGTGCCAACAAACGCGTAACCTTGTTCGAGTGGGGCCTCCTGCTCATTGCTTTTAACTATCTAATATTGCTATAATTCTTAACGTATGGTTGGTTGATCAGCGCAGATGAAATTGCAGTGTTAAATTTCTCATATTTTTTTAATAGTACATGGCGGTAAATAAAATGTATGGCGTAGCAAAGAACTGTAGGGTTAAAGAGAGGTTGTATATCATACAGACTCCATTCAGCAGCTGTTTCCACTGGCTGACTACTACAGATTAAATGACTGACCAGAGAGGATAGTAACAAGGAACTCTTCCAGAGCAAAAAAAATCAGCCAGCAGCTTGTTGTTCAACAAATATGCAGGAGGAAATGGAGATAGAAGGACTTTAAGCTGAGAAGACCATTAAGAGCCGTATCATGCTAAACAGGAACCCGATTGGAAAAGCGTGTGTCCATGCGTGATATAGAGATGATCGAGTGACAGGGGAATGAAACCTTGTGTGCGATCGTCGAGTCAGCTAAAAGGGAGTTCACAGAACTGAGTGAAATGGTGATGGGCTGCTGAAGTTCTATTTTTCACTAGGAGCTCAAAAGAATAAATATAATAATATATACATATCTGAGTGTGAATTAACTCTCTGTGTAACTTTAATGTACGCGTTGGTGTTTCAGCAGTATAATGCTCTCCAACGATGTATTTGGCCCGGAGTTCAATTCCCGGCCAGAATACACTTTTCTCCCTCCCTTAGCCGGTTGTAAATAGGAAAAAGATAGGGAAGTTTAGGCATGGGACTAGCAACCCCATCCTCTAAAACCGTCATTGCTACTGAAACGTCAAAGCTAATGCTTGAATCTCTAGTGTTCTACTCGAAACACACAAGGAATTAAATAACAAATAACAGTATAATAACTTTAATGTACAACATTTTAGAAACAAAGTTTAAGCAGTGAAGTATAGGGTGGAAGTGAGCTTAGTTTTTAATTAAAGTGAACCACTTCAAGTTGCCACACTTCTTAAAAGTACACACACTAAGGTACAAAGAAGTACAGAAATGTAAAACAGAGATGAAAGACGGAAATAATTTGGAGAAACAATAATTCCATGAAGAATAATGAATAAATGAAGGATCTGAGAGCTTAGAAATAATGAATCCATCTGCCCCATTGAGAACGATTTGATCCATATCATCAAAAACTGTCTTAAAGCCACTTATTCTTATCGAGGCAGTCTTCACAGACCCTTAACATGGCTAAAACTAACTGTTAGAGGCTTAGTGGGTTAGTTCCTTATTCTGGTTTGATCACTATCAACTTTCTTTCAATCCAGACCTATATCATCTATAAATGATCCACAATCTAACATGTCCCCTAGCGATCTGGGTTGATGCAGCTAATACTTGTTGGTTTATATAGAACCAGTTGGACTGCGAATTCAAAGCAAAAGTGTGAAACATCTTAAAGTGTTACTATATGTTATTTTTCTGCTAAACTAACCGATATAGCGTGACAGCAGACGCTGTTGCTCGATATATATTTTTATGGGAAGATATTTAAACCTCGTCTAAAGTATCAAAGTTTTAAACATGAACAAGAAGTGTAAGATTTCAAGTTGAAGACAAACTGACAAATTATTGTCAACATTCAATCGAATGTTAATCGTGTAACAGTACAACGTCATATTTATACTACGCCGAAAAATTTCGACCGGAACAGGTCGTGTATTCATCAAATCGTCACACTACGGATCATCACTGAACAAAGCTTGGAATGCCAGTCATCTCTCTATCTCAACTTCATCGACTCTGAAAAGGTCTTCGACAGCGTCGATCAAGAGGTGATTTGGCAACTACTTCCCTACTACGTGGTGCTGCCCTCAATTATACATCTTATCCAACAGTTGTACGAGGTAAAGTTAAACTTTAGACACCACTAACAACCAATCAGCAAACGACCTTGAATGGACCAATCACATTAAAGAGGCATATATGATGAATGGAAATGTATATTTATAGAAAAAAAAGCATAAAATAGAGAATAAAAAAGTTACATGGGATATCTTTCTCGAACATGTGAGAGAAACATCTCCCAGTTTAGCATGGAACTGTCAATGGAGAAGTTACACCATATCCTGTACATTTATTCATCCAAATGACTATAAATGAGATTCATTTATAGCTCTTATCCTATTTTTCAACCTGCCCCAAAATCCTTCAATAGAATTTGTATGTGTCCTCGTAACGGGATCCACAAAATCACTTAAATGGTTGACTCTATGACGAATATATCCCTGAGATGACAGCGAATTATAGCCTTTCAACTTGTCCGTGTGTATAATTGACCCCCGCTTAACAAGTCTGGTAATAATAGGTATAAGAGTAGTTGCTTTTCTATCTGCTATCCTTTCGACGAATCCCTTTCGGAAGGAGGTGTCATACAAACCTATTACCATGCTGCTCTCACACCCTGTTTCATCACCCATTAGATGCAGATATACAAAATCTGGGATAGGGAGAGAAGCGACCTAGCGAAAAAAGTTCCTACGAAATATTAAAATTATCAGCTTACCCTCTCTAGTGTTAGTAGGCTTCAAACATATGGCACAACGATGAACAAACCCATCAGTTGATTTGGTATAGCTTTTTAAAGTCATGATACCAGCAAAAAGACAAATTCGCTCTTTCTGGAGCAACTCAAATCCAGGAAATACTGGAAAACACTAACCTCCTCGAATTGCAACAATAGCCTTGTAAGGTCACGCATTAGAAATGAATCAAGCGCTATACAACATTGAACTGCGTTCGTGAACCTCATTGGATAATTCGCTGATTGGTAGTTAGTGGTGTCGAAAGTTTAACTTCGCCTTCTACGACAATGCTGAATGCCGTGTAATCAACAACGAGAAAATCACGGAATCGTTCGAAGTGATGATCAGAGTAAGACAAGGCTGCCTACTACTGTCTCCAGTGATTTCCCTGATTGCGGTAGATTGGATAATGAGACAGACAATTGTTTGGCAGCGAGGAAACAGACATAAAACGGACCCACGCAAAAAACTACGACGATCTGGACTTCGCCCATGATGATATATGTCTGATGTCCCACAAACAGGAAGATGTGCAAGTGAAAAGCAACAAGTTGGCGATAGAAGAAGCATCCAGAGAAGATGGGACTTCAGGTGAACATAGAGTAAACAGAGGTAGGTGATGAAGATTCCTGGCCAACATCGACAGCAACAACAACAACTGACAACAATCAGCGTAAATGTGAGGAACCTGAAAGAAACAATCTCCTTTGCCCAACAACCGACCTGGAAAGCATCGTTTCAACTACAGGCGGATGGAACTGATGAAGATATCAAGGGAGCAAGGATAGGGAAACCAAGACAAGCTTTCATTACTCTCAAGTCTGTATGGAGGTCAACAGCACTACTCAGCATGGAAACTAAGATCCAGATTTTCAACTCTAATGTGAAGTTAGTGCTATTTACTATACGGATTAGAGACTTGCACTGCGCGTCATAAAGAGTACTTTGAACAAAATACAGACCTTCATCAACAGCGTACTTCTCTCAAGATCAGTTGGCCAGAAAAGATCAGTAACGGGGATCTCTTGGAGGAAACCAGCCAGGATCCAATTGTGCAACGAATAAGCAGGAAGAAATGGAGGTGCATTGGTCATATTCTGAGGAAACCGTCAAGTGACATCACACACCAGGCCATCGTTCGAGTGGAAACCGAAAGGAAAGCAGCGAGTTGGACGTGCAAAGGTGACTTGGAGGAGGTATTGTGAAGAGGAGATGAAAGCATATGGGCAGACTTGGAGACAGGTGAAAACTCTAGCGGAGAACCAAACGGAACGGTGACACCTGGCTGAAGCCCTATGTTCCTCTAGGAATTGAAGGAAATAATAATGCAATAATAGGAGTGTCTCTTGATTAGTTGATTGTCAAGTGCTACTGAAGAGCTCAAGACTCGGACGAATTCGGCATTCACTGGTATCCACCGGTTCTTTTACTGTTGTCAGTTAATGATGAGACTTTGAATCAACCGAATCACTACATATCGACAGTCGAAAACTAATGAATTACTCGTTAGTGATTGACTGCGGGAGGGTGTTTCAAGAGCTTTGATGTGAATTTGTCACCATTAGTGTCTATCAATTCGAGTGTGTGGACAGATACTAGTCACAGACGTTGGCTGCCAGTGTCACTATATATCATAGATTGATAGAAGTTGAGATTCATGGACTACTGGATTCCATTTTGTTGGCCGAATGGTAAACTCACCTGCTTCGTAACCTGAGGGTTTCAGATAGGATTCTCTTTGAGGTGACATTTGAGTACAACTGAAGAATCCAAAACTAGGACTAAATAGCTCTCCAGTGCTCTCTAGGTGCTTTTAGCGATTTTCTATAATTAATGCTAGTCACTGATTTGTAACAATTATGTCTGATCACACATGTTGGCTCAGAACTGATAAAAAAAAGGTATTTTTGACAAAACGAAATATACATATTTCCACATTTTTCTTTTATACTCTTTTGCTTTTTATTTTATTTTCCAGTGGTCCTTATGAGTATGAACTGCATTTGAGACCAGATTTATATACAAAAAAGTATACACAATGGTTTTACTTCAGTGTACAAAATACACAGAATACTGATGGTTATAGATTTACAATTGTAAATTTCTATAAGGTAAGAAAAACACTTATCAACCTGTATGAAAAGGTATTATTATTATTATTCAGTTATTGGATCATTCCTTGCTTTCCAAGTAAGATACACAACCTCAGTTGCACATCTCCACTGCAATAGATTCTTTACCATCATTTCCAGCTGACTTCGCGAATCACTCACTAACTTTCAAATTTCCACTCCACATGATTTCCTCTTTATCACTATTGACACTTTAAACTGTCACTTTTCATTCGGATTTGATTCAATAGGTTCACTAGTTCCCCTGCTGACTACCAGATTTTCTTGTTGCTTATAATTTTTCACCAGCTATGTGAAACAAATATGCAAGAAGAAATGTAGGTGGATTGGCTGTACATGCCAGGCTATTGCTCGAGTGAAATCCAAATATGTAGCGAAGAGTCGGTCATCAGTGCGAAGGTGACATGGAGGAGAAGGTCGTGCGAAGAGGAGATGAAAGCACATAGGAAAAAGTGGAGCCAGGTGAAAACGTTTTCACAGAACCAAACCCAATGGAGACGAGCGGTTGAAGCCTTTTGTTCTTTTGGGAATTAAAGAACACAATCATAATAATATGTGATCTTTGAGTGGTGGGTGTAAAAACTTCTTACAATTTGTTCCATTGGGAGACTTGCATAAAGCATAAATAAAAATGCTAGCAGGATAGTCTAAGCTCATTATTATCATCATTATGATTATATAATGGATTCATCTTAAACATTTATAACCTAAAGAATATCAAAATGTGTGCAAACTGAAAATAGGTTTAAGCATCCTCTTATTAATTAATAGGAACTATTTTTGATTGGGCACTAGTCAATTACTGGTGTAATGTGTCTAGTCTTTTCTTTGCTGCAGAGTGAATTCTATCAGTCAAGACTGCAATGTGGCCACCATGCTAGGTGGCTCGCCATCACGGTACACTGTGAACTGTTGACAGTAGATGGTTGGAGGCGATCGGCCACAGGAAGCCCTGCTCCACCTAGGTTTCGCGTTAGTTGGCACGTTGACGTTACCACTGAGCTATTCAGGCTCAGATTAGACACATTACACCAGTCGCTGACCAGCGTCCAATCAAAAATATCCAATATAGTCCTATAGGAAGTCAATCGCGAGCCAAAATAGCTGACACAGTGGTAAAGCCTGTGACTGTAGTACTTAGTGGGTGACGCAGATTCGAATCTCAGAAGGGATATGAATTCCTTTGAGGTTGTAGATAAGCCTTGCTGATGAGTGCTAACTAGCACAAAACCAAGATGGAGCAGGGCTTTCTGACGATTTCCTCCAACCAACTAATACCAGTAATAGGAAGTATGTGTAAACCACGACTGGAGTGCTGTTATTAGTTAGATTATTAAGTGCTAAGAGAATGGACCATTTCTATGGGGATCAAATTAATATTCTTGAAAATGGAGGCCAAAGTTTAGATTGAATAAGCAGTTCAATTAGAAGCAGTATATTAGTATAGAATGCTTGTCAACTACGTATGTGGCCCTGATTAGATTTCCAAACTATGTATTCATTAGCCGTGGTTGGCTAGCAGTAAACTGGATAAAAGAGGAAGGAGGTTAGAAGTAAAGCTAACAACTATATCCGGTAAAAATATAACCCCCTTCCCGCCATCTAGTTCACTTTTATAAAGCTTCACCTTGAAGCCCAATGTTCCACTTGAAATAAAGAGGTATGAAAATGAAAAAGAAAATATTGTGTCAGTATAACAGTTTGTTTAACTACAGAAAATATATTTCACAATAGTAAGAAGCGTAAGGTGACTAAAGTTCAGAGAGAAGAAGAATAATGTATGATGTAATAAGAATGTACGAGTTTATTTTCGTGGTAGTTCAAAATGAGGTATTGTTGTCTGCTTGCATAGATTACATTTTAATCGTTTGATGGAGGTTCCTTTAACTGTCCACAGTATAATCAGTTTCGAACATATTTTTTTTTCAGTCCTTCACGTTCCCAGTGGAACATAGCGAAAGCTTCAAGCTAGAGACTTGAAGTTTCTGTAGCAGTTTGCAATTTTTTACAGGATTGGGGTTCGCTAGCCTCATGCTCAACCTTTCCTCTTTACCAGCTTTTATTTCCGGTTTAGCGAGATAAAAGGAGTGCGTCGGTCGGGGATCGAACCTTGGACCATGTGCATGGTCGGCAAGCGTCCTAACCGCTGCACCACCGACGCACTTCCAGCCTACACCGTACATTTGTGCTGTTTGGCACCTGCGAACTCATTGGTCTCAGTTTCTTTGATAGGTGTTCACAAATGGAAACAAAAATCCTTCTCTCTGCCCTTTCAGTGTATGTGTCATGTGAATCTTTTTCATAATTTAAATATTATTGTATTGTGTAGACTGTAAACAGTCGATGGGGTAACATCTTTGAGTGCAGCAGTGTGGGTCCAGAGTCCAGTCTCATAACAGACACAGATAAACCTTTCTGATAAGTACCTACAAGCAGGAATTCTAGGTCCATGGCTTCCTATTCATTGCATTCAACCATCTAACATAAAATGACACTATACTAGCATTACTTAAATCAACGTGCCTAATTATCTATTTAATCAGTACACTACCTGACCAATAAATATTGATCACAAAACCACGAAGTCAAAAAACCTCAGTTAACTGATTAAAAATACCCAGTGAAATTTTCAAAAGAATGGTTACTCAACAAAGTGTTTGCTTTGTAGGGATTTTTGTTGATTGGTTACAGGATTTCATCATGAGCTGATATTGGTTAAAGAACTATTGAGAAATCAACTGGGAGTACTGGACAGTCGTTTCGTCCTAGTTTGTGACTCTTCAGTAGTACGCACCCACCGGGATTTGAACCCAGGATCTACCGGTTACAAGGAGAACTAATTCGTATACCATTATTCTTAATGAGTTTGAATCCCGGTAGTTGAGTCCTACTGAAGAGTCCCAAACTATGACGAAACAGATGTCCAGTACTCCCAGTTGATTTCTCAATGGTTCTCTAACTAGTGTCAGCTCATGATAAAATCCTGTGAAGAATACTCTTTCTGATAGTTTCATCCTCAGGCTCTACGGTTATATATATATAGTGAATGAATCAGTGTTATTAACAACTTTATGGTTTGTTAAAATAACCATGATATCTGTGCACATAGAATCTTTGTTCACAAATGTACTTCTAGTAGAAACAGTTAACTACATATGTGAACAAGTAGATAACCAGTCGATAAAAACTGCCTTCCGTATTGAAATCCTAAAAGAATTGTTATTAAGGTGTACCATGAATTTAAATTTCAAATTTTACTTCACAATTTACAGACAAGTGGACGGGGTGGCAGTAGGCGCCCTATTAAGTCCCATTTGGGCTGATTTCTTTCTAAGTAAGCTAGAAAATGTACATTTGACCAACCTTCTCAGTAAACTCTTATTTTATTACCAATATATATGGAAGATACCTTTATTCTTTGTGATAATGGTTCTCATAAGAGTACAGTAATTACTGAATTCAATTAAGTACATTCGGCTATGGAATTCACAGAATTGCCTTCCTGGATTTCCTCCTTACAAGAAAACCAGATGGGAGCATAGAAAAAGAAATTTGCGTAGAAAAAAGTACGTGGAAAGGACAATATACACATTTTCACAGTTTCGTTCCTATCAAGTACAAAAGAAATTTAATGAAGACCCTCAACCACAGAGTTAGAGCTATATGCTCAAAAGAAGTAATCGAATATGAATTGAGCATTGTATATGATACGTTGATTGAAAATAGCTATCTAGACAAATTTATCAAGAAACGTATGACAAAGAAATCGGAAAAGGACTACCCACTAACTGTAAACAAGAAGCCACTTTATATACGACGGAAATTCAAGGGCGATATACCAAGCGAAATAATTACGGGGAAATTAAGAAAATCAGTTCAAAGGACTTTTAATGCTGGCCAACTGCACGTCATATTCTCTACACTACCGATTGTGCTACCTAAACTGAAAGATGTACCTAGACTAGCTAGCCACTTCAAATTGTACCTATCAATTCAATTGCTCTTCTGTGGTGGAGCGAGTTATATCGGCCGTTGCTCTAGTAACTTGACTTTCTGTGCTCGCTGGGGAACATCTCCCACTATGGCTAAGTAAAGGTGTAGTTAAAACCATTAACAGTTCAATATTGGACCATCTGGTGTGAACCGGCCGGCCACAAAGCCAGCCAGCCAGCGTGGAAGAATCCTTCTCTATTATCATCTACCGGTTGCCTAATAAATTGTCGAAATCATCGAAGTAACACATGCTCCAAACAGCAGAGGCTATTGCGATTCGCATCAAACAACCATTGCTCTGTGTTCAAAAGAAGCAAGTCCAGTGAGCCAATACTACTGCCCTGGCCGGACTTCACTAGAGACTATAAATTTATGAATTTGTATCATTATCTTTCCTAACGTTTCTGACATTCAGTGTATTGTTATATTGATGCTATTGAACTGTAATCCATTGACTTACAGCATCCTCAGGTGACCCACACGTTTGTTTATTCTGTCTATTTTAAGTTAATTTACTTCGATCTGTTTGTTTTATCCACGGGTTTATTTCAGCGCCGTTAGAAAAGACTTATAGTGTCATGAAAGGTTTTGTTTTCGGTAATATTCAAAAGTGGGAATATGTAGTCAAATGAAAAGTTATTATTATTATCATCATCATCTTTTCTTCTCTTTGTCCCATTCTATAGTCTACTAGTTTATTTGGTCAAGGTATGAGACCGCTAATGTACAGTGAAAAGATGGCCAGACTAACTGGTATCGGTTGGAGACGTGTTGGCAGTGATATTAGTTATTATCAAACGAAGTAAATAATTTTTTGTTGTGTTATTTGCTTATTCGTTAAATTTTGTATTTCAATATTCAATGCTTATTGGTTTTAATCTTCATATTGTGGTGAGAGCAGGCCGTAAGAAAATATGAGCAAGGCTGATTCAACAACCAATCACAGCAAAGTTAACGTGGCAAAATATGATTCTCAGATAGAGAACTCTATTTGTCGAGGAATCCCGAAACAACCAATCAGAAGCCTGCGTTTGTCTGCCTAACTTCTGATAAACAACCAATCAGATGACTGCGCTTGTCTACTTGCATAAGCTAGAATAATGTATGTGAAAATATATATAAATACGTGTTGATTTTTATAATGAAACGATCTGTTGCCTGGCCCTTGTCTTCTGTTGTTACAATATTACTTAAAAGAATGGGAATGTTTTAGTCCCCCCCCCCCACTTTATATGCCCTAAGCCATAGGCCTTCTCTTGATGAAAGCATAAAATAAGAATGGGGACGTGGATTTATGTTTAATTTCACACAAACTGGAAGACTTACAGGCAGAAAACCTGCATGTTGTCAGAAGAAGGAATGAAGACAGGACTCCAAGTAGACATAAGGAAGACGGAGATAATGAAGATAAACAACGAATGGTGATAGCAACACAATGACCGACACCAATCATCACCAACAGGAAGGATTTAAAAGAGGTTACTTCCTTCACCTTCACCTATCTAGGCAGTAAGCATCGTTTCAACCACAGGTAGTCGAAACGGATTAATATGTCAAAATCAGCTAGAATCGGAAAGGTGAGATACGACTTTATGAATCTAAAACCAGTCTGGAAATATTCTGCTGTCACTCACTCAGCACAAAGAACAAGATTCTCATTTTCAGCACAAATGTGAAGTCAGTCATTGCTTCTATACGGGTCACGGAAAAGGATTTCCAACAGGTCACTACAGATTTTCATCAACTGCTGCCTTCGGTCTATACTAAAGATCAGCTGGCAAGAAAGAATTAGTAACAAGAAACTCTGCACTGAAACAAACCAACAGGTGATAGCCGATTGCACAAAAGATACGTAGAAGTAAATGCAGATGGATCGAGCATCGATTGAAGAAGCCATCGAATGACATCGCACCCATATCAGGCCATCACTCTAGTGGAATCCCAATGAGGCGTGACGAGAGGGTCGTCGGTGTAAGCATGAAATGGAGATCATGCGAATAGTAGATGAGAGATTATGGTCAATCGTGGACCAAGGTGAAAAGGATGGTAGAAAATAGAACAAAGTGGAGATGTGTTGTTGAAACCAGCCCTATGTTGCACTCGAAACCCAAGGGAATAATAATAATAATAATAAATAATAAACTAAAGGGTGGTATTCGGTTGTCGCGTATTCATTATGGCTTATAGAATGAGATAAGTAGTTCAGCGAAGAGTCTTTTCTCGGTAAAAAAAACATTTTCTTTAGCTATACAATTGCTTTTATGTACAATTTCATCTTGTGACATTGGACAGTAAAAAAGGGATGAATCATTATCACATAAGAATAGCAGCTAATACTTAATCAGTACATATGAGAAGTTGACTAAGGTAGATAGAATTACGATCAATAAAATTTATGCGAACTCTCATGAAGATTTGATAATAATAATAATAATGATTTACTTTATTCCAAAAACAGTACTTGTGATACAGAATGGAATTTTCAGCATTAATCACAATATTGCATCTAATTTCCTCAAATTATAAATAAAAATTAATCACACAGAAAATTTTCCACATTTACAATAGAGGTAGTGTCAAAAACATGCAGCATATAAAATGGAAATAGCAATAATAATGATAACAGCTAGGGTAATAATAATAAGAATACAAGTGAAAATTGCCGTTGGCTTGTGTCACACAGTATTGTCAATGTGGTATAGAAATCCTAACATGTTTAAAAAAATATTGAATATAATGTTCTTTTTACATGATATGGTGAGGGGAAAAACAAAGATTACAGCCGTCATGGAGATAAGTTGGTGTTTGCAATTATGAGAGTAAAACAGAGAAGTAACAGGACCATAAATATAATAGAAGTAATAAAAGTAAAACTTGAAGGTATGTAAGGATGGATGGATGGAGGAAATTGTTTATTTACTAGATGAAAAAAGGTTAGTTAATTCTTGCCTGACACTATTTTCATCACATAAAATACGTGCCAAGTATGGTATCATAGAATTTCTATACTTAGACGTGCGAGCATACAGTTTTCTGAAGTTACTTCTTGTTCTACCTGAGGAGATGCAAGGTGAAAGCTGAGGGTAAAGTGGATGCTCCAAGTCAGACAAAATCCCTTTAGCAAATTTATTGCATGAAGTCAAGTGCCTATCGACAACGACGTTAACTATGTGGTCCACTGTGACACCACTCACCCTACTGACAGTCTTCAGCATTCTACAAATTGTAACATAGTCCTTTTTAAGCAAACCAGGAGAGAATAAGGGTGAACAATAAAGAAGAATAGGTAGGATGCAAGAGTTTATGAACTGTAAGAGGAGGGGTTGAGTTATACCCGAGTGTCTTAACTTCTTAATGTAAAATGTCAGGCGGAATATTTTACTGGAGATTGCTAAGACATGGGAAGACCAGGAGAGATCAGAAGAGAGAATGAGTCCAAGATACTTAATTTCTGATTTGATTCCTATATCATTGTCGTCAATTTTACAAGTGTCATGAGAATCGATGACTTCTTTTAACTGTCGTTTACATCTTAAGCTGAAATCAACAGTTTGACACTTAGAAGGATTCAGTTTAAGACCGTTAGACTCAGACCATTTGCTGACTTTCGATAGAAAGCTATTTATTTCGGTACAATCTAGCTGGAAGTTAACAGCCATTGAAACCGTTAAATCATCAGCGTACTTCACAAAGTTTATTTCATCAGAGTGAGGCAAGTCATGCAAGAAGAAAGAAAAAAGATAAGGAGAAAGAACAGCACCTTGAGGGACACCGGCTTCAGTAGGCAATGAAGTGGAAGACTTCCCTTTATATACGGTGTACTGCTTTCTATCTGAGAAATAGGAATGTAACCAGTTGGATGGAATGGTTCCACAATTACTACGCTCTGAGTGAAAAGTAGCCAGACTTAAAAGAATATATCTATATCAGTCTCAGTGAAACTGAAGTAAACGATTCCAACGTTTTGTTCAGTAACCTAGTCCGAACTTCTTTGAGGAAATTATCAGAATTAAGATATCAAAGGTACATATATATTGAATATGTGACAACTAAATACTAAGAACCCAAAATTCAGCGAAGAGACTCTTTTCAACAACGAATTTATTATCAAGCTGTACAATCGTATATATAAGGTTTTTTAAAGAAATTATATCCGATGAAGGAATTAGGTAAAAGGTGTGAATACATGAAATAATAATAATAATAGTAGTATGATAAGCAATTAAAATATTTGTGATTATAATCATAGTTAAATGTCAAGTGGCAAAGCAAATGAATGTCATATATAGAATAATACATAAGGTGTATTGATGTTGGAAAGGGGTACATAGTTATAGGATTAGTAGACGAATATAAAATGTTACATAACATGGTGGGAAATTTGATGAAATAGAATTCAGTATTGTAAAAATAAAAAATAGGAAAAATAATAATTTTGGGTTTAAAATGACAAGTGGGTCAAGTGGAAAAGATTCAGAGTGACAATATTAATAATAATAATCGTCGTAATAAGGGAAAAGTACCTAGAATAACTAGATGAACAAAATAAATAAATATCTATCCCTCTACGGCCAAGGCAGAAGTAGGGATTGTACCTACTTCTTCTGTACACAAAGGTCTGGCTTAAAGTCATGAATTGCCAAGGCCTCAGCTGTCTTTGGAAGTCTGTCTGTCTGGATTCAACATAGAACTTGGAACCGAAGTGCAGCACTTCGAGTTGCCACGTTCCGATTGGCACACAAGGTAGACAAGAAGATGAGTGAAGAGAATCAATAGAGTTTGACAAATATAAGAGTGAAACAGAATGGGTAATGGTAGAAAGGAATATGAAAGATTGCAGAGACTGAATACATCTGCGCTGGCCATTGACAACGATTTTGAGCCATGTCACCTATTGTCTCCAGCCATTGATTCCTAGAATCAGTCCCGAGGGCCCCAACCCGGGAGTCTGCATCTCCCTACCTGATTCAGTCAAGGACTGTCAAGGATTTCATGGATTGATGAGGCCATGTTTTTGTTTGGCCATCACTGGCTCTTTTCCAACCTGCACCTATATCAGCTAGTAATGCCCGTCGGGAGAGGCGATGGTTAGGCATGCGCACCACGTAACCTAGCCAACTCAATCTATGTAACTTTATAGCGTCTTCGATTGATTTTCTCTGTTTGCCCAACACTCTACGCTTAACGTTAACATTACTTACCTTGTGAAACCACCTAAAGTGAGACAGAGATCGCAGACATCTATGATCGAAAGCAGTCAACCTTTTCATGTCTTCAACTCGTATTGGCCATGTTTCAGAGCCATAGAGAAGGACGGAGCGAACTGGTGAGCAGTACACACGTCCCTTGGTTGATAGCCGGATGTCACGCCTACGCCAGAGATGGTGTAAGTCAGCGAAAGCAGCTCGAGCTTTTTGGATCCGTGCTGAGATTTCATCGCCAATCAGTCCGTTGGTGCTAATACAACTTCCCAAATAGGTGAAGTGGTCAACATGTTCTATCACTTCACTCCCTATCACTAAGCTAGGAGTTGACGTAGTCCAGTCCTGTAGCAGCATCCTGCATTTTGCAGGGGCGAATCGCATGCCAAACATACGAAGATTGTTGCTCAAGGTGTTCAGAAGACTCTGCATTTTGTCTGTAACGAAGAAAACGTGGGAAGTTAGCATGAATTGTATATATGATCTTGCAGTTTATTAAATGCTATTATATTATTATTATTCCCTTGGGTTCCAAGTGCTACATAGGGCTGGCTTCAACAACACATCTCCACTTTGTTCTATTTTCTACCATCCTTTACACCTTGGTCCACGATTGACCATAATCTCTCATCTACTATTCGCATGATCTCCATTTCATGCTCACACCGACAACCCTCTCGTCACGCCTCATTGGGATTCCACTAGAACGATGGCCTGATATGAGTGCGATGTCATTCGATGGCTTCTTCAATCTATGCTCGATCCATCTGCACTTTCTCCTACATATTTTTTGAGCAGTCGACTCTCGCCTGTTGGTTTGTTCCACTGCAGAGTTTCTTGCTACCAATTCTTTCTGGTCATTTGATATTCAATACAGAGCCAGTGAATGTGGCAGCTGTTGATGGAAGTCTGCAACAGGCTGTTGGAAATCCATTTCGTTACACGCGTTTCAAATTTCTGACCCGTACAGAACCACTAACTGACCGATTTCGCGTCTGTGTGGAAGATCCGAATTGGTTTCAGGTTGATGCTCTCGTTAAACTGAGCATATTCGCTGTACCATGTTGCTTATATGGAAAAGGCTTTCGGAAACACCATCCAACCTGACTAGCAAAGCGAGAACAAGAGTGCGCACATTGTTCGTCAATTCGGCTTCTTGTGATCTTAGGACATTCAGATCCTTTTACGAAGTCCTTCAATTTTTTGCGTATGATTCAATCGAACGTTTCAAAGAGAGAGAGAGCGAAATAAAGACATGGGTATAAATGAGGCATTAACGGTCAAAAAATTTAAACAGACGTTATTCATTTAAAAGAAGTATATCCACCCCCTTGTCTGTACCATGGCCATCCATCGTAAACAGTCCATTTTCTCAATATGTATTATCCGATTGTACCTTATATCCAAACTTTCTATTTATTTTCATTATTACTGTTAGAATTTTAATTCCCCTTTTGTATTACCCAATGTAACCTTGATGAATGGAGGCTCATCGTACTGAAGTTTCTGTAGCAGCTTTGTTTACAGGGTGAGTTTGCTAGCCTCACCCGGAAAAGGGGTTTGTTATATGTATGTATAGTTTACAGAGGGTTGTTCCCCTCAGAATCAGGAAAATAAGGAATTAAGCAATCAGAACAATACCAACAAAATAAAAATAAAAATTCACAACAGGAAGGGCAGCGAGAACAACAACAACAACAAAATAATCCCCAGCAGTAGTATCACTGTGAAAAACGGTTGACAAAAATGATATAAAAATCATAGACTCACTAAATTGGGTCAACTTGTGTCAACCAGGAACCGAATGTCCAACAAATAAATATGCAGGAAGAAATGGAGGTGGATTCGGCATACTCTGAGAAAACTATCAAGTGAACTCACACGACAGGCTATCGAGTGGAACACGAACGGTAGAGGTGAGAAGTTAGTCCGAGGATAACATGGAAGAGATGAAAACATGTGAGCAGACGTGGAGCCAGTTGAAAACGTTGGCAGAGAACTGAACGGAATGGATACGTGCGACTGAAGCCCTAAATTCCCGTAGAAACTAAAGGAAACAATAATAAATTTAATGATAATAATAACCTTGATGGCTGTGTTAGTGGGTGTTACATCGAATAAAATAAACTATGGAATTACAGTTGATAACATTGTCATAAAGAAAGTTTTTTGTTTCAATGAAACCATCATTTTATTTTTCCCAATTGTACTTAATGATGCGTTTATTTTCCTTCTCTCAGTTGGGTGGTTGAATAACAAACACTTCATTTCCCTTTTATACAACGTCATCAGTACTGATCTGAAAATGTGTTGAGCTTTAAGAATTCGCAACGAGTTCTTATCGAGGTGACAGATGAAAGCGGTGTCCAGAAGCAGGGAGATCACAATTACACACCTCTTTTTCATCATTTCTTAGAATTTATTTTAAATAATCTACAATTTTTTTATAACTAATACATGTTTGAAATGTGTCCTACATTTTTCTTCTACATTATTAATAGATTTACTGAACCTACAGAAAATGGTTTATCATCCATGAGAAAATTTTTATCAAATTCTAAACGATCCACATGTTCATTAACTTGGAAATTTAATTTTCCTTATCCAAATGATATTGTCTACTTTGCTGCATGTTATCCTTACACCTATACACAATTACAAGAGTATTTAAATGAATTGGCGATGAATTCAAAGATAAGAAGAATATGCCAACAGACAACACTGTGTTATACACTGGCTAATAATCCTGTTCCTTTGTTGACCATTACAGAACCATGCAATAATGAACAGTACACTAATAATAAAGTAAGTAAGTTATCTTTCTGTTAGATTTATTGATAATCTGCTTGTGAGGCTACACATTGATTAAGATGACTAAGAGAGAAAGAGTGTTGCATAATATGCCAAGTCACCACCTTACCTTTGTGGTGAGAGCAGGCCGTGAGAAAATATGAGCAAGGCTGATTCAACAACCAATCACAGCAAAGTTAACGTGGCAAAATATGATTCGCAGATAGAGAACTCTATTTGTCGAGGAATCCCGAAACAACCAATCAGAAGCCTGCGTTTGTCTGCCTAACTTCTGATAAACAACCAATCAGATGACTGCGCTTGTCTACTTGCATAAGCTAGAATAATGTATGTGAAATATGTATAAATACGTGTTGATTTTCATAATAAAACGATCTGTTGCCTGGCCCTTGTCTTCTGTTGTTATACCTTGACCAGCGATAACTGTTATCATTATTTCCTTTAATTCCTAGAGGAACATAGGGCTGCAACCACGCGTCTCCATTGCGTTCGGTTCTCTGCCAAGTCTGCTCACATGTTTTCTACTCCTCTTCACATGACCTCCTTCATGTCACCCTCGCATTGACGACTAACTCGCCGCTTCTCTTTCGGGTTTCACTCGAGCAATGGCTTGTCTAGTGATGTCACTTGATGGTTTTCTCAGAGTATGGTCAATCCACCTAACTCCATTTCTTCCTGCCTATTTATTTTGGAATCGGTTCTTGGTTGGTTAGCTCCCAGAGATCCCTATTGTTGATCTTTTCAGGCTGGCTATCTGGTCTTGAGTACTGAGCGAAGACAACTGTTAATGAAGGTCTGTAGTTTGTTTGAGATGCTCTTCATGACGCGCAGTGCAAGTCTCTGATCCGTATAGTAAGTAACACTGACTTTACATTGCAGTTGAAGATCCGGATCTTATTTTTGATGCTAAGTGCTGTTGACCTCCACACAGACTTGAGAGTAATGAAAGCTTGTCTTACTTTTCTGATTCTCACTTTGATATCCTCGTCAATTCTGCCTGAAGTTGAAACGATGCTTTCCAGGTCGGTTGTTGGGTAAAGGAGATTGTTTCTTTCAGGTTCCTTCCATTCATGCTGATTGTTGTCAGCTGTTGTTGTTGGTGTTGTTGTTGGCCAGGAATCTTCATTCCCTCTGTTTTATCTATGTTCACTTGAAGTCCTATCTTTGATGCTTCTTCTGCCAACTTGTTGCTTTTCACTTGCATATCTCCCAGTTTGTGGGAAATCAGACATATGTTCTTATCGGCAAAGTTCAGTTACTCAAAGTTTTTTGTGTGAGTCCATTTTATGCCTTTTTCCTCGTTGCTCGCTCTCTGTTGTATTGTCCAATCTACTGCAATCAGGAAAGTCATTGGCGACAGTAGGCAGCCAGCTAGTCTTACTCCCGTCGTCACTTCGAAGGATTCCGTGAGTTTACCGTTGTGGATTGCCTGGCATGAAGCAATGACGTACAACTGTTGGATGAGATGTATAATTGGATGAACTTATTCGAAAAAGCCGACCTCAAACAGTTGTCCCTTATGCTCTAAGGTAATGCAGATCTACATGGTTGGTATAGACATCCTGTTCGGGATTCTAAGGACCAATGGCTTGAAACTATCGGTGATAAGAATCAATATGGTTTTCAGTGACGAAGATACGTTTGTAACCAAACAACTAGGTACCTATAGGGCAAAAGTTTGACACAATTTATAGCGGTGAAGGATGACAATGGAAAGTCAACCACCAAAGAAGTGAAGCAAACAAAACACTGGGTTGAACACTTCAAAAGACTTCTAAATCGACCGCCACCTACAACGCGCCCAACAATACCAACAACGGAAGCAGATGTTGTTAGCTAACATAGGAGTAGTTTGGAAAAGAGTTAGGGTCGATCAGACCAAAACTTCAGATCACTCACTGCCTGAAGTCTTTAACTTTTGGATTGAGGCAGTCACGTGGAGAGGTGTAGACTGACTGGTTGGAGTCATCGTGACGCTAAGTAGCAATGACTGGAGACTATCTATCGGTGATATGGCCCAAAATCGTTATGCATAGTGCAGCTGCATTCACTCCATGTAATCTCCTAGATCTACCAAACACACATGTTTTTCCATGTTACTATTTTTTCTCCCGTCTATTTCTGCTGTTTATAGTTGTTTCCAATCGCCTTTATCTTCCTTTTCTCTACCGTCTATGGTGCATAGAGTAGGGCAGTTTCAGGCGCTGCACTTCTGTAACTTACTCCTTAATAGTACCTTCTTGAAAAATTACATAGTCCCCTTGTAGCCTTCTGAGCCTGAACTTTGTTTCTGCTTGGTTTGGGAACTGAGTAAGGCCAATAATCACTAGTTAACAGTTTTTAGGTCTATACGGTATAGTGGGGGCTTAGTTTTGGTGATTGACTGAATAGTTCAGATGATAAAGACGAGAGTAGGGTGAAATACTTTGACTTTTATGATATCTTTGTAAAGATGAGAACTGATAAGGAGGGAACATAAAATGGCACAGAGAATAAGAAGAGGAATGGGTGGTGAAAACAGAATTCAGATGTTTTTTTCACGAATTCAATAATACTACTTTAAGTAACATAAATGTTATTAGAAAAGAGCGGAGAGGAGAAAAAAATGCTGTTAGGATAATTGTCGAAACAATGAAAGCTAATGTCATTAAGTTTGACTAACTGACTGACTGACGGAGTTTCATTACAGCACTTCGCATAGAATTGCGGCATTTTATTAATGAGCAGAAATGTACGATAGAGAGAATAGTAATATGGAAAGACATGTGAATTTTTTTTTTTGATTTCAGCTTGATTCCACACCGTATTTTTGGTACAAGTATGCAATTTTCAGTATGTGATATCGGCCCAAATTTTGCAGGCTGACCATAGACATGAGGTGTGTGTTGGTAGGGGATCGAACTCCGGACCATGTGCATAGTCGGTGAGAGTCCTAACCACTGTGCCACCGAATTTAATGGATCTGGGAGGTTACCAGGAAGAGTAAATATATCTTCGTCACTGAAAACCATTTTGATCCTTATCGCCGATAGTTTCAAGCCACTCGTCCTTAGAATCTCTAACACCCTTTCCAGGATATGTATACCTACCATGTAGATCTGCACTATCTCGGAGCTTAAGGGAAAACTGTCTGAGGTCGGCTTTTTCGAAGAGGTTTTTGGGGCCGTAACCATATTCAAATCTCACCTTCGACTACAGACAGCTTCAACGTAATTCGGAATGTAGAGTTTTCCTGGTTGATTTCTTCTAGTAACCTCTTTTCAAAGAAGAGGGGTAGCAAAGGTGGCTTCCTGGTCATTCAATGAAAACACCTCACTTTTCCAATCAGACACTTAACATAGAGATACAACTTACGCTGTGACGATAAATAATTTTGGTCTAACTGGTGTCTAAATGACCTTTCAACACTGTAAGATATGCAGTGACATTCGTTTCAATCAGTTAAGTTGGTTGGATCGTTGTGATATGCAATCTCGACTATCATGTCAAGGTAACAGTTATTGGTTTGGACCATTAAATTTGACATTTTTGTCCTGAAAAGAAGTTGAACAATGCTACTAAATGTTCAGATAAAGTCTCATCTCAGAAAAGCCAAGCAGCCACTTTTTTAAACTACTCTTTAAGTGAATATGTCAAAATAGACACAATAGGAATGAATATGCCTTGTTCTAGTTGAAAAGAAGATAGAAAAGCTTTTATTTTGTGGAAATAAAAAACCTACTGTGTAGATTCATACAATCATGGAGCTACTTATATTAACAAAAGAATATGGCAAAATTGGTTAACATTTATCGCTCATTTTAGTTTTAATTTGCGTTTCCTGTAGATTGGCTATATTGGACCGAAATGATCGGGAAATACAAATTAGTTCTAATGGTTCTAATGTGGTTCTAGTAGGAAGCCGTAACCAGTAGGGTACAGTAGGTTGAGGTTGAGGCAGTAACTCATCGAAGAAGACATTGCGAAATGGTCGCGCTATATCTTGAATTGGCAGAAGTTAGAATCCAAGAGCCATTGGATCGGGTTCCAGTAGCTCAATCGTCTACGAGCTCGCCTTGTATCGAGAAGGTCTTGGGTTTGAATTCCGGTTGGTGCGTACTGGTTAATAGTCCCAAACTAAGACGAAACAGCTATCTAGTACTCCCAGGTTTTCCAATGGTTCTCTGACTGACATCAGCTCATGATGAAATTCTCTATGCAAACAAACAAAATCCCTACAAAACCAATACTTGAAAATACAAATTAAGCTATAAACGAGTGATAAATGATACCTGTTGTGCAAAAGCTAGTTATCATGGCATAGTGGCCTAGTCGGCAACGCTTTGGCTTTTAAAACAATGGGCTCTAGGTTAGAGTTTCAGTATTATTGTTTCCTTGGGTTCCAAGTGGATTGTAGGGCTTCAACGACACATCTCGATTTTGTCCTATTTTCTGCTGTCCTCTTCAACTGGCCAGACCAAAGATTGCCCATAATCTCTCATCTACTATTCTCACTATCTCCATGTCACCCTTAAGAACGACGACCCACTCGTCGCTTTCCACTGCGATTCCATTTCGGCAGTACCCTATATTGCGCGCGATGTCATTCGACGGCTTCCTCAGTGGTGTATTCCCAATTCATCTCCATTTTCTCCTTCATATTTGTTGGGCGATCGGCTCTTGGTTGTTTCGCTGCCTGCCGGAGTTTCTTGTTGTTAATTCTTTCTGGCCTGCTGGCCGGTCATCTGATCTTCAGTAATGGAAGCATAGAAGGTGGCAACTGTTGATAAAAGTCTGCCCCTAGCTGTTGAAAATCCTTTCTGTGACTTATACGCAGTGCAAGTTTCTGACCCCTAAAGAAGGATCGACTTGACTTTTGTGTTGAACAGAATCCGAATCTTGTTCTTTATGCTGAGTGAGTGACAGCAGAAGATTTCCAATTCGGTTTCATGTTGATGAAGGCATATCTTGCCTTTCCGATGCTGTCTGATTTGCTTTGACATCTTTATTCGTTCCGAGTGGCTGTAGTTGAAACGATGCTTCCTGGATCAGTAAAGGAAATGGCCTTTTTCTGATTTGTACCGTTGATAGTGATAAGTGCTTGTTATTGTTGATTGATTAGTTTTCACCATCTCTGTCTTCTCCATGTTCACTTGAAATCCTGTTTTGAGTGCTTCTTCTCACAAGAATTAGGTTTTCGCCTGTAAGTCTTCGGGTTTGTGTCTGTCTGTCTGTCTGGATTCAACATAGAACTTGGCACCGAAGTGCAGCACTTCGAGTTCCCACGTTCCAAATACCACACAAAAGTAGACAAGAAGATGAGTGAAGAGAATCAATACAGTCTGACAAGTATAAGAGTGAAACAGAATGGGTAATTGTAGAAAGGAATATGAAAGATTACAGAGACTGAATACATCTGCGCTGGCCATTGACAACGATTTTGAGCCATGTCACCTATTGTCTCCAGCCATTGATTCCTAGAATCAGTCCCGAGGGCCCCAACCTGGAAGTCTGCATCTCCCTACCTGACCGACTCAGTTTAACTGTCAAGGATTTCATGGATTGATGAGGCCATGTTTTTGTTTGGCCACCACTTACTCTTTTCCAACCTGCACTACCTATATCAGCTAGTAATGCCCGTCGTCGGGGGAGGCGATGGTTAGGCATGCGCAGCACATTAGACATTAATCATCTGCCAAATCCAGATCTTCCACAGTCTTCTTATCAGTCCAACGTATTCGGAGGTTTGATCCCCTGCCAACGCACACCTGATATCTATGGTCAGCCTGCAAAATTTGGGCTACCGATATCCATGCTGAAAATTGCATACTTGTACCAAAAATACAGTTTGGACTTAAGCTGTAATTGAAAATAAAAAAAAAATACATCAGAACATTAGTAAACCATGCACGCGTCTGCTAGAATTCACGATATTAATATCAGAGAGGCTTCTACTTACTGTGAACATTTTATGTGTACCTGACATGACTAACAGTTCTACCTTTACAATATTAAAGAATAAACTAAACAAGGAATCTTCTTCTGTGAGGGTTAGTGAGAAATATTTTTAATATTTTGGCGTTGGTGGGGAGAAATCCTCCATTCATATTGATGGTTGTGATATATCGACACAAACACTAAGAAATGAAATGATAAATACGATGTAGAAAAATTGTTTTATTTAAAACATTGTACAATATGACATCAAGGAGATGTGCCACACATACATAATATAAACAACATATAAAAAAAGAAAAAAAATAGGTAGAGAATTAATAGACACCATTATCCGGAAGGGAAGCAGCTATATATTTAACAACACCAAAAAGCATTCGTCGAATTATTGTCAGAAAGAGGAAGAAAGAAAGGAAATTGCAGCACTTTCACCATTGACGATTGTGATTGTTGGTCATATCCGATAACGATTAACGCCACCGATTCGAGTTATCTCTCAGATTCCAACCATTGAGTCTTAACGCACTAACCAATGTTAACCTAACACAAATATCTTTCACCCCACGACGCCATGTCATGGGTTGACCACCTTTCCACTTTTCTTATCCCATCTCAAGGTTAACGAACAGAGCCCGATACGAAAGCCTCCGAAATGATATTCGTAGCATATGTTCAAGCCACCGAAGTCGGTATTTCCAGATGGTGACACACAATGAATGGTGATTTCCACTGCGTCTAAACATACACAGTTTACAGTTTACAATTTATTTAGGATAGTAGGCTATATGCCTGTGTTAATCCTTTCGATTTATTGCATACAGGAGGTCCAATCTCGCCTTGAATGAATCAATGGATGGCGCTGATACGACGTGTTCCGGTAGGGAGTTCCAATGGTTCACAATTCGATGCGAAAAACGGATCTCCAGACGCAGACGATTCGACCGTGGCTTTTGAACCTTGAGGTGATGTCCTCGCAATTGGTTGGTGCTAGAAGGAAGAAATAATTTAGATAAATTAGCTCCAAAATCATTTCTTAGGATACGGTATGCTAGTATTAGGTCACCCCTAAGTCGTCTGTATGACAGTGGAAATAAACCCAGTCGACTTAACCTCTCCTCATATGACAAGGTTGAGAAACCCTTTATTAGCTTAGTTCCTACTCTTTGCACCCTTTCTAATAAGTCCAGAACACTGCCAGGCCTTTGAATTACTCACAAGATGATACCATCGAACGCAAGCAATTCTACAGGAATAGCGGTGAATGAATACCCAGAGTTGTCTCACATCGCGACATCACCATAGGTGGCTGAAGTTTACGTATGCCTCCGTAGCTTCCATGAAACGGTTGAAAATCTCATCCGACATACCTCTGCCAGCTCTCACACAACTACTCAAATACAAGAACTTATGGATAAATTCAAGAGGTTCGCCTGAAAGAGTAAGTGCAAGTACAGGCTCCTGTGCAAAGGACATACCATACTCACAGACACTGATCGCCAACTGATTAAGTGCGATTTGGGCAGCTTGCAGGCTATTACACAGTAAAGCGATTTCGTCTGCGTACTCAAAGTTGAAAATTCCTTCTGCAGGTGGAAAAAAAGGAGTTCAGTGGCTCTAGGTGTTACATGAAGTCCAAGTGTATGAGAGTCTTTTTTTCATAACCACTTGCGTTCCAAGGGGAATGTATAGTTTCAAGTTTGAGGTTTGCAGTTTCACTGGCAGTGGTGTTGTTTTAATACGGCGTGAACAACCATCCCTTCTTCTACAGACTTACTGTCTGCTAGGTTGGGGTTTACTGTGCGTCGACTGTGCATTGAATCTAAAAAATCGGTGTGACTAAGTGTACACTATCGCAATAATCTGAATTATTTATCTTTATTACAGTCAGAATCGACAGTTCAAACACAATCTGCAGACGATCAGTCAGTGAATAAGAAACGTTGTGTTGTTATTACAGCACGTGTACATCCTGGTGAAACACAAGGAAGTTGGATGATGAAAGGTTTAATTGAATTTCTGATAAGCGAAGATCCAGATGCAAAGGTATGTTATCTATCTCATGTATAATTTTTGATATAATTCGTTCATCATTTAGTAACTTTGCGAAACTATAGTTTTTATTTTAAGGATACAAAGAAAGGCGACTGGTTAGCTAAGACTAATCTCTTGGAGTGGTGGAATTACTGGAGAAATAAAGTGTCTCTTGAACCACCTGAGTATAAATCCTATTATTATTCAGCATACACTTTATTCCAGTTTTGATATGATAGAGAAGATTTGTAGCTCAGGTGGATGATTTTGATGTGATTGTTTTCATTACCCTACTAGGCGACATCTTCAGCGCATACTTCAATTCAAGGGAGTGACCTTTTAGATTTCTCCACGAGTTTATTAATCATCTCTCCTGGTGACCAGCTTGAAAGTGATTGGTTGTTTTTGTGTGTTCTCACACCCTCTAGGCTACTTGTATTGGAAGTGATTGTTCCTTGACTTGAAATTTGACCCTTTGTTTGTGAAGTTTCTGTCTTATCCGTTGATAAATTTTGTCTATCTCGATGTGTCTATTGATTGACGATTCACTGCAATACCAGGCAGGCTTCTAAACATTCTCTAGCATTCTTGATGTTTCCTTTGTCTAATATTTGAACGTTGGTTGTCCCAGTCAAATTGATGTCCATATTCGTCTGTATGTAGCGATATGAGGGAGTGAATGTCATTTCTTTTGATGGCTAGCTTATGCTCATGGATACGAAAACGAAGGGGACGTCCAATTTGGCCAATGTAGTGTTTTTCGCAGTTGGTAAATTTACCAACCGATAAAAGGGAAACCTTACACACAAAGGTTCAAAGTTCAAGTCAAAGAAACAATCAATTCCAATACAAGTAACCTAAAAGGTGTAAAAACAAACAAAAACAACCAATCGCGTTCAAGCTGGTCACCTAGAGAAATGACTAATAAACTCTTGGAGAAATCTAAAAGCTGACTTCAGCAAATTGAAGTATCCGCCGAAGATGTTGCCTAGTGGTGCGTAATGAAAGCTTCGCAAATTAACTATCCAGCTCAGAGAACTTAACCACATTAAAAAAATTATTCCGGTTAAATAGAAGATGAGAATATAGGATCTCAAGTGAAGTGGTCGAATACGTTGACCGTTTTACTTATTCATCTGCCCGATTAATGTCCAGTGACCAGGCTATAGATATGGCTATAGGAAACATCATGTGCGATACCTTTAGAACTAGAGAAGTATACTGCTAATCATCAGAGCGTTTGCATGTTTTTCTGACATACATTCTGGGTGTGATTTATGGCCACAGAAAATAAAACTTGTACAAATAGGCTGAAGACTTTCAGTTAATCATTAACTGACTAGCATATAATAATAATGAGTTTAGGTGTGTACAGATAAGTCAGTTGATGGAGTTAGGAAGCTTCACCAGTAGACATAAGTGGTACTATTACTTTTCTCGACGTGTAATGTTATCTGAAGTACGACGAAATTGTAAGAAATCTAGCCATAGTCAAGCATATAAACAGTATCATTTTTGCTGTGGTTGTGTTCTCTGGGCTGGATAGTTAATTTGCGAAGCTTTTATTACGCCTCACTAGGCAACATCTTCGGCGAATACTTCAATTTGTAGAAGTCAGCTTTTAGATTTCTCCACGAGTTTATTAATCATCTCTCCTGATGGTGACCGCCTTAAACGTGACTCTTTGGTTGTTTTGTGTGTTTTCACACCTCTAGGCTACTTGTATTGGAAGTGATTGTTTCCTTGACTTGAACTTTGACCCTTTGTTTGTGAAGTTTCTTTCTTATCGGTTAATAAATTTAGTCTCTCTTGATGTGTCTATTAATTGACGATTCACTGGAATACTAGACAGAGTTGTAAAAATTCTCTAGCATTCTTGATGTTTCCTCTGTCTAATATTTGAACGTTGGTTGTCCTAGTCGAATTGATGTCCGTGGTTGCCTGTATGTAGTGATATGAGGGAGTGGACGTCATGTATTTTGGCGGCTAGTTTAATGATCATGGATACGAAGATAACGGGAACGTCCACTTTGGCCAATTTCAGTATTTTTCGCACTTGTTACAATTTATTTTGTAAGTGATTTTGGTTTTGTCTTCTTTCGTTGTTGAGTCTTTTAGTTGACACAGAAATGAATGAAGTGATTTTGTTGGTTTGTTTACGACGTCATTTTCTAAAGGTTTGAAGGTTTGGACGCCCGCTAGGCTGTCTTCACTATGTTCACCTGAAGTCCCTCCTATATTTTGATGCTTTTTCTGCCAACTTGTTGCTTTTCACTTCCGTATCTTCCAGTTTTTGGGAAATCAGACATATGTCATCATAGGCGAAGTTCAGGTGTGATATCACTATAATTTACTTCGTCTTACATTTTGCACTTTTTAAAATTCTCTTACAGATATTACGATCAAATTTTGTATTCAAATTAGTGCCAATGTTAAATCCTGATGGAGTTATTGTTGGCAATTATCGTTGCTCTTTATCAGGTTGTGATTTAAATCGAAAGTATACATCGAATTTGAAAAAATTCTTTCCAACTATCTGGCATACTAAACATATGATTATTGAGTAAGTGTTATACATCTGCATGTATATATATAATTCACTTTTGATTAAAACAGGGTCATTAGTTTGTTCTGAAAATCACTTTTATTTATTTAGTATACGTGGCTCCTTTTTCCATTCTATGAGTTTTGGAATGGGGCATAGGACTTCAATCTTAGGAGCTTTAGTTGCGGTGATGCTATTTTCACAAAGTGAGATTACTGGTTTCACGCCTAGCATTCCCTTCCTTCTAGTCCTGCTATTGCCTGGGCATGGTTTAAGAGTGCCTATGCTGAGGATTGAACGCGGATCGTGTGATTGACTGGTGAGTCTTGTGTGATTAAACCGCCCGTGTATTCTGCATCTGTACGGAGACATATCTTAATGTACTGTCAAAGCTTACATGATTTCATGCAGCAAGAGACGCCAAAGTTAATAAATAGTGCTCAGAAGTTACACTTATCTAACTTATACATGGTAGATCCAAGTTTAAACAGAAACAGTTTTTCGATATATTGACAAAATAGTTGAGCAATGAAAAGAAGAGGCGAATAAGTTATTATTATTTCATTTAATTCCTAGAAGAACATAAGCCTTCAACCGAGCGTCTCCATTGCTTTCGGTTTTCTGCCAACGTTTTCACCTGGCTCCAAGTCTGCCCACATGTTTTCATCTCCTCTTCACATGACCTCCTCCATGCCACCCTCGCATTGACGACTAACTCTCCGCTTTCTTTTCGTGTTCCACTCGAGCGATGGCCTGGCATGTGATGTCACTTGATGGTTTCCTCAGAGCATGGTCAATCCATGTGCTTTTATTCCTGCTTATTTGCTGCACAATCGGTTCCTGGTTGGTTCGCTCACTACCAGAGATCCCTGTTGCTTATCTTTTCTGGCCGGCCATCTGATCTTTGGCGAAGTATTGAGCGAAGAAAGTTGTTGATGGAGGTCTGTAATTTGTTTGAGGTGCTATTCATGGCGCGCCAAGTCTCCGCCCAGCATGGTAGCACTAACTTCACATTAGAGTTAAAAATCTGGATCTTATTTTTGATGCTGAGCGCTATTGACCTCAACACAGACTTGAGAGTAATGCAAACTTGTCTTGCTTTTCCTATCCTTGCTTTGATATCCTCGTCAGCTCCGTTGGCCTGTAGTTGAAATGATGCTTCCCAGGTAGGTAGGTATGTAGGTAGAGGAGGTTGTTTCTTTCAGGTTCCTCCCATTTATACTGATTGTTGTCTGCTGTTGGTGTTGGCCAGGAATCTTCATTACATACCTCTATGTTCACCTGAAGCCCTATCTTCTCTAGATGCTTCTTCTATCGCCAACTTGTTGCTTTTCACTTGCATATCTTCGAGTTTGTGAGAAATCAGACATATATCATCATCGGCGAAGTCCAGATCCTCCAAGTTTTTTCTTGAGGGTTCATTTTATGCCTGTCTTCTAGTCGCGCTGCCCTCTGTCTGTCGCATTATCCAATCCACTGCATTCAGGAAAATGATCGGCAATAATAGGCAACCTTGTCTTAACCCCGTCCTTACTTCGAAGGATAATTGTATAATTGTCGGCGGCACCCCGTAGCAGCGAATTAGTCGCCAAATCACCTCTCGATTGACGCTGGACAATCGAAGGTCTTTTGAAAGTCGATGAAGTTGGGATAGATAGGTGACTGCCATTCCAAGCTTTGTTCAATGATGATCCGTAGCGTAGCGATTTGATCAGTGAGTTAATGATACGTAATCACTTGGTGAGTTCAACTCAGATAATAGAAACGGAAACACAAAACACATCTGTAATAACTTTAAAGTAAAGTGGATAAATCACTAGATTATTTTGATAATAATAATCCACGTGGAAAGTGTTCTCTGGCGAGAGTCAGTGCACCTTACTCCACCAGATCAGGTCAACTAATAGATGTACATGAATGCAGCCAGATGAAGAAGCCAATATTTTACACACAGAAAGAGAATAACGTGCTACTGATGAAGGTTATTTTTAGTTTTTTTTCAGCAAAAACACATTTTATTAACTGATTTAGAGAGATTCACATCTATTCTAAAGTTTTAATTTCTGCGTATTTTGATGTTTTCGTTCAAATTACCTGATTTTCTTTAGATATAATTCCTACAGTTTATACATTTGCATTGCGTATATTTTGTTTTCTGTTTTCATAGTATCATGAAACAGTATGAAGTGGTCGTTTACTGTGATCTACACGGGCATAGTCGACAACAGCAAATGTTTATTTATGGATGTAAAGGTGAAACACCTGAACAACGTTATTGTTCACGCATTTTTCCAGCTATGTTGGGCAAAAATATACCTGAATTAGTAAGTGATAGCAAAGAGTTTAAATGCATAAAGAAAGTGATCAGTTCAGATGGGTTGATTAATTAATATTGTTTCTTTTTATTAAACAATGAATATTTAATCCCTTTGATATCGATGGGTTGTATGATATCACATACTACTGACTGTTTCTTTTGAGTAGTTGGATAACACTCAGATTAACCAGTATTATATGTTAGCCAACCAGATTACTGGGATCTCTGAACACTAGACATATGTTTTGCTCATCTGGAGTCGAGTTCATCAGTGGTGTACCCTATATGACTCAGTTCAGATGTCAGAATCCGTCGAAACCACCCAAACTCTGCCCGGCTATGCGCTTGTGAGGATTGCAAAATTTGCAAATTTTACCCTCATTTTCCATTGCAAACTAAAATCACTTAGATTACAAATGTATGGATACCATAAGTGGCAATCAAGAAAGCAAACCTACATTATTATTATACTCTTGGGTTCCCAGTGGAACATAAGGCTTGAACAACACCTCTCCACTTTGTTTAATTGTCTGCCGTACTCTACATCTGGCCAGGCCCACGATTGACAATAATCTCCCAACTCCTCTTTCCCACACGATCTCTTCTATGTCATCCTTGCACTGAAAACTCACTCATCTCGTCCCATTGAGATTCCTTGTCGAGTGATGGCCTGAGTTGAACGCAATGACATTCAACGGCTTGCTCAATGTATGCCCGATCTATCTCCATTTTCTCTAACTTATTTGTTGATCTGACGGCTATTTCTTGGTTTGTTCTCAGAGTTTCTTGTTCCTAGATTAGAAATAGGGAGTGAAGTGGTAGAGCACGTTGACCGCTTCACTTATTCGGGAAGTACCATCAGCCCCAATGGGCTGATCTCTGACGAAATCTCAGCACGAATACAAGGGGCTCGTTTCGCATTTGTTAGTTTACGCCGACTCTGGCGTAGACGAGATGTTCGACTATCGACCAAAGGGCGGGTGTACTGCTCATCAGTCCGCTCCGTCCTCCTTTATGGTTGTGAGACCTGGCCACTGAGAGTGGAAGACATGAAAAGACTAGCTGTCTTTGATCATAGGTGCCTGCGTTCTATTTCCCGTGTGAAGTGGTATAATAGGGTGAGCAACATGGAGGTTAGGCGTCGAGTTCTAGGTAAACAGGGGAAATCAATCGACGAAGTCGTGAAGCTACAAAGACTGAGATGGTTAGGACATGTGTTACGTATGCATGCCAAGCCATCGCCTCCCTCGACGAGCAATGTTAGCGGATATAGGGTCAGGCTGGAAAAAAGCTAGCGGCGGTCAAACAAAAACTTGGCATCAGTCAATGAAATCCACAACACTTGGTCTAAGCCACGTAGGAAGGTGTAGACTTCCAGGCTGGGGTCCTCGGGACGGTAAAAATCTATGGTTGGAAACAATTGGTGACATGGCTCAAAATCGTTCTCAGTGGCGCAGATGCATCCACTCCCTGTGACTTATGATCTTCAACGAAACTCACACCTCTGCTCACTGTTTCTATTATGCTTTTCTTGTACTTTCTTCTCTTGCTTCGCGTGCTACACGGAGTGTGGCGACTTGAACTTCCGCACATTTGTGCAAAGTTCTATGTCGAAAACAGACAGACAGACAGAATTCTTATTTGCCGGCTAGCTAGCCATCTGATCTTCAATAGGGAGCCGGAGCAGGAGGCAGCTGTTAATAAAGTCTGTAACTTGTTGGAAATCCTTTTCGTGACTGACACACAGTGAAAGTTTCTCACCCGCATAGAAGCACTAACTGACTGACTTCACATTCGTGTTTGAAATCCGAATCTTGTTCATTATGCTGAGTTAGTTAGTGACAGCAGAAGATTTCCAATTCGGTTTCATGTTGATGAAGGCATATCTTGTCTTTCCGATGCTGGCTGATTAGCTTTGACATCTTTATCCATTCCGACTGCCTGTTGTTGAAACGATGCTTCCCAGATAAGTGAAGGAAGTAATGTCTGTTAAATCTGTCCCGTTGATAGTGATTTGGTGTTGGTTGCTGCTGTGGTTGTAGCTGTTCGTTGGTTATTTTCATCCCCCTCTGTCTTCTCTATATTCACCTGAAGTCCTGTCTTCTCCTGCCTACCTCTTCTGTCAGTCTGTTGGTTTTTGTCTGTAAATTTTCCGGTTTGTGTAACATTAGACATAAATCATCCGTATGCGAGATTCAGATCTTCTAAAGTCTTTTTATTGGTTCAACATGTTCCTGTCTTCTCACTTCCTGTGGACAGTCTGACGCATAATCCGGTCCACCACAATTACTGATATCATCGGTGATAATAGGAAGGGATCCTTTTCTTGCTCCCGTATTCACTTTGAACGCATCTCTGAGGCTTCAGTTGTGGGTCACCTGACACCTGGCATTGTCATATAGCTGTTGAATGAGCTTGATAAAGACTTGGTCACGGTAAACCCTAGTGTTGTGCTAGTTTCCAAATGACTTATTTGTCTCGATTTCAGTTCCATGTAGTGTTGTTTATGGGTGCCAATTGATGAAGAGTCCCAAACCAAGACCAAGCAGCGGTTCAATTCTCCACGATTTTCAGTGGTCTCTAATTGATGTTGATTGTTGACGAAATCTAAGGATTGAAAGGTATGCCCGCCCACCTGATGATTCCAAGCAGAGCGGAGCATTCATTCTGAGTTCCACTGACAAATATGTAATGGATTTCATCATGAGCTGACATTAGTTAGAGAACCATTGGAAAACCTGGGAGTACTGGACAGCTGTTTCGTCCTAGTTTGGGACTCTTCAGCAGTACGCACCCGCCGGGATTCGAACCCAGGACCTTCCGGTATGTCGTGAATTGGCAGAAGTTAGAATCCAAGGACCATTGGATCGGGTTCCAGTGGCTTAGTGGTATACGAGCTCGCCTTGTAACCGGAAGGTCCTGGGTTCGAATCCCGGCGGGTGCGTACTGCTGAAGAGTCCCAAACTAGGACGAAACAGCTCTCCAGTACTCCCAGGTTTTCCAATGGTTCTCTAACTAATATCAGCTCATGATGAAATCCTGAAACCAATCAAATCCCTACAAACCAACACTTGAAAATATGTAATGATAATAATATTCAAAGGAGAAAATCCGTTTTACATAAGATTATTAAGTACTGATTCACTGTTTTATTCTGTTAAATGCATTTTTAGTTTAACTTTGACAAGTGTAAATTCTCTGTTCAAAAAGAAAAAGAAGGGACTGGACGAATTGTAATGTGGAGAGAGGGGATTATGAATAGTTATACCTTGGAGGTAAGTCATCTCTGAGGACTTTTTATTCAGAAATTTGGAATCATGTAGGTAGAACTGTCTAGGGTTGATAACAAACAGAATGATAGATAAATGCTGCCGTTTTCGTTATTCTAATAAATATGAATGCCTTGGTTTTATTTTGATAAATAACACAGTGTTACACAGTAATATTAACTGATGACCACATTTCGAGCACAAATTATTGCTTATAATCACATTAAGTTACTCATACAACTAGTAGTGATAACATAAATAAGAGAGAATTTAAGTGGTCTACTGTTATAAGCATAAAAGGATGGGACATCCGAGACTCTACTTAGGATTCTTAATAAAGCAGGAATTAGAGTAGCATTCAAACCTTCAAACTCACTCAGATAGGATATGCTCTGTAGGCTAAAGAACCTAGTCGGTTGACCCAATTAGACAAAATAATATAATTTACAAAATACCTTGCAATGACTGTGAGGTCAACTATATAGGTCAAACTAGTAGATCAGGGGTAATCAGACTGGCGGAACATAAGAATTTAGCTAAGGTAAGAATGGTTGACCCACGGAAGATGAGCAATTTAGAAAAAAGCTCAGTAATTGCACTGCATGGATTAACACAAAACCACACAACAGGTTGGCAGAGGGTTAAAATTCTAAGAAGTAATCTATCTAGGTGGAGAGAGAGATTGATTACTGAATCCTGCCTGTTTCATCGAGTCTACACCCAACACACCACATTCAACATAAATGACTCAATGGAAATACCACAGATATGCATGGAAGATATTATTACCACCAGTCAGTCAGTCAAATCAGAGGGGGATAATAAATAATCTCAAAATTCTATTTCAATTCAAACACATCACAACATTCTAACAAGTTACTTATTACGACTATAAAAACACTCGTTTTATTTCCCATCTGATTGTAATTGATCAATAACACTCATAATATTATTATTTCTGAATGTACATTATGCTACACTGATTTTATTCAAATGTTTAATCATCAATTCCACTCATGTATATAAATGATGGAAAAATTTGTCTGAGTGACTTGATATGATTATGAGTGGCAATAGTTTGTGCTCGAAACGTGGTCATCAGTTAATATTACTGTATAACAGCACCGTGTGACTTATCGAAATAAAATCTTATCCATAATTGAGTTATACTATACCAGTACAGTGCCTAAGTTTTATACTTATATGAATGCCTAGGCATGTGTAGAACTTAGATTTGTGTATATGTGTTAAAAATACCGGAAAAAGTAGCACATAAAAGCTCTTATTACAAATAGATATCCAGCCTCTTTCACTGTTGGACACTCAAGCAGGCAGACCGATTCTTTCACGAAACCTGGATGTGCCAAAAGAAACAATTAGTCGTCAATCTGAAATCCGAAAAAAAATACAATCATTATTGAAGTCCCTCGAAGCCGTCTGTCGGCAAAACCCTGGAGAACGTTTTTCACTGCATTTCTACGCCTTAAGTTTTCCATGCATACTCTTGTTCATCAAAGCGTCGAATACGAAATTCCACTGTTTCCAACTTTCATGTGTACCTTATAGTTAGATACATAGGGTCTTAACAGCAGTACATTGTCTGGACGCGCTGATGAACAATTTACCAGGATGGATGTTGAATGGAGAATGCGGTACAGTGGACAGCTCAATTCTGGAGCATATTGTTATTTCTAGTCATGCAGCATCGACAGAGATTCAATGTAGTTGGCCAGATTTCGTTTGAACACACACATATTTGGCTTGTTCAAATGAATTCCGATTGCCTTTGCTTCGCTCAATCTATTGTCTTTTCTAAATGCGTGATAGGAGTTTGGGAATTACTGAAACCGTATGACAGCCATTTTGCATTGAAGATCCTCAGTGAGTATCTGAAGTATAGGGCAAGGCTCACTGAGTCGAAAAGGCCTATAGATTTTATCCATGAGTTTATCGAAACTCTGCGCTACGCGAAAAAAATACTGCGAATCGTTACGTCGCTCCTGAATACAACCAAACTCAAGAACCTTTAGGCATCATGCTGTCAATCAGATGTACTCTTTGAAATCATGTGCCACTCAACTGTCAAGGAATACTGCAGAAAGACTCTACGCTGTAAAATAAATTCCGGACCATTTAAAGCAGCTATTCCTGCAGTATAAGGGTGGCGTTATTAACAGGAAAGACAAGAAACAAAACCAACTAGTTCAAAGCCTTGATAATCAGAGGTGGGAAGCACATTTCCCACCCAATCCAAAATTGCATGTCCACAATTTTTATAGTGTGGTTCTATATATAATGGATTTAGAATTCTTATCTCTATATCTTAAATTTTGTGATAGTAATATAAAAGTCAATAAAATGGACATACAAGTTCAATTTGAAAACTTTCATGCTCAAACTGTAGAAGTAATGCCTTCATCGGACGAGGAAATTAATAAGTTCAAGGCAACTTTGGTCGATTTTTGTTACAAATACATGAATAGTAGAGGTAGTACAAATGGTATTTCAACCAAAAAGCATCCAGAGGCTTTAAAAAAATTGAAAGCAGATGAAATTAATAGTGATCTGCAGAAATGACAAAGGCTCAGGGGTCGTTATCGTGGATAAGTCTGACTACCTTATCAACATGGGGACTTTATCAAGTGGTGCATACAAATTTCAGAAACTAACAACTGACAGAGTTACTAGGGAGAGGATTGATAGACAGTTAACAGAATCTTTTTAAAATAGTTGGAACAACAAGACCATATTTCACCTACCTTGGACGAGATACTAAAACCTGTTGGCATAGTAACAACCAGGTTATATGGTTTACAAAAGATTCACATAGACGGTTTGCCACTCAGACTTGTCCTCAATTTGTCTAGCTCACCATATCATTCAACTGCGAAACGGCTGGTGGAAAAGTTTTACAGCCGTTGCTTTAGAAACTTGTGAAAAGTAGACGAAAAGATAGTTTTGAGTTTGTAGAAAGAATCAAAGAATTAAGTGTGTAGGATAAATACACGATATTACTGGATGTATCTTCCTTATTCACTAATGTACCTTTGATGGGAACAGTTGATTACATAGGTAATGAATTGATAAAGCAAAGTTTTGAGACTGGAATTCCTCCTGTTTCTTCCTTAAAAGAGCTTCTTTAAAGGTGTATAATGAATGTAAACTTCTTGTTCAATAAGAAAATGTTTAGACAGTCAGATGGTGTTTCTATGGGATCACCACCAGACCCAATTTTAGCAGATTTTACCTGGCGTTACTAGAAAATGGTCCACTTAAAGATGTAATATATAATCTTGATTTCTATTGCTGATATCTCGGTGATACATTTATAGTTGTGAAGAAAGAAAGAGAGACTAAGGACATATTGGATAAATTCAATAAAGCACTGATATATATCCATATAATATGTGTGTTTGTTTGACAGTCGGTTGTATTTTGCTATGTATACATGGATCGATATTCCATTATAATTAGCCAATCATGTTAAGACTGTCTATTGATTTGTTCATTTTGGATATTCGCTCACACACTTGTGTTCACACACTTGTTCGGACATATATATATATATATATATATATTTGCTCTCACACTCTTGTGTGACATTATTGATTCTCCTTGTGTTTTGGAAAATAGAAGTATCATCGCAAACCTAGTGGTCTTCTGACTTCCGTCTTTCTTGCGTCAGGACTATTAAATTCTCGACCAGTACATAACAATAATTTGCCGACGAGTACATAATAAGCACATCCTAGCATAAGCTTCACTAAGGTAGAAGCAGAAAACGGCTGTCTCTCCTTTTTCGACGTCCTAATGGCTAACCAAACAGACGCAATAGTATATAGAGGTTTGCAAAGAAAACCTTTTTCCACTGGACAATACGCTCACTTCCTGAACTTTGTACCTCTGCAGTACAAACGTAATCTGGTTAAATGTCTGGTTTACTGAGCCTTTTTCAATTCACAATTTTATGAATTTGTTTATTGTTTTCTATTTTTACTTTTATTTTAAATCAAGGCAACATTTTGTGGTACAGCTGGTAATGATCTGGAAGCGGGTTATCATTTCAATTCATTCGATTTTGAAAAAATTGGATCACATTTCTGTGATACCCTATTGGATTATATTGATCCCGATAATCAGAAGGTAAGCAAAATAATTGCATTGTGTAGTATTAAAAAAGTAGGTGTTAAATAGTGGGATCACTGCTGTTTCGTTTCTTTTATGGCTGTGGACAATAAATTATGGGGTAAGTCCTAACTACTCAAAGGATATTGTATCATTTTTCGGAGAAAACAGAGTGATGAAGATTCCTGGCCAACAGCAACAGCAGCAACAACAACAGACAACAATCAGCATAAATAGTAGAAATTTGAAAGACGCAACCTCCTTCACCTACCTACCTGTCTGGGAGCATCGTTTCAACTACAGGTGGAGGGAACTGATGAGGATATCAAAGCAGCAAGAATCGGGAAAGACAAAGAGAAGGCACTCAGCATTAAAAATAAGATCCAGATTTTCAACTCCAATGTGAAGTCAGTGCTAATTACTATACAGATCAGAGACTTGCACTGAGTGTCACAAAGGGCACTTCAAAAGAACTGCAGACCTTCATCAACAGCTGTCTTCACCCAGTGCTCCGCTCAAGATCAGATGCTCGGTCAGAAAATATCAGCAACAGGGAGGGGTCTATGGCAATGAACGAACCAACCAAGCAGGAACCGACTTTGCAACAAATATGCAGGAAAAATTGGAGGTGGATTGGAATGGCCATACTCTGAGAAAACCATCAAGTGACATTACACGCCAAGCTGTCATTCGAGTGGAACCCGAATGGGAGTGGGGAGTTAGTCGTCAGTGTTAGGGTGACATGGAGGAGGAGGAGTTCATGCAAAGAGCAGACGTGCAGCTAGGTGAAAACGTTGGCAGAGAACCGAACGCGATGGAGACATGCGGCTAAAGCTCAGTGTTCCTTTAGGAATTAAAGGAAACAATAACAATTATATTAATCATTCTTCGGAGTAAAATATTGGGTGAAACTATAGATACGCGGTTTTTATCTCAGTAGGCACACCGACATTCTCTAGGATATGGGTAAATTCTGCTAGTGATTATGAAATAAGAAGTAACATACCTCCTGTATTTTACTACAAGCCGCCATATAACAACTAGAACCATGTTAAACTTAAAGCATTATCTTAGCGTCCGTAATAGTAGTTGACATTTTAGTTCATTAAAACGACTAAGTCAGAGGTAAATTCAAAATGACTTGAAGTGAATGACAACCGATGCGCGTTGTACAATCGGCTCTTTACCCTAGTGATAACGTTTTTGGTATTTGAAACAACAGGCGCTGGAATCAAATCTCCGTAAAAGCACAATTACTTACTTGAGTGTTGGTAAATCCATTTGATTAGCCCCAAATAAAGATAGACTTGGGTTCTATATTCTACTGACATTTAACACCAAGCAAGTGAAAATGATATGAAACTATACAGTTGTTCAATGCTTAATATCCAAAGGTGTACCTGGACCAAAGATGCACAGTTTTCGTCCATTCAAGTACTTTTGACACTGTTATTTTCTTGAAATCAAGTCCATACATAGATCCTCCCAGAGTGTACATTTTTTTAAATATTCATGCTCAAGTCTAATAATAATAATAAGGTATACCACGCAGTTTATTTTTCATAATTATATCGTCAGTTGTAACTACACAACTTCGATACTCGATTCTAACAGCGCTCTGTATTCCTTCCCATTTCGTATATGAGTAGTAAGTTTTTTCAGATATTTGGGATAGGCAATGAGTCAGCTAACTTAATCAATAAAACTTTAGTTATCAATCTCTCCCTCCACCTAGTTAAATTAGATTTTCAAACCGCCATTTTGTCCACTCCTATTGTATGGTTATGTGTAATTGTAAGTGGTGAGTGGTGCAGCTGAACTATTCTCTAGATTTCTTTTCTTACTCGGATCAACTAATCTAGATTTTGCTAGGATTTTATGCTCCACTAGTCTGACTAACGCTGTCCTACTACTTTAACCTATGTGTTTGACCTGATAATCACTGCAGGGTGTTAGATAAACTCAATGGTTTTGTTTATTTGGCTCCACAAAATTGATCCTCTTAACCGACGAAGCTTGTTTCTAATTGAGTTTGCTGGTGATTGAATGCCAACAACTTTTACTTCTGCCTTGTTAAGAATTCTCCATATGGTGGTTTCCAGAGTTTCTTCCTTGTATGGAAGTACTACTGATGATTTCGATTCCTTATTGTTGGTGTTGTCATTATCCTATGCAAGCATGTTTGACATGCATGTTGCCATTAATGTTATTGACAGGCCAAATACATAGGTCAAAATAGTAGAGCAGAGTCAGTGAGTCAGACTAGCCGAACATAAAAACCTAGTAGCAAAATCTAGATTGGTTGACCCGAATAAGATAGGAAATTTAGAGAATAGTTCAGCTATACCACTCACTACATGCAATTACACACAACCATACAACAGGATGGGTGGGATAAGATGACAGTTTTAAAATCTAATGTAACAGCAGGGTGGAGGGAGAGATTGATAACAGAAGCTTTGTGTTATCGAATCAACTGCAAATACGTGTAATAGGAATGATTCAACACCTGTCTAGCCAGATATCTGGAAATTTCTAGTACCCCAATGACGACAAATGGGTGAAGACAAAGAAAACTATAAAACTCAAGTTTCGAAGTTATGTGATTATAATTGATATGATTATGAACAATAATAAATTTTGTTGGAAACTTCGTCATCCAATAAATAATACTGTCTCACTATGCGATATATGGAATTACATATTACCATAGTGCTGAAGTTTTACACATTCATAAAACTAAATTTTACAATTCTAATTAGCAGACATGTAATTTAAAGCTTTAATTAATTGATCTGAAACTTCAGTATTTTCTCATAGTATTTTTGAACAGAAATATTTAACAAAACATCATGTTACCATGGAAACATATTAAATATGTGTTATTTGGCTTGATAAAACATAAATCTCTTTGATGTCAATTCATTTCTGTCTACCTCTTTATTTCAAATTATTGAATGTGATCTGGTTAACATAGTTCTTAATATGACTAGATTATATTGACAGGATATTGTTCACCTAATTAAGTTAGAGTTTATAATGAAAACGACAGTTGAATGTTGATGGTTGATGTATCGTTGGGTCAAACTTCTAGATTTCTGTTAACGTTGTCGACTATGTGTATGAATGCTTTGATGACCCATATTTTAAGAGGTAACTATTCGGTTGACTAACAGTAGACTTCATGGTGTTCAATCCATTCCATGTTTAAGTCATCGGCTGTACGTCCTTGTGTTTCAAGCGAGTGACAGTGTTCCTGAGTATAATCATGTTTAATGTCAAGGTATTGTTGAGGAGGTGTCCGTTATGCAGGGCAACATGTCAACAAAAACGGAGATATTCAGTCTAATATAAATCACATTAAACAGGAAACTGAAAAATTGGTTCAAAAAAATAAGGGCTGCTTATTGTACAAACGGTAGCTCACTAGGCCAATGGATAGCACTATGGAGTTTAAATTCTCGGGTGGAAAATGATCAGTTCTCCTTGAGTCAAGTGACTTCTTGCAAGGCTGATTAGACGGTTCAGTCATCTCGATTAATAAATTGGTATATTGATTCAGGAACTTATATGGAAGATTGAATAGTATTTTGTCACTAATATATAGCCATTCAGATAATGTTTACTTTATTTGGTATTTGCCATAGTAATGAAATACAGAGTACACATTCCATCCTGTGTAGAACGTGACAGTTGGACATACCCACACCTAAGAGAAATATATAAGTTTTGGCATGAATTCAATGGAGGTTTCTTGCGTGCTGTCATGCATTAATGACATTTCAAACAACCTTTGACGACTCATAGATTTTCAAATGTTACATCACAAAGATTTGATTTATTTTAAGTCAGTTAACCATCTGACTATCAGTGAGAGAATCAGTGAAAGCCACATAGTAATGCACAGATGTTTTCTTCCGCTTTGGGACTTTAAAGCCGAGGTCGAAACTCAGGACGTAAGAGGTGAGCGCATTGATAATTCACATACTGGGACGGAATCCGATGAGAATTCATGAGGCATTAATAATATCAATAATAATGATATTTTCTTCAAGTGTTTTCACTCAAGCATTCGATTATTTTCTACTGATTGCATACTTTTCAATTTAGATAGAATACATCCAGCAGTATTTAAGAGATCGTGTTGTTTCATCGAAAAAGTTGAAACCAAGTGGATCTGAGGGAGAAGAAGATGATGACGATGGACTTACTTCAGATGATTCAATGAGTAATAGCAGGTTGGTAGATATCTTTTTTTTTTGACCTTTTTATCAAAGTTTGAATAAGGAATTTAGAAGACAAATTTCGCGAGATGAAATAAGGAAAGATAATTACTACAATTTCATGAATTTATAGTCTCCACTGAAGGCATGTCAGGGCAGAGCGCTGGTTGTTTGAGGCGAATTGCAATAGCCTCTGCTGTTTGAAGCATGAGGTACTTCGATGATTTCGGCAATTTATTAGGCACCCGGTAGATGATAGAGAAGGATTCTTCCACGCTGGCTGGCTGGCTTTGTGGCCGGTTTTCACCAGATGGTCTAACATTGAACTGTTGATGGTTTTAACTACATACACCTTTACTTAGCCATACTGAGAGATATTCCCTAGTGAACAGGAGAAATCAAGCTCCTTAGAGCAATGGCTGATATAACTCGCTCCGCCATAAAAGCGGTTGAATTGGTAGATACAATTGGAAGAGGCTGATCTAGGTCCTTCATCTTTCAGTCAAGGAGTCACCATCGGTCATGTAGAGAATCAGACGTGTAGTTCGCCAGCAATGAAAGTTCTTTGAAATGATTTTCGTAATTTATTGGTATTTGTTTTCGCTTGGAATATCACCCTTGAATCGCAGTCGCATACAAAGAGGCTTCTTTTTTAGGGATAGAGAGTAGTCCTTCTCCGCTTTATTCGTCGTGTGTTTCTTGATAAATTTGTCTGGATAGATATTTTATGTCAAAGTATCATGTGCAATGCTTAGTTCTTCTTCAGTCAGTTCTTCAGAGCATATAGCTTTAGCTCTGTGGCTGAGGGTCTTCACTAAATTTCTTTTGTACTGGAGAGTAGCGATGCTGTTAAAATGTGTATATTGTCCTATCCAAGTACTTTTTCTATGCAAATTTCTTTTTATGCTACCATCTTGTTCTCTTGTAAGGAGGACACCCAAGAAGGCAATTATGTTTTGGGGTTCCTCTTTGCTTCTTCTTCATTAAGTAGGGTGTATTGTTGGAGGCTATTCGCTGAACCCAAAACATTCACGACTTCTCATTAAGAATCTGCAAATACGTATGAGTGAGTGAGTGTTATTTATTTATTAGCTTTGTGAAGATTCAATTGATGTCAATGTAAAATTGTTTCATCCCTAAACATTTTTACGGTATTGCGGAAAAGTTGTTCAGTACTCCCACGTTTGTGGTGTTTATCTGACTGACTAATGCTGACAAATGTCACAGCATATCTTGTGGTCGATGAATTTCTCACAAAGTCAACACTTCATCACTATTATCTGCGAGAATGACACTAATCATATCATTTCGGATGTCACCTATACAGAATAAGGATGTCATCTAAACTAGATTTCAACTTGTTTAGTTCCTGAAGATGATCAGATAACCAGTGAGAAGAGATAGGGAACAGGAAACCCTTGGAGTGAACCTATCAAGAAACGCGGAGAAAAAAACTCCAGAGATACAAAGACGTACTGTCAGGAGACCTTCGAGTGATCACATGCGCCAAACCTTCTTATGGAATCCGAATAGAAAGCGACAGGTTTTACTAAGTGAATCCGACAGTTAAATGGAGATGATCATGTTTTTGATAGACGAAAACTTCTGGATAATTGTGGAACCAGGTAGAAGTGCTGGAAGCGAATCGAGTGGAATAAAGAGGTGAGCTGTGGAGACCTTATATTTGACTCAGGACTTAATGAATGAATGAATGATAATACTAGCAATAATAATAATAATGGTAGTTACGGAAAAATATTCTGATCCTATAGGTAATTTGTAATTTCTGTTTAACTTATAAGCATATTTAAACTATGTTTATATTTCAATTTCCTTATATTATTGTTTTCCAGTGACACTGGTTCGGATAGTTCTAATTGTGATGAACTGCCTGCATATTATGCCTATCTTTTACAAAAAGTGAGTTATATATATACGCACAAAAGTTGGTTTGTTAAACTATATATACTACTTCTATCACTTTTATTTGAAAGATGACTCCTTGAAAATGCGTTTTTTGATGTGGTTGTGTTCTCTGAGCTGGATAGTTAATTTCCGAAGCTTTCATCGCCCTACTGGGCAACATCTTTGACGAATACATCGATTTATTGAAGTGAGCTTTAAGATTTCTCCACGAGCTTATTAATCATCTCTCCTGGTCGGTGACTTTGGACGTGATTGGTTGTTTTTGTGTGTTTTTACACCTTCTAGGCAGCTACTAGTATTGGAATTGATTGTTTCTTTGACTTGAACTTTGACCCTCTGTGTGTGAGATTTCCTTGTTATCGGTTGGTGAATTTACTAACTGCGAAAAACACTACATTTGCCAAAGTGGATGTCACCTTCCTCTTTGTATCCATGGTCATAAGCTAGCCGTCAAAAGACATAACATCCACTCCCTCATATCACTACATACAGACAAACATGGACATCAATTTGACTGGAACAACCAACGTTCAAATATTAGACAGAGGAAACATCAAGAATCCTAAAGAGTTTTTAGAAGCCAGCCTGGTATTCCAGTGAATCATCAATCAATAGACACATCGAGATAGACAAAATTTATCAACGGATAAGACAGAAACCTCACACACAAAGGGTCAAAGTTCAAGTCAAGGAAACAATCACTTCCAATACAAGTAGCCTAGAGGGTGTGAAAACACACAAAACAACCAAAGAGTCACGTTTAAGGCGGTCACCATCAGGAGAGATGATTAATAAACTCGTGGAGAAAGCTAAAAGCTCACTTCAAACTGAAGTATGCGCGATGAAAACTTCGCGAGTAAACCATCCAGTTCAGAGAACACAACTACATCAAGAAAGTCGACTTTTATGGTGGTGCAATATTGACATAATTGAGTAGCTAGTAGAATCTCTTTGGTCACAGAAAATCGGTCAAAGCTATGAAAAAAAGTACAACGTAAAAGTATATTTTTCTTATAGAAGTGATAATTAGATGTGTCAGTTGGAGGATGCACATCAGATGCCCACATTAGTTCACACCGTCATAGTCGTCCTCATTTTATTACTCTTTCCACACATACATCCATCAAAATATACTAAAAAGGTTTAATAAATCATTTTAGGATATGCTAAATTTGAGAATCAACTTATGTTAAGTGCTTATAAATGATGCATCACCTTAAAATCGAACAATAAAAAGTGGACCGATTGATAATCACCCTCTTGACACATAACTTGGTCAGTTTTTATCATATACTAAATATTCAGGAAAACAGCGACATTCATTTAGAAGTTCTAAGTTGGATTGTGATTGTGAATCTTGTTGATTGACGCCAATCAAAATTCACTTGGAGACTATAGATACGGAATGATGACAATGATGAAACATATTCATCATTGGTGTAACCTGGTTTCTTTTTCTGTGACATTGAAATAGCACAAAATAAAGATAGGTGAGAAAGGCTGCCATTTTTAAACTTTTAAACATGTAATAATGATTTTCAACTGAATTCATCATTTCAACAGTGAACAAGTACCGTGTGGTTAAGTTAAAAGGTATTATTGAAAAGAGGTAGTAAACAGTGTGGGAAACAACTCATAGGTAAGCGAGTGTAGCTGAATTACAATTCTCGGGATTTTAGCTGATAGGCATGATTTGTGCTTGGAAATAGTGACTACCTTTCAGTAGGTGACTTCCTATAGGGAGGTATATACGGTGCGCCTGTCATATGTCGCATGCATTAGTTAGTGTATGCATCTGATTGTCAGTGCACTGCCTCAGGCGTTCATCATGAACGACACTGCTGTTTGTCACCCTCGTCGAACCGAATAGGCAGGATTAATGTTAGGTTGTCACGTTCACTGTACGTGCCATTTATGTTATTGGCCACCTATGGAGGATCTGCACTGTATGCTGAAGACGGTGGCTATGCATAGTACCTCTGTTTTTCAGGGACTGTTGAGGCTACTTGACTTCTTGCAAATTTTAGCCGATCAGTTGATGACTTAATCCTGTTCATTTGGAAGTTGCACATGTGTCCGAGTTCCGCCCAATAGTCTGGTAGACTGTTCATTGGACTAATCTTTAAACACCGATGAAAGGGTTCGACACATACGCTAGTCACTGGGCGTTGAGAAACCGAAAGTCATAGTGAAGTTAAAAGTTCTGCTTTCCCAGAATACTTTTAAATGCTGTTGTTTTGCTTATTAAATTACAAGATGCGAGCAGCACTTTGTGAGCCTTTGGGGAGGAACAAGAACGTACATGTCAGGACCCCAAAGACTGTGAAATACACTTGAGAAAGTTGAGGTCATAGGAAAATCTGGTGGGAGATACTTGAGATTCTCATACGCAGATCGATCGTATAATGTGCATTTAGTCACACAAGTCCAATCGAAACATCCAGTAGCTTGTTCCCTCAGAACTTGTCTTGTAAGACCAGTGGTTGTCGAACTTTAAATTGGTGAGAAGCTCAACTTGATTACATAGAATTTTGCATTGGATGTGAGAAGGAAAATCAGTGCTGAAAAGCCTCATCAGCCTAGAAAGAAGTATCTAGTTAGTGCTTCATAGTGTTCAATGAAACCCCAAATGATGTCGGCTAGTGACGAAATGTACGCTAAAACTAATCAGTATCCCTAGAAAACTCCAAATCAGACCATTAATCTCCTTTTTATTAGTTGCTACAAGGTAAACATCGTGATCTTCTAAAGAGATACATCGTGGCCATTAGGATCCAGCACGTCAGGCATAAAATCGATGCTCATCAGTGGTACCAATTGATGGTAATGACATACCACAGACTGTATTAATATTAGATACTTGGAGGCAATCAGCCACAGGAAGCCCCGCTTGGCACTCACCAGTCAGTCAGCAAGGCGTATCTGCAACCTTGAAGGAACTCACATGCCTTCTTCAGCGATTTGAACCTATACCACCAAGTGATGCACTAAACGACGTTACCGCCGAGCCATCTTTTCGGGCTCGCGATTGATCTTCTGTAGGACTGTATTGGATATCTTTTTTGATTGGACACTAGTCGGTGACTAGTGTAATGTGTCTAGTCCTTTGTTTGGTGCAGGCTGTATTCCGTCAGCCAGGATTCCATGTGTACACTTCAGTTATCCAATAGAGTCCTACAGGAGTTCAATTGCAAGCTCTTATAGCTGTCTCCATGGTAACGTCTCTGACAGCAGCACTGAGTGACGCGAGTTCGAGTCTCAGAAAGCGCATAGGTTCCTTCAAGGTGACTGCAGATACGCTTCACTGGCTGGTTAGTGCCAACTAGCGCGAAACCTAGGTGGAGCGGGGCTTCCAACCAATAGTTTGCTTATTAGATGTATCAAACAGTGAAACAGTATTATTATTTACTGGATGACGTTTCGAACACAATTCTTTATTGTTCATAATCATTTCATCAATTATAATCACACGACTTCGAAACTTGAGTTTCATAGTTTTCTTTGTCTTCTCCTATTTGTCGTAGAGGTAGTAGAATTTTCCAGATGTCTGGGGGAGATGGGTGTTGAATCATTCCTATTACATGTATTCTCTTCAGTAGATTCGGTAAACAAAGCTTCTGTTTTAAAATCTTATGCCACAGGGTGGAGGAAGAGATTGATAACAGAAGCTTTGTTTATCGAATCAACTGCACACTCGTGTAATAGGAATGATTCAACACCTGTTCAATCGGATATCTGAAAAATTCTACTACCCCTACGTCGATAAATAGGAGAGGACAAAGAAAACTATGAAACTCAAGTTTTGAAGTCGTGTGATTATAATTGATGAAATGATTATGAACAATAAAGAATTGTGTTCGAAACGTCATCCAGTAAATAATAATACTGTTTCACTGTTTGATACATCTAATAAACAAACTAATATGGAATTACTTTTTGATGTGGTTTTGTTCTCTGAGCTGGATGGTTAGTTTGCGAAGCTTTCATCACCTTACTGGGTGACATCTTCAGCGCATACTTCAATTTGAAGTGAGCTTTTAGATTTCTCCACGAGTTTATTAATCATCTCTCCTGGTGACCTTGGACGTGATTGGTTGTTTGTGTGTGTTTTCACACCTTCTAGGTTACTTGTATTGGAACCGGTTGTTTCTTTGACTTGAATTTTGACCCTTTGTCTGTGAAGTTTCTTTCTTATTGGTTGATAAATTTTGTCTATGTCGATGTGTCTATTGATTGATGATCCACTGGAATGCCAAGCTTCTAAAAATTCTCTAGCATTCTTGTTATTTCCTTTGTCTAATATTTGAACGTTGTCCCAGTCGAATTGATGTCCGTAGTTGTCTGTGTGTAGTGAAATGAGGGAGTGGATATCATGTCTTTTGACGGCTAGCTTATGTTCGTGGATACGAAGACGAAGGGGACGTCCACTTTGGCCGATGTAGTGTTTTTCGCAGTTGTTACAGTTTATTTTGTAGATGATGTTGGTTTTATCTTCTTTCGCTGTTGAGTCTTTTGGTTGACATAGAATTGAGTGAAGCGACTTTGTTGGTTTGTGTACGACGTCAATTCCTAAAGGTTTGAAGAGTCTTGTAGTGATTTCTGAGATATCTTTTATATATGGTAAGGCAATTTTCTTTGTGTTCTCCTTGGTGGCTTTTGCTTTGGTAGGTTGGCTTGGGGGTATATGTCTCTTGATGAAATTCCGTGGATATCCATTCTTTTGGAAGACGTCCATGAGATACTTTTCTTCAATTTTTCTTAAGGTGGGAGTGCTGCAGTGAGTCCTTGCCCTCTTGAATAGTGTTTGTATGCAATTCCTTTTGTGTGCTATTGGGTTGTTGCTGTTGTAATTCAGTATTTGGTCTGTGTGAGTTGATTTCCTATAAACTTGAGTTTCTAATTCTCCTGTAGTTGTTCGCCTGACTAAGACGTCCAAAAATGGTATTTTGTTCTCGGATTCCTCTTCTCTTGTGAATTTGATGTCGTTGAAGACGTTGTTTATTAAGTTGTGAGTTTTATCTAATTCGTTTCTTTTGATGATTACAAATGTGTCGTCGACGTAGCGTATCCAAATCTTGGGTTTGATCTTTGGTAGAATTATATTTTCGAGTCTTTGCATCACTGCTTCTGCAATCAAACCTGATATTGGCGATCCCATGGGTGTTCCTTTGACTTGTTCATATATTTGGCCGTTGAATTGGAAGTATGTTGTTAGGCATAGATTTATGCATTCCATCCAGCTTGTGTGTTGCATTTTTGATTGTTGTGGCAGTTGTTCGTCGTTGCTAAGTAGTTGCTCCATGGTTTCTTTTGCTAGGTTTTGTCCGATGGATGTATATAATGCTGTCACGTCGAATGATACCATTATTTCTTGTTCATCTATTTGGATGCCTCTGATTTTCTCTAGGAATTGGATAGCAGAGTTGATGGAGTGATCGCAAGATTCCGTTAGGTGTTTTAGTTTTCTGTATAATTCCTTGGACAAATTATATGTTGGAGTTCCTGGGAGTGATACAATTGGTCGTAATGGGATATTTGCCTTGTGTATTTTGGGTCTGCCGTAGAATCGGGGTAGGACTGGTCCATTGGATTTCATTCGCCATTGGTCTTGTTTTGTGATCTGTCCAGTTTTGGTGAGCTTGTTTAAGGTCCTTTGGATGCGGTTATCCAATGTTTGTATGGGATTTGTTGGGAGTTGTTGATATACATCTTCATCTTTGAGTAGTTCTTCTTCTCTATAATATCTAATATGGAATTACTTACTACCACAATGCCCTAGTTTCATACATATATTAATAAGAATTCAGGAAAGAAAAGACTAGACACATTGCACTAGTTACTGACCAGTGTCCGATCAAAGTACATACTAAATTTTCAACTCATTAGGTAACCTTGTGACCTGAAATTCTTGTGTTCGCCTGCTGTGATGAGGTTATGAATGTTTAGCACTGCTAAAGAATCCAAGACTACAAAACATTGGGTTCCATAACGATATCTACATTGAAGCATCCTGGCTACCTTTAACTCTGCTGTGTCTTATATTTATCTTGAACAATTTATTGTTTAATTATTACTCTACACACATCTAAAAACGAAGTGTTACATATGCTCTCTGACTAATTTATTACAGCCAAAGAAGAAAATCAAGCGTAAATCACGGACATCATCTTTGAAAAGCAGTGAAAAGGTTAAGCTGGTCAATAAAAAGGTAAATTTATGCAGTTTGAATCTATAACTTTTGCTTGATACCTTGTGAAATGAACTTTGCAAGCCTGTGTACTGCTGTTTGTAGACAAACAGCAATGATTCTGTTTATTACTGCCTACAGGATATTAGGAGAATAAAAATTTGAACTTTAATGGTTGATATATGTCTGATTCCCCACCAACTCGAAGATATGCAAGTGAAAAGCAACAAGTTGGCGAAAGAAGAAGCATCTAGAGAAGATAAGACTTCAGGTGAACATAGAGAAAAAAGAGGTATGTGATGAAGATTCCTGGCCAACACCAACAGCAACAACAACAACAGCAGACAACAATCAGCCAGCATAAATAGGAGGAACCTGAAAGAAACAACCTCCTCTACCTACATACCTACCTACCTGGGAAGCATCATTTCAACTACAGGCCAACGGAGCTGACGAGGATATCAAAGCAAGGATCGGAAAACCAAAACAAGCTTGCATTACTCTCAAGTCTGTGTTGAGGTCAACAGTACTACTCAGAATGAAAAACGAGATCCAGATTTTCAACTCCAATGTGAAGTCAGTGCTACTTACTGCACGGATCAGTGACTTGGCGCGTCATAAAGAGCATCTCAAACAAACTACAGACCTTCATTAACAGCTGTCTCCGCTCAATACTCAAGATCAGATGGCCGGCCAGAAAAGATCAGCAACAGGGATCTCTGGCAGTGAGCGAACCAACACAGCAGGAACCGATTGTGTAACAAATAAGCAGGAGGAAATGAAGGTGAATTGGCCACACTCTGAAGAAACCATCAAGTGAGTGACATCACTAGACAAGCCATTGCTCGAGTGGACCCCGAATGAAAGGCGGTGAGTTGGTCGTCAGTGCGAGGGTGACATGGAAGAGGTCATGTGAAGAGGAGATAAAAGCATGTGGGCAGACTTAGAGCCAGGTGAAAACTCTAGCTGAGAACTAAAAGCAATGGGGACGCGCGGCTGAAACCCTACGTTCCTCTAGGAATTAAAGGAAATAATAAGGATAATAACAATAGTAATAAAAATTGGTGGGTCAGTATTCTGATAATCTAAACAATTTTACTAGACCGTTCCATGTTAAATGGGGTGAAGAGTGTATACTGCTTAATTGATGCTAGCTAGCAGTTGTATCCAGGACGCATATTTCGTCCTATTTCAGGGCTCATCAGCCGGATTCCTGTCCATCTGTCAGTGTAGAGCAAACTAGGAAATGAAAGAATCATCAAAATGATCTTGTAGCTTCAACTTTATAGTATTGTTTTTGAAGGAAGCATACAGCGTGTATTTCATTTTTAAGCCACTTTTCAAATATTTGTATGAGTTGCACTGACTTAAGGTAGACCTCAAAAATAAACACTCTCACAAAAAAGCTTCACCGTTTTATGCCCTTAGAAGTACTCTATCTAACGTGTAAGCATTGACGAACGAAATCAGAGTAAAATGACTTGATATGATAAGTGTGTCTGGATAGAGTTATATTTTATACAAATGAGACATGAAACTTGATAAATAAAGAGTTTATTCAACTTATATGGCGTCTTGATTCGTGGTAGGCACTGAATGAAAGCACAACAGGAGAGTGAACCGAATGTCTACAGCAGAGTGCCAAACGAGTGGGTGAGTGAGTTCAAACAAAAGTTCAAGGGTTCAATGTGCGCTACATATTTATGGAAACCATCCTGTAAGATGGTCATTTATATAGATCAAACTACAATATCAGGGTCAATAAGGCTATTGGAGCATTGGAATCTAGACAAATCTAGGATGTCAGATCCTTCGCAGTTCAATCATATAGAGAAACAGCTTATCCATTGTCATTATTACTATTATAAGAAACTCGAAAGATATACAGAATTGAAGGTATTATACAATAAAAACGGGAAAAGAAATTCATTTCAATGGTTATCTTATTAAGGAGAACAATGTATATATATATATATATATATATATATATATATAACAAGACTACAGTTGAATTTAAGCGAAGAGAACGATAATGGTTAAATAAAGGATGGGGTTATGTGGATTTCTAGTGAAACGTAGTGATCATCGAGGTCTATCAAGTTGATCAGGTAATTGCTGGTGGTAATCTCATATAGTGAAACAGCAGAATTTAAAATTTCAGCGTCATTGGATTCTTTCTCATTGGCTGAACAGTGAAGGGGTTTTACTTGTACACTGAAGATGCTGGATTCAATTCGTGGTGAGTATTGCTGATGAGTCCCAAACTCTTCTAGTACACTCTTCAGTGTTCAATGGTTCTTTAAGGGATTTCACTTGACCTTCTTAGATAAGATTGGATGATATTGTTTTAGACAGGCCTAAATATCCTATAAAATGGTTATCGGGAAGTCATTTGAATTAAGGTGGACATGGCAATCTTGAATAGACTCGATACTAATCTAAGTCTTTGTACTAGAAGATAAGTAATATGGCCTAATCTTAAGCTTAAGAATGCAGGGTGGTGTAATGTGAATCGTTTTCAAAATTATAAGCATGTTTACAAATTATTTATAGTATTACCAAGCAAATTGTTGATTGTTTGTTTTAGGTGACAGAACCTAAGAAGGATAGTCGTACTGGTGGTCACTGTACGGTAAGTACAACTGATATTTCTATTACTCTTTTAACGACAGAAGACAAGAGTCAGGCAACAGACCGTTAATTGAAAAAAATCAACAGATATTTATACATTTTTATGTACATTATTACTAGCGTTATTGTTAACAGAGAAGCAGCGTCTTCTGATTGGTTTTTTTCTCGCTGAAGGTTTTTCTGTTTGGCTTGTGAACATTTCTTAGAAAGTTAAGCCATATATCTGCGAATCGTATTTGAACACGTTACGTCTGCTGTGATTGGTTGGTGGGTTCCTCAAGGTTAAGCCATGTTATTGTTTTCCCCATGCCTCCGATTCGGGAGGTTAAACACCGAGGTAAATTTCTGTCTAGAATTTCGACTAGCAGACAGCTCGCACCACATTCTTATTATTATTCAAATTTTTTGGTAGTTGGTCTAATTATACAAATAGGTTTAAAATCAAATGGCAAGGATATGAGTGTATAACGCAGTGTTCTGAGTTAATAGAAACGCAAATATTTCTACGTCTGAGTGTTTGGATTAGAAATGATTAAATATTCTTTTTGTTATATGCCTTGGATATGACTTGGATTACAACGGTCAAAAAATGCACTTTATGTATAATGACGCCAAACCAATTCATGCCTCTTTTCTGTTAGTGAAAGCAGTTATTATGTATTAGGCCAAGTTCAGTTCAGCTTATTCTCACTGAAACATGATACCACAGGTCAAGTATGAACCTGAATAGCTCAATGGTACCACTTGGTGACGTGTCATCAAGTCTCTGTGAGACATCAGTTCTTTGAAAGGTGTCTTGGTGATGAGGGCCAACAGGTATAACAACATCTAAGTACAGGGATTTCATGTCAGTTTCATCCTGCTTACTGACACTTTGAGTCATATTCACCTCATCCTCTCACCTTACTGATTTAGGAGTTCTACTTTTTTAATTGAAGTAGGAAATCTTACATATCTTATGAATAGTTTTTAAGTGTTTTTTTCTATCTATAGCCTGATAATAAGTACACAATTATCAACCCTGTGGTATAAACCTGTAAACATTTATGTTGTGCTGAAACATTTTGTTTATTCCTTTACGTTCCCACTTGAACATAGAGCTTCTAAGTTTCGGTAGCACTGGTAATTATTTTTAAGGATTACAGCTGCTAGCCTCATACCAAACCTTCTCTCTTTACCACTCTTAATACTGGCTTACTAAGGTAAAGTACAGCGTCGGTGGCTGAGGATCGAACCCCGAACCAGGTGAGGCGTGGTTGGAGATGCCCTGTTGTGGTGAAATAATGATAGCGAAGATTTCTCGCTTATTTGGATGTGAATAAAGCAAGAACAACAGTGGTGGTTTGTGCAGAATATTATGGTACCATCCTTTGTTTATTTCGTTCGTCGGCTTCTCATCATTTGCTGCTGCTTACAGCCTAAATAAATTATCAGGTCTAAGTACAGAAAAGTTTTCATATACTTGCAAATTTTACGTGTTGTCAGTTGACAGAAAATTCCACAATTAGTAAACAGTGCTCAGAAAATTGCGCTTATATAGTTTTTATACAGGCAGTTCAAGTTAAACCAAAATAAATGTATGCATATAATGGTAAAGGAGTTACGTAATAAAGATGAGATGTGTATTAGATGCAGAGTGACTAATAAATTAAGTAACAGTGTACTGAGTTCAACCCAGGTCATAGAAACAAAAGGCAAACAAAATTACAGATTATAAAAAAGTGGGTGTGGTTAAAGACATAGATTACGTAATCAGATGAAAGAATAGAGACATCCAGTTACCAGGGCAAGGAAAGACTAATAACCGCTTCTTTCTGAACACATAAATCTGGTTTCAAGCGTTTGATGGAAATCGCTTCGGTAAACGTGAGGAGAATGGAGCTCCTTTGTCTATTGGTAATTTTAAAGGATTTCTCGATTTTCACCTCATGTCCCGTGTGGAGAAGATGCCTGGCGATGGCACTGTTTGAAGCATTTGTTCCTTTTACTCACAAGCTTTTTGGTACACGTTCAGGAAATCGTAGATATGCCCTTCTTTCTGTCCTTCAAATGTAACTGCTCCTGCAGATACATGTGAATTTGTATACATAGTTGGAATTGTTAACAGGATAAGGATATCTATTGATTTTTGATTGCACCAACGAGCTTAGCTGCAGGGGTTATTAGACATTTTCGGTATTTTTCCTGTTTGAAAAATTGACATTTTCCCAGTCAAACAGATCTCTATAGTTGAAGATATTTGTTGATTTGAAACAGTATTTCCTAAGTTTGTTTTTTGGCGGCTGGTTAAGGTTCTTGTATTCCAAGTGGAGCCATGCGATGTTGTAATTGCTTTCGACTTGTCATAGTTTTGCGTGTTCAATGATTAGTGATTATTGGAACTTTAAATCCTTCGTTGTTTTGATTAAGTTTACGAAAAACAGATGAATAGGAGGCTTGGAATGAAATGATTTATGGCGTTTTCATGTTTCATGCGTCGGTGGCACAGCGGTTAGGATTCTTGCCGACCACGCATATGATACGGGGTTCGATTCTCTGACGGCGCATACCTGATATCAATGGTCAGCTTGCAAAATTTGGGCTACCGATACCACATGCTGAAAATTCCATACTTGTACCAAAAATATGGTGCGGAATCAATCCATAATCAAAATAAATTGAAATAAATTATCGGATTGAAAACTTTGGTGTTATAGGAATGAGTAAATGTCAATGAAACAGAGTGAATAATTCCTACTGAATATTACATCGTTGATTGAGCGGCAGAATGTACGCCAACCCCATGTATAGTCAGGGTCTAATCCCTACGCATGTCATTCTCTGATGAAAAAAAAATGTTGGGTCTAGTAAATCATCTGAAGGAGATACAGACTAGCGACTTTGAGGCCTCTGAGTTGAATCCTGATGGAACCAAGCTTTTCATTTCATCTTCAGTCATCACTAACAACATCAGTAAGAGTTCGTCAACCAGTGAGTATCTCAGACAGTCACACGATAAATTAATGATCTGTTTATCTCTTTTTAACTCAGTACGTGATTGGAATTAACAGAAGAAGACCTGGCTGGATAGTTCATATAATGATAAACGGAGGTAATCTATCACGCCGATGATATTCTCGATATAGGTGGACGGGATCATGTGAAAGAGCGTAGGTGTGAAAAGGGGTGCGCATACTCTGGGCTGATAAGAGGACTGTAGAAGATCTTGGCCTTCTGGATGATTCAAGTCTATAGTTATACAAACTCAAAGATCCACAGGTGAAGGCCAACAAGTTGGTAGGAGAATCAGCAAATACAGGAATTCAAGTGAAAATTCAGATGAAGACAGAGTTCATAAAGATACCCAATCAGTGACACTGACAGCGCCAATCACTATCAATGAGAGGATTTCAACGAGTTCAATTCTCTCTTTTTTTATCCAGGAAGCATCGTTTTGACTGCAGGTGGCACAACTGACGACATCAAAGCCAGATAGTATCAGAAAGGCAAGACACTCTGGAATCAAATTGGAAGTCTGGTGTACTTACTCAGAATAAAGAAAGAAATCCAGATTTTCAACAGAAATGTCAGTTCAGTATTTATATACGATTCAGAAACGCATCGCATACGTTAGAAACAGCGTTTCCAACAGGCCAGAAACTTTTTGTGTATCATTCACTAACAAAGCGGTTGAGTGTTGCGTATGATGGTCGCAGTGAAATAATCACCTGTTAATGCAGTTAATTTCCATAGCTCAGCTGGTTCAGCATCGGATGAGTGATTTTAGATCCGCTTGCTGGAATTCCACTGCGATGACAGCAGTCATCACTGACTACATAAACCACAACACGTTATACCTTATATATCTTTGCAACGGGTATCAAAAGACAACTTATTCACCTCAGGATGGAAAAATTATCCACTAAAAAACTTGGCGGATGTGGACTTCGTCGACGATATATGTCTGATTTCCCACAAGCTGGAAAATATGCAAGTGAAAAGTAACAAGTTGGCGGTGAAAGAAGCATCCAGAAAAGATAGGACTTCCGGTGAATATAGAGAAAACAGAGAGGGGTGATGAAGATTTCTGGACAACAGCAACAGCCAGCATAAATGGGAGAAACTGAATGTGAAAGAAGCTATCTCCTTCAGTTACCTACCTAGGAAGCATCGTTTGAACTACAGGCGGAACTGACGAGGATATCAAAGCGGGGATCTGGAAGGCATGGCAAGCGTTCATTTCTCTCAAGCCTGTGTGGAGGTCAACAGCGCTCAGCATGAAAAACAAGATCCGGATTTTCAACTCCAATGTGAAGTCAGTGCTACTGTATACTGATCAGAGACTTGGCGCCAAGTGACGAAAGCTACTTCGAATAAATTACAGACTTTCATCAACAGCTGTCTTCGCTCAATACTCAATCAAGATCACATTGCCGGCTAGAAAAGGTCAGCAATTGGGAGGGATCTCTGGCAGTGAGCGAACCAACACAGCAGGAACGAACTGTGCAAAAATACGCAGGAAGAAATGGAGGTGGATTGGCCATCCCTGAGAAAACCATTAAGTGATATCACATGTCAGGCCATCTCGCGAGTGGAACCCGAAAGGGAAGCGGCGGAATGGTCATTAGTGGGAGGGTGACATGGAGAAAGTCATGTGAAGGGGAGATGACAGCATGTGGGCAGACGTGTAGCCAGGTGAAAACGTTGTCAGTGAACCGAACCCAATGGACACGTGCAGCTGAAGCCCTATGTTCCTCTAGGAACTAAAGGAAACAACAACAATAATAATAAATGCCCTAATATAAATCTTTTAGACGGTATATTTTATTTTGTTAATTTATTCAGCCTTTTGTACATCGTTTCACTACATTGTTACGCGAGAAAGTTTGTCCTATATGTGGTACTTATGTAAGTATAGGTAGAACTTGCGCTAACCTAGTTTACTAATTACAGCTTGTCTTTACGCTATAATTTCTCTGCGTATTGCTTTCTGAATGCTAGTCATTTGCTGAAACTAACATGTGTTTGTACTCAACCGGGGGGAACAAAGTGTGTTTCTAATGCTTAGTAATAAAGTTCGGTGTGTTTCGGTGTACGTGCATGTGTTTGTGAGTTTATACATGGGACTTTTAATGGTGATTTGCCCATGAAATTTTCTATTCATCTTTCATATATTTGTAACTGGATGATTATTAGCAGGCTAAGGTGGTTGCGAACGTTTTACGCCGAGGATTTTTGGTAGGACTTTGTACACTTTCCGGGTCCTCTCATATTATATGTACTGTTTTGATTTGCTGCTTAGATTCCGATTGGAACATAGAGCATCTGGAGCAGATCTTCATTCCACTCAATTTTCTTCTGTCACTTCTGACCGGCTCCATGAGTACCCACACCTTTTTACTCTTCCCTTACTCAGTCCTCTTCACGCCGCCTTGAAGACTTAGTTTTAGGGTTCTACTCGAGCATCTGGCATATGATATCACCTGAAGGTCTCTTCATTGTATATCCAATCCATTTCAGTTATTTTCTGAATATTTGTTGAACAATTGGTTGTTGACTGGTTTGTTGTACTGTCACAGTTACTTGTTGATAATCCTTTCTGGTCAACTATCTCATCTTCAGTGTTGAGCAAGCAGGGTTGGCGTTGGCAAATTTTGCTGGAGCAGGCGCTTGATTCTATAGTGTCAAAAATTCGGATTTCTTTCCTTATATCAAGTTATGTAAATTTCTATGTTTAGTTTAGAGTTATGAATGTTTCTCTAACTTTTCTTATCCTTGCCACATGTACTTGAAATGTTGTTGGCCAGATAGGAGACAGAAAGACTTCTTTTAGATATCTTCCACTGTGAGGCTGGGTGAGATGGAAGGAATAGGTGCTTTTTGTTGTTCGTTGGGCTTTCTTATAACCTGTGTTTTCCTTTGTTCCCCTGAAGTTCAATCTTTGTAGTGTCCTCCATCAAATTGTTGTTTCGCTCTTGTAAATCCCCGTGGTTGTAAGATACGAAGCATAAATCATTTGTGAATGCCAAATCTTTTACGATCTATGAACAAAGCAAGAACTACAGTTTTAATAGAATAAATTGGTATCATCTTTTATTTCGTTGTCTTCTCGTCATCTGCTTACAGGGCAAAGACATTAATAAATGTATCTACATAAACAATTTTAACATACTTTCACAGAGTTCATTTAAACAAAACTCAATCGATCAGAATTTGCATACAGTAATAATAATAATAATATATATATAATATTAAAGAATATTCCGAACAATAATGATCATGCACAATGGAAACTTTACAGCATTATGCATTCAGATAAAAGAGATATGGAAATATCCAGTTACCAGGACGAAGAAAGACTGATAACCGCTTCTTTCTGGTGGACGCATAATTCAGGTTTCAGGCTGTTGATGGAGATGGTTTTGGCAAACTTGAGGAGAATCGAACTCTCTTGTCTATTGATAATTTTGAATGACTTTTCGACGTCCGCCTCATGACTCGTGTCAACAAGATGCCTGGTGATGGATGGCACCGTTTAAAGCATTTGTTCCCTTTAGACATAGGCGTTTTGGTAAATGTTCAGAAAATCCTAGATATGCCCTTCTTTCTGTCCTTCCAATGTAACTGCCTCCGTAGATACATTTATATTTGTATATATAGTTGTAGTTAACATGAGAAGGATATCTATCGATTTTTGACTGCACCAAAGGACAAGTTGTTCGGAATAGTGTTTAATATTATATATATATATATGCATTATTACTGTATGCATATATTGACCGATTGATTTTTGTTTAAAATGCACCCTGTACAAGTATGTTAAAATTGTTTTTGTAGATATATTTATTAATATCTTTGGCCTGTAAGCAGCTGACCAGAAGGCAACGCACTTACAGATGGTACCACTTTATTCTACTAAAACTGTAGTTCTTGCTTTGTTCAGATTCATTAAGTGGAATAAATGCATGAAACTTTTAGGGTCTATTTGTTGGCTCGCTGTTTGTCGACTTTTTCACTCTCCATGATCTGTCGTATGATCTTCTCTATTATAATGAGGAAGATCATCGGTGATAGCAGGCGGTGTTGTCTTACTGCTGTCCTCACTTCGAAGGCTTCCTTAAGTTTTCTGTTGTGAATAACTCAGGATGTGATAACATTATACAACTATTGAATGAGGTTTACAGATGTCTAAAGCAGGTTCCAAACAACCTAAAAGGTGTTGATGCAGTTAAGGTCCGTTTCGAGCTCAATGATGTCGAACTAAGTCACCAACTGCCATGCAGTGCTCTGTTTAGTGATGATGCGCAGTATTGCAGTTTGGTCCATTTATGATTCGCTTTTCCTGAATGCAAAATTGAAAGTAATAAAAGTCAGAAGAATTTAGTAGGTCTACATGACTTGAGCATCCTATCCATCATTTTTCAGTAAACGTGAATCTCTGAGCTATCTGCATTTCAAACTGAGATATGGCATCTTGTTTTATTTAGTTCTTGTTGCTATAGTCATTCATTTGTATCCGCTGGTATACAAACTTACTCGCTCACATTTTTTATTGGTCTGTGTGACCGTAGAAGATTATTTTATTCTTCAGATCTAACATCACTGTATTATATGATGTACTGGAGATGGTTGTTTTACTTGAAACTCTTGGATGAAGTGTGAATATTATGTGTACTGTGTAAATTTATTGTGCATAATAAAGCTATTCCTATTATTTCAGGTTAGCCTACGGATTGATACCAGTTAGAGAGCTGTTGAAAACCAGGAAGTACTCGACAGCTGTTTCATCCTAGTTTGAAACTTATTGACAGTACGCACTGTCAGGGTTCGAAGCCAGGACCTTCCGGTTACAAGGCAAGACCACATACCATTCAGCCACTGGTTGGTTTTCGCACTAAAATCAAGAATTGGCAGAATTTATTATTCATGGGCCACTGAATCGGGTCCCAGTGGCTGAATGGTATACGACTTTGCCTTGTTAACGAATAGTCCTAGGTTTGGACCCTGGTGGTGCATACTGCCGATGATTCCCAAACTTGGACGAAACAGATTTCCTGTACCTCTTAGTCTTCAATGGCTCTGTAACTGATATCATTCCATAGTCTGACCTGAGAGAAATAGAATCCTAACAAACTAATTTGCATTAGATAGTTCCAGGCAATCAGCAGGAAGCCTTGAACCTAGGTTTCATAAAAGTTGGCACTCACCAGTCAGCGAGGCGTATCTGCTACCTTGAAGGGACTCATGTGCCTCCTTCAGAGATTCAAACCGGCGTCACCCAATGCCGTAGTCAGAGACGTTACCACCAAGACATCTATTCAGGCTTGCGATTGACCTCCTGTCGGACTGTAGTGGGTATTTTCATTTGACACTAGTGACTAGTTTGACGAGTCTAGTCCTTTCTTTTTGGTGCAGACTAATATCATCAAATCAGTGTGTAACGTGATGGCGAGCTACCTAGAATGGTGGATACATTGCAAACCTGACTGATAGAATTCAGTCTGCACCAAAAAGAAAGGACTAGACACTTCACAGTAGTTACTAGTGTCCAATGAAAAAACTAATCTTAAACATATTATTATTATCTAGGCTGTTAAGGGCAAATTAGTTCATCTAAAGCACCTTTTTACATTTCCAGGACTATGTGTCCTAATATCTTGATCGAGGAAAAGACACAAGCAAGATTCTGAGCTAATTATTGAACGTTTTACTGTATAATGCATAAATCTCCATTATTTTCAAGCGTTGTAAATTTCTGCGTGAATTTTATGCTACTTTAGAAGCATTTAAGTAGACTCGGTGGATGATCAAAATTCTTTTGAGGTTTATAATCAGGTTAGTGCGTCGGTGGCATAGCGGTTAGCACGCTCGCCGACCATGCACATGGTCCGGGTTTGGATTCCCGGCCGACGCACTCCTTTACCTCGCTGAGCCAGAAATAATGCTGCTAAAGAGGAAAGGTTGGGCATCAGGCTAGCAACCTCATCCTGTAAAATAAACACTACTACAGAAACTTCAAGCCACTAGCTTGAAGCCCTATGTTCCACAGGGGAACGTGAAGGAAAAATTATTATTATTTATTATTATTATTATAATCAGGTTACAATATATTTAATTGGTGAATGGTGACTACCAGTGGAATCCAGGATGTGTATTTCGTCCTATTTGGGACTCGTCACTTGGATGTACCTGTGTTTTTTTATGTTTCTGAAAAGTCTATTCCTAAGAAGTTCATCTCCCAAAGCATCTTTATGGAGTATATATTTCTGATTTTACGGGTTGATCACGGATTGATATCAGTTAGAGAACCATTGAAAACCAGGGAGTACTGGACAGCTGCTGTTTCATCCTAGTTTGGGGATCATCGGCAGTACGCACCCACTGGGATTCGAACCCGGGACCTTCCGGTTACAAGACAAGCTCGTATACCATTCAGCCACTGGGACCCTATTCAATGGCTCGTGAATTCTAACTTCTACTAATTCGTGATATCAATCCGTGATCAACCCGTAAAACATAACTAAGCCTTACAAACTAAACTATAGAAATATATTTCTGAGTTAACTGTTTTTTGTTATTTCGTTCTGTCTTTTTCTATAGCTGAAGGTTACTGTTAAATTATGAATAGGATGCTCAAGTCATGTAGAAATATTAAATTTTTCTCATTCATAGATGCAACCATTTATAGCTATTTTCTTTGACTTACCTCTATCTCCTCAGTGTTTAATTTAGAGTGAGTCTTGACTTTGTGTGTTATATACAACCCTATGCATTATAATAAAACACTGTCAATTTACAACTGTTTTATATATTATTATTGATTGTTTTAGGTATGTCAAAAGGGGATAAAATCTTCTGAAGAGTCTATCAAACCAAGGAAACAAACAGATGAAAAGGTACAGTCGACAAATAAGTTTAAATCACAGGTCGATAGAAATGTTATGCATGATTTTATCGTAAGCTGACATCAATTAGATAGCCATTAGAAAATCTGGGAGTACCGCCAGACGACAGTTTCGTCCTAGTTTGGAACTCTTCATCATTATGCACCTATCAGGGTTCAAACCCAGGACCTTATACCCTATGAGGTGAGCTCGCAAACCACTGAGCAACTGAGACCCAGTGGATAAATTCAAACCTCTATACCATTTCACGGTATAAAGCGACTGCTAGCTAATGTAATCACCGCCTCTCTATCCTCAAGTCCACCCTGTTGTACCCCACTGTTCACAACTTTTCGCTAGAACTCAGGTAGCTGCTATCTAATTGAAAAAAAGCCATGAGTTAGTCAGTAAAACAGATCGGTAGATAAAAGATCATTTTTCTGTTGTCACCGTTATGTTTTCTCACTTGAAAATGTACACATCAGAAGTGAGGTTTATGCTTTCAGTCGAATAAACATTACTCACATCTAGAAGGTGTGACTTATAGATTTTATTTATCATTGTAAATTTATTGTTTTTAAGTAGATATTTCGCAGCATGGATACTGATTAGTCACTGTGGGGGCAGAGGGAGGGGGATTAAGCAACGTCCTGCAACTAGTCCTTGGTGCTATTACTAACTAGACTAGAAGGGAATATCATTTCCTCGAACTTTACAGATAAGCCTCGCTGACGAGTGCCTACAAGCACGAAACCATGGTATAGGGTTTCCTGCCGTTTTTGCTTCAAACCATCTAATATCAATATATGAAAAGTTCTCTCTTGCTGTCTTCTCAATTGTGAAGATTACCTTTGACGTTAACTCTGTGGTGTAGGTTAACTATTCATGGAATAACATTGTAAGCTTTATAAATCAAATACTCCACATGGGGTTGCGTTCTTCACGGACGATTCCAATAAGATTTTATCAGCAATAAAATAGGTGCGTTGGTGGCACAGTGGTTAGGACTCTAGCCGACCATGCCTCACATGGTCCGGGGTTCGAGCCCACGCCGACGCACACATGATATCTATGGTCGGCCTGAGAATTTTGGGCTACCGATATCCATGCTGAAAATTCCATACTTGTACCAAAAATACAGTGTGGAATCAAGCTGTAAATCAAAAATAATCGAAAATAAATAAAAAAAAATTAATCAAAAATCTGTTTATAAAATTTTCAATATACCTTTTTTTTCCGACTGAAATATAGAACTCCAAAGCTTTGTATTTTCAATAGCTGTTGTGTCATTTCTACGGGGTGAGCTTGATAGCCTCACGTGCAAATTTCTCTCTTTCCTATACCCACTACTTGCTAGTAAACTTGGTATGTTTTAAAAGTGTGTTGGTGGCTGGGAATCGAACACAGGTCACCTACATGGTTAGCGAGAATTTCGCCATCGAACTACCAACACTGTTTCTACTATGCTTACTTTCAAATACTGGAAGTGAAAATATATAGCCACGGTTATGTTATGCGATCGAACCTTTCATGCTTTTTCACATACTATGAAAGGGGAAATGCTAACAGTTAGCCAATATAAGTAGTTTATTTCATTGTAGCTTAATTAATTGATTGTATTTATAAGGAAATATTCATTTAGACGGGTGAGTAGACCATATCCCTATAATGAGTATTATGTCGGGTAAATATAAGGTAAGGTGGGAAAGAAAATAATGTGATCAAAGATTACAAATTGTTGTAAAACGAATAACGGATGCAGCTTTAGAAATAAGGTAAAACAATACATCTACATGGTGTGGTGTCTGTGGATTCTAGGAGATGACGTATATTGATGAGTATACAAGATACGCTCTATATGAAAATGCAAGTGCATACCCTCCAACTTCAGAAGGCGCTTGTCTTACTCAGGCCAGACTACCGTTTGGAAGACAAATCAAAACAGCAAATTGATCGTCCAAAATACGAAATGTAGTTTAGAATTAGAAATGTAAAACAGTGATATTATCTTAGCTAGCCAGGATTTATGCAAGGACAATGGAACGCGACACGATAGCCTGACAAATGGCATGAGTGCTTGACCGTATACCTTCACGTGGAGCATTTGTCGTAAACATTGAATTTCAACACCCAAAGGTGAATGATATAAGCTGTAGGCTAATTTAAGGGAGTTACTTGCCACTATAGGATCTGTGATTTCTTGTGATCTGATTAAACCAATCTAGACTTCCTAACTTTCTCTGAACCATTATGAAGAACAATAAGGGATTCAATGGAATGATTACGTTTTAAGTATAACCTTTGCTTTCTTTCTTTTAATCGAATCACTCGTGTAAGCTCTCAGCATATTGAGTGATTGACTGGTTTCAACACAGAACTTTGCACGGATGTGCAGTAGTTCTAGTCGCTAAACTCCACTCAGCAAACAGAGCAAGAAAAGAAAGTGAAGCGAAATGCAAAATAGAGGAAGTAAAAAGAGATATGAAGCTAAAAGAATAGTAATATGGAAGAACAATATAGTTTCATTGGAAATCATAAGTCACAAGGAGTGAATTCATTTGCGCTAGCCATTGAGAACGGTTTTGATTCATATCACCGATTGTCTCCAACCATTGATTTCTACCGTCTCGAGGACCCCAAACAGACAGAAGTCTACAGAAGTCTAGACTAGGGATGCATGCATAACACATGTCCTAACCATCTCAATCGATGTAGCTTCACAGCCTCGTCGGTTGATTTCCCCTCCTTACGGGGTCCTCGATCGATGCCTAACCTCAATTTTGCTCAGCATATTATACCACTTAACGCGGGAGATAGAACGCAGGCACCTATGATCAAAGACAGCTAATCTTTTCATGTCTTCCACTCTCAATGGCCAGGTCTCACAACCAGCGATAAAGGAGGACGGAGCGGACTGCTGAGCAGTTCACACGGCCTTTGGTCGATAGCCAGTCGGACGTCTACTCCAGAGGCGGCGTAAACTGGCATATGCGAAACTAGCCCTCTCTATCTGTTCTGAGATTTCGCCAGAGATCAACCAGCTGGAGTTGCCTGATGCAACTTTCCAAATAAGCGAAGTGGTCAACATGGTTATAAATTTCGTAACTTTTACAGTGAAGGAAGCTGAATAGGATTATTATTAATTAACTTACCTAACTTATCAGTTATTCTACATACAGTTTATAGGAACGATACACACCTAAAATTTATAATTTCTTCTCATTTACATTGTGCCGACTAAGTGTATGTTAGAGTTCGAAAGTTATTGGATGAAATATAAGTGAGTACTACAATCTGTGGTAATGGTATCGGGACGCTTATCTTGTAGGGATGGCCAGATTTTTTCCTATCCCCTTTTCTTCAGCCTAGGGAATATATATGACTCTTAAACTCGTTATGAAATACCATATTTAAATCTAACTTGACTGCTCAAAGTTGTTTCAAAAATATTGAATAATTCTACATGTTCTCATTGTAAATTTATACTAGGAAAGGAATATGCATTACTGGAGACCACAAGAAGGCCAACAAAATGGTTATGTTTCAGATGGGATCATTCCTTCTAGCAAGAATCACAGCGATGCTTTTTCAAGTCTTGATAAAAGCCAAGGTAATTACTATAGTATTGTTATTATTTTCTTGGGTTCCCGGTGGAAGACACATCCTCTACAGAACATCTGCATTTCATTCTATTTTTTGTAGTTTTCTTAATCTGACTCCATAATTACCCGTAAGTTCTAATCTACTCATCTCACACGAACTACTTCACATGGTGTCATTCAATGATGTTCTCAATGGAAGTCTAATGAATCTCAGTTTCACTATGTGTGTAAAACTTGGGCATTGTAGTAGTTAGTAATACAATATTAGTTTGTTTATTAGATATATATAATGAATATTCATGGATAGGTGGGTAAACATATAGACTGAAACGTTCAGTCCCACCCCAAAAAGTATGGTGGAGATATGCAGATGACACATTCACTATACGTACAACACACCATATAGATAGATCTTTCGAACACGTTGATTCAAAGGTGGAAGCAATTCATTTCGCTTATGATGAATTGGAAAGTCAAGAAAGGGAGATGCCAATGTAAGATTGTAGCGTAAAGACGAAAGGAAATGGGAAGTTAAACACTAGTGTGTGTTTACAGGAAACCCACAGATTCAAACAGATATTTGGACTTCCAATCATCCCATCCTATGTCAGTAAAAATAGGATTGATGAAATGTTTAAGTAATAGAGCACAGATAAATGAGGCATATAAGAGAAACCTTAAAACTTAATAATTACCCTGAAAAATTAGTCGGAAAATATATAGGGAAATGTAAAACTAAAATAAATAATGATGGTAATCTAAATCAATAGTAGTACTTCCATACAAAGAAGGAACCTCGACAACTTTACGCAGAATTCTTAACAAGGCAGGAATCAAAGTGGCTGGCATTCAGTCACCGACAAACTCAATTAGAAACAAGCTTTGTCAGTTGAAGGATCAATCCTGTAGAGCCTTTAAAACAAAACAATTTAGTTTATCTAACACTCTGCTGCAAAGATTTTCAGATCCAATACATAGGTCAAAGTTGTAGAACAGGGGCAGTCAGACTAGTGGAGCATAAAGTCCTAGCAAAATCAAGATTGGTTGACGCAAATAAAATAAGAAATCTGGAGAATAGTTTAGTTATGCCACACTGACTACATGCAATTAAACACAACACGGCCATACAATAGGATGGATGGGATAAGATGACAGTTTTAAAATCTAATATAACAACAGGGTGGGTGGAGGGAGAGATTGATGTCAACGGAAGCTTTGTGTTATCGAATCAACTGCAAACACGTGTAATAGGAATGATTCAGTGCCTCATAAATTCTACTAACCCTAAGACGATAAATAGGAGAGATTAAAAGCAACTATAAAACTGAAGTTTCGAAGTTGTGTCATTATAATTGATGGAATGATTATGAAGCAAAATTAATTTTGTTCGAAACTCTGTCATCCAGTAAGTAATACTGTTCCACTGACTGTGTGATGCATTAATACACAAACTAATATGAAATCTTTATTTCCTTCTGTGTATCTGTTGAGCAATACATTCTTGGTTGGTTTACCGCCTGCCAGATTTCTTTGTTGCTTTTTCTTTTATGGGTTAACACCAACTGATATTCAGGTCTAGAGTAAGCAGGTTTTGATGAACGTTTCTAGTGGTCTCTGTTGGAAATTCTCCTACTCATGTGTATGTGAGAATTGTTTCAACCAATGTAGGAGCATTTACCTGATTGGCAATGATGCTTTAAATCAGGTTCTTATTTTTTGTTTCTCGATTTTAGTCTAAATCGACTTTGGTAAGAGAACCATTTATGTCTAAAGAATACCGTATATCTGTATTGAAATCTACAATAGTACTCAGTCATGAATCTTCTAGATATTAAGGTCAGATTTTTAACAAACTTTATCCATTGAGAAAATTTTAACAAAAGTTGTGAGTATTTAAGGTAATCATTGTCTGAATAACGACAAAGTGTTTTTTTGATTCGGTTCATTGCTCAACATCAAACAATGGTGTGGTCAGAGCTGTCTGCTAGCCAAAATTGTAGTCACCAATTTACGTCAGTGTCAATGAGATAGAACAATAACAAAGTCTAACCTTGAGGAAATCAATAATCAACCACAGAAGATTTAGCGTGGGTGGATACGCTTAGCAGGTTTATCAGTGGACTGTCTAAGAAACGGCCACAAAGGGATGACAGAATAACCTTCAGAAGGAAAACAACCAATCGGAAGGCGTTGCTTCTCTGCTAACAATAACGCTAATAATATTGTACATAAAAATCTGTTGATTTTCTCAGAAAACGATCTGTTGCCTGACCCTTGTCTTCTGTCGTTACAATAGAACTGGCCGTATAGTATATAAAATGTATAGATCTTGGAAAAGGGTGCGAAATTAATACGATTAATAAGAATAGTACACAGATAAAAACATTAAGCAACAGGGTGGGAGATTCGATCAGAGTGAAGTCAACATTGTAAAAAGATTACTAAAATGAAATTTTAAATCCCCAAAGGAATTACGTAATAGATCCGATATAGTTATTCTGAAACCTAACAAAGGATCTGGTGTAGTTGTAATGGACAGAAATGATTATAAAACAAAAATGTTATCCATCCTTAATGATGAAAATAAATTCATAGCCGATGCTCCTTCGGATGATATCAGAAAATTGGAAGGAAAAGTAAATTCTCATTTAGTAAAACTTCGTGGCATGAACATTATCGATAAACAGGAGTTTAACTCCTTGAAACCCATGGGATCTGATTTTCCAAACCTCTATGGACTACCTAAAATTCATAAGGTTGACAATCCATTACGTCCTATTCTTTCAATGTGTAACTCTCCTACACATAAACTAGCAAAATGGTTAGCTGATATTTTAAGTCCAGTACGCAATGAATTATGTAAGTTTACTTTGAAAGATACATTTGAACTTGTTGACTGTCTTGTAGATATGAACATAAAAGATAGGAAAATGTATTCATTTGATGTTAATTCTTTGTTTACTAATGTACCATTGATTAAGACTGTTGATATTCTTTGTGACTATATATCTTCTAGTTGTTTTTCATTCCCTTTAACTTATTTGAAAGATTTATTATTATTATGTACTGACAACGTCCATTTCACGTTTGAAGGCGAACATTTTCGACAAGTGGATGGCGTTGCTATGGGGAGTCCATTAGGACCTTTGTTAGCGGACGTGTACATGTCTTATGTTGAAAACTTATCCCTTGATTTAATTTCAAAATTGCCCTTCTATAGGAGATATGTAGATGATATCATTTTGATATGTGACGATCATGAAGATGCGAGTCGCCTATTAGACAGACTTAACTCTGTACAAAATCATATTAGTCTTACATGTGAGGAAGAAAGTCGCAACCAGCTAGCATTTTTAGACATACTTCTGAGTCGAAGAGATGATGGCTCAATAAGACGCTCTATCTACAGAAAGCCCACTTGGACAGGGCAATACCTCAATTTTCACAGCTTCTGTCCATTACAGTATAAGAGGGGCTTGGTGAAGTGTCTATTCAAGAGGATTCAGCGTATTTGCACGGCTGATGTTATGGACAGAGAAAACGAAATATTAATGGATACTCTTGTTGAAAACGGATATCCTTTGAAATTTTTAAACAGGTGTAGAAGTCAACTAGCCTCTAAACCTACAATCCATACCGTCCCTAAGAAAAAGGTTTTTATCAAATTACCATATAACGGGGAAATAAACAGTAGGATTGTGAGACAAAGGTTGAATTCAATCATCCGTAGAACCTACTATGCAGCCCAGCTTGTAATTGTGGAAAAAGCTAACAATATGCTTCACTGTAAACCCCAAAAGTGCACAAGTGATTATATCACATCCCATACAATTTACCAATTTTCGTGTGTGTGGACATACATACATAGGGAGGAGTAATCGCGCTTTGCACGTGAGGGTGGGAGAGCATATCCCAAAATGGTTAGAAAAACAGATGAATTGTGACAAGCTAATAGATGCAGGTGGCAGACTACCAAATTCGTCTATAGCTAAACATCTAATCGAGATGAACCATAAGATTGATGTTAACTCAGGCTTTAAGGTCATCTATAAAAACGGTCAAGGGCGTTTACTGAAATACGCTGAGGCTATAGCTATTCATAGACTTAAGCCCCCCTTGTGTATTCAAAAACAGTTTGTCATTACTCTTAACCTACCTTGGTAATCCTTATTTGATTGGATTACCAAACGTTTGTGTTAATTATTCTTAATTCCGTTTTCTCTCACTTTGTTTAATTTAACCTTTCTATATATATTGACTTGACAAGTAAATGTGTGATCAGATTGTTCGAAATGCATGGCGCAAATACATCACATTTTTCAGATAGTCTCCGTCTTCTAATAACGCTATCGAAATAAAATGAAATAATAAATGGGTTGAATGAAATAAAAACGAGAAACTGATCAAAGTGACAATAGTTAATAATAATTAGGGAAAGGGATATTGATTATTGAATTGGATTTTTTGATTTTCCCGTCGATTGATTGGACCGAAGTGCTCGGTCCAAGGTTGACATGTCGGCTTCTTGTGCAGATGCTTCGACGATGTCTGGGCATTTAGTTAGTATACAATTGGTGGATGGTGGCTAGCAGTGGAATCCAGGATGCGCATTTCGTCCTATTTGGGACTCGTCAGCTGGATGTACCTGCATTTCTTAGTGAGTGATGATGTTCCCACCGAGGCTCGAACCCAGTACCCATAGTTTCGAACGCCAAAGCGTTATCCACTAGACCACTTGGGCCACGAGAGCCACCTCTTGTGCAACGGGTCATATTAATTATTCAATTGAATTTCTGATTTTCGCGTCGATTGATTGAATAAATAAACAAGTCGGAAAAGGTCAAGGTAAATAAATAAGGACTGGAAGTGCTTCTTTTTTGTACACAAAGGCCCAGGTTAATTTCGCAAATAACCAAGGCCTATGGCTATCTTAAAAAAATTTAGAATGAAGGTGTGGGAAGTTACTAGGAGCAGAATGTTTAAATAACTGGCCAATTTTACGACTATCATGGTTGAGCATATTACTGACAGTTTGAAATTAGGTTTTGAAAGTGAAAATGGTGAAAATGTCGGTGTGCGTCGGTGGCACAGTGGTTAGGACTCTAGCCGACCATGCCTCACATGGTCCGGGGTTCGAGCCCACGCCGACACACACCTGATATCTATGGTCGGCTTGCGGATTTTTGGCTACCGATATCCACGCTGAAAATTCCACACTTGTCCCAAATATACGGTATGGAATCAAGCTGTAATAAAAAAAATCAACAAACTGGTTGAATAGGCAGCGAAAACAGGACAGGAGATGAACACAGAGAAGATGGGGGTGATGAAAACAACCAATCAACAGCAACAACAACAACCAGCACCAATTACCACCAACAGGAGAGATTTAACAGAGGTCACTTTCTTCGCTTACCTAGGAAGTATCTTTTCATCTCTACAGGTGGAATGAATGAAGAGGTGAAATTCAGCCAGCCAGAATCGGAAAAGCAAGGTATGTGTCTTCATCAATCTGAAACCAGTTTGAAAATCTTCTAAACTCAGGCAACATAAAGAGCAAGATTTCGATTTTCAACACCAATTTCAAGTCGGTCGGTTCTTCTATATACCGGCCAGAAACTTACACTGCGTGTGACGAACAGAATTTTCAACAGGCAACAGACTCTCATCTACTTCTGCAACCTTCGCTCCATGCTAAAGATCAAATGTCCAGAAAGAATTAACCAGAAGAAACTCTGCAGTGGAAAAAACAACAACCAGGAACCAATCGCTGGACAAATATGTAGGAGAAAGCGGAGATGGATCGGGCATGTACCATTAAGGAGGCCACCGAATTACATCGCGCGCAATGCAGGTCATCGTTTGATTGGAATCCAAATGGGAAGTGACGAGTGGGTGGTCGATGCGAGGGCGACATGGAGGAGATCGTGTGGGGTGGAGGATAGAAGAGATTATGGTCAATTGTTGACTCAGCTGAATAGGTTGGTAGAAGACAAAAGGAATTGAAGATGCGTTGTTGTTGAAGCCCTACGTTCCACTCGGAACGCAAGGGAATAATAATAATAATAGTTACTAGTAAACTATTCAGGCTTATGTTTGACCTACTCACAATGGGATTATAGTTGATTGATTAGTCATTATCGATTCAGTAATGAAGTACAATCAGTAGGCTAGGAGACTACTCACTATCATGGTACATTTTTCGACTCAGTGTTAGATGAGTAAAGTTAATCAACAGGAAATCCTGAACCTGGTTTGCAGCAACTAAAAGTCTTCCGTTGTATATATGATTCATAAGAACTATCCCTTTCATCAATATACCATATCTTAGGGCATTCATGCTTGGAATTTACTTCGTCATTCTAACTCCAGTTGGCTAGTAAATCATAGGGAATATAGCTTGCCGTTTCCCACTTGGGTCCCACTCAACCACCTAGCGCAAGTGGGGTCCCTCAACAGTCTCCTCAACTTATGTCTAGCCCATTCCCATTTTTTTTTATGGTGAATTGCTTCTTGGTTTGCTCGCTGCCAGAGTTCTTTGTCACTTACGCGTTCTGTTCAGTCTACTCATCTTTCTCACAATCATCCTGAGAATTCTAGATCTTCTAGCATCTTTACGTTAGTCCAACTATACCTATCTTCTCGCTTCTCATGGTCTGCTTCAAAAAGATGCAGTCCACCACAATTAGGAATATGAGAGGTGATCCTAGCCAGCCTAGCCATACTCCTGTCTTCAATTTAAAATCTTCACTGATTGTTCCGTTGTGAATCGATTGGCATATATGAACTCAAAGAGATAACAGCGTCCTAGTAGTGAGTCAGTAGAACTTACCTAACCTTCCACCACTTCTATAACGAGTTGATCTATCCAGAAACCCTGAAGTATTTCTCATAACACTCTTCAAAAATTAATTATTTTTAAAAATAAATTTTATATAATTGACTAACGGTACTTCAACTTTTAACTTTCAGATCTGATTTACCTCAAGCCATATTATGAAACGATGAAGAAAGTCGATCATGGCGATCATGTTACCATGCGTCGATATTCAACATCGTTGCATGAAACAGTACACAGAGATAGTACATTTAGTACACACGAAGTAAGTTTTCTGGTTTTCAGTCTTAAACATGTATTCTATAATTTATACATTATGTCTGGTTACTATGATGTCTTAGTTAGAAGTTGGTAGCAGTTATCAGAAAGAACCACTAAAAATCAGGGAATGATGGAATTGTGTTTAGGATTCTTCAGGATAAAGTGTTCAGAATGTGATGCATGCTATATAGGGGAGAGCAGTAGGCAGGTGAGGGTCAGAATGAATGAACATGCACGAAACGTCCACCTAGAAATGAAGTAGAATTAAAAAGTCGAGAAAAAAGATCGGCTATAGCAATGCATGCTATCTATGGACAGTGGACATAAGATTGATTTCGACAATGTCGAAATTCTTTGAAGAGGATTTCATTCACATAAAGAAAGATTAACTTCTAAAGCCTTGCACATTTTAACTACATCGAATGCAGTGAATAGGAAAGAAGGGATAGACTTATCACCTATATGGCAAAAACTCTTATGGAGCAAGACAGATGAAAAAACAACAAACACCCTATGAGCCTGCATGACCTTTTAAAACATGTAGTATCATATAAAGTATAATTATATTTCAGTAATTTACACACAATGATACGTTTTGTTTTTGGTAATATTTCGAGCAAAATTACTACCCGTGTTCACACCATAAAAATGATGGATGAAAACAATTTGATTTATAAAATATCTTGTGCTGACTGTCCAACTAAATATGTGGGGCGAACGTCCAGATCACTCAAAATAAGAGTGAATGAACATAAATGCCTAACCAAAGGTCAACCAACAGGGATACAAGCTTACAAAAATCTTGAAAAAAATTCATCGATAGCTGCACATGCAGCATGGGACAAAAACCACAATATCGATTGGGACAATGTGTGTATTCTAAAAACAAACATGAACAAATGGAAAGAAAGACTCATAACAGAATCGATATTCATTAAAGTCACATCGGATACATGTAACAAGGGTGACTCAGTACAACTATCAACAACTTGGAATATAATTCTAAATACAAACACATGAATGAATGTAAAATATAATTCTGAACACACACACACAAAACACGAATGAGCAAAAAAATTATAATAATGAACTATATATATATATGGGTACAAATCATAAATGTGTGAATAAAACAATTCCAACAGTGGTGTGAACACGGGCATTCCATATTAGTTTGTTTAGTAGATGTATCACCCAGTGAAACAGTATTGTATACTGGATGACGTTTCGAACACAATTTATTGTTCATAATCATATCAATTGTGTTCGAAACGTCATCCAGTATACAGTACTGTTTCACTGTGTGATACGTCTAATAAACAAACTAATATGGAATTACTTACTACCACAGTTCCCAAGTTTTACACATATATGAACACGGGCAGTAATTTTGCTCGAAATATTACTAATAACAAAACTTATCATTGTGTGTAAACTATTGAAATATAATTATACTTTATTTGATCTAATCCACAATGCTCAAACTTTTTACTGACATTAATGTGGTATCATGTTTATCACGTATGAATTCACTTATTTTCCATATGACAAATAACATACATCAAACATACACGGATCCAAATCTAATCTTTACAAATCAACTATAGAAGAGTGAACACAACAACAATTTGACATTAGTCATTACAAATATACGTGATGACTGCTCACATATTTCTATTGGTAAAAGAATGCCCATGGACAAATGACCTTCAAATAAACTGACTTCAGTTTATGTAAAAAAAATTTTTTGACGATATATTTTGATGATTAATAATAATCCGAATAAATCTGCTGAAGAAGCTGTGGCTTACACGGCGAAACGTTCAGAAAACAGATCTTGTTTTGATTTTCTTAACACGCTGGGATTAATTTAAATAATTTATAATGAATCAATCTAACTCGGCACTCAAATTATTCCAGGAAGTTCGTAACACCTACGGTCTGGAAACCTATAAACGTGCATATATTTAGATTTCCAAAACAACTACAGTTTTAGCAGAATAATGTGGTACCATCTTTCTTTTCATTGCCTTCTCGTCAGCTGCTTACAGGGTTGGAGATGAATGTATCTGCTAAAACAGGGCTAAGTGGACTACCCATAGCTACACCATCTACTTGGTGGTGTCCAACCTTGATAGAAAGAAAAGTTGGATCATGTAATCGACGAAACAACTTCCTACTGTCGATATGTTGATGACACATTTATAGTGTGCAACAATGAAAGTCATGCTTCACACTTACTCAGATTATTTTAATGATGCACACACCAATATTTAGTTTACTATGGAACATAAAAGTGATGGAAAGTTTCACTTCCTCGACATTGCCACGGAACGCTTAGAAGGTAGTCTTCAGAAGTCAATTTATCGAAATCCTACATGGAAAGGACAATACTTACATTTTAATAGCTTTTGTCCAAGTAGCTTTTAACGCCGTATAGTCAAGACTCTGTAATAAAAAGAGAGGAGAATATGCTCCATAGAGAAATTGGAGGAAGAATTTGATTTTCTTGAAAAGATGCTGAAGAGCAATGGGTACCCTCAAATGTTCATCAACAAGTATGGAAGATCTGAAGTCACAAATGTAAAACAAATCAGAGTGGGTAAAATGCCAGTCTACGTCCAGCTTGATTATAAAGGTCAAAACATTGAAGCAATGGTCAACAGAAGGCTGCGTACGTCACTAGCCAGAGCCTATCCAGCAGCTAATCTCGTCTCCGTCTACCGAACAACTTGCTCCTTGGTGCAATCAAAAATTGATAGATATCCTTCTCATGTTAAGAACTCCAACTGTGTACACAAATTTACATGTATCTAAGGGAGCAGTTACATTGGAAGGACAGAAAGAAGGGTATATGTACGATTTCCTGAACGTGTACCAAAAAGCTTGTGAGTAAAAGGAGCAAATGCTTCAAACAGTGTCATCGCCAGACATCTCCTTGACACGGGTCATGAGGTGGACGTCGAAAAGTCATTCAAAATTATCAATAGACAAGAGAGTTCGATTTTCCTCAAGTTTGCCAAAACCATCTCTATCAACAGCCTGAAACCTGAATTATGCGTCCACCACAAAGAAGCGGTTATCAGTCTTTCTTCGTCCTGGTAACTGGATATTTTCCATCTCTCTTTCATCTGAATGCGTAATGCTGAGACATTTCCATTGTGTATGATCATTATTGCTTCGAAAAGTGTTTAATATTATATATATTACTGTAGGCATATATTGATTGACTGATTTTTGTTTAAAGTGAACTCTATGCACGTATGTTGAAATTTTTTGTGTAGATATTTTTAATAATGACATTGGCCTGTATGTGGCTGACGAGAAGGCGACGAAATGAAGGATGGTACCAGTTTATTCATTAAGGGGAATAAATGTATGAAATTTCCAAAAGAGACAAATTCATATAGTGATTGTAATCTGCAAAGGATAAAATATCGCCTACGTAATGACTCCTAATGCTTTGTCGATTATAAAAATGTTTGTGTTTATACAGTGGTGTGTACTGTCGCTCAATGATATACCAGTTCAGCTTGTAATCTAAAGGTGCCAGTAGAGTGCTGTCAAAGAGACTTAAACTAAAATAAATAAAACAGCTACCCCAATACTCTTTGAATTTCTCAGCCAATGGTTAAGTTGTAGCTCTGGGTCTTAGACCTCGCCTAGTTCACCAGTCGGTAGTAATCCTGAAGATTGGAGAAGTTGGGCACGAGGTAAACAACCCTACCCAGTAGACGTGAAACTGCTGCAACTGATACTTCAAATCTTGAAGTCGTATATTTCAGTCAGACTGCAAAGAATAAAAAGAAAACTGGGCAGAGTTCTTTTGTATTGAGGTGTGGTTTGATGTTTTTCAATTAGAAACTCCTCACTCATGCCAGTAGTAATGGAGTTAGCGAGATGGTTATGAATTAGTTATGAATTAAAGCATTCCCTGCTGCGTCTCTGAGAATAGCATTTACGCAGTCAACCATTATTGTTCAATAACCTGAAGGACAAGATCCGGCTGTTGACCAACTCTATGTGTGTTTATCAATTCACCTGCTCATGTGAAGCTAGGTATATTGGTCGTTCGACTCGAGTTTTGTCCAAGAGGGTGCAGGAACACTATCCTGCATGGTTACGAAGAAGTGGAAGTGGAGCAATGAGAAGCGTGATCATTGAACAACTGGTCGATAATGATCACCCTATCTCTATAGCCTCCGCCTTTAACGTCATCTACAAGGCAGAAAGTAATTTACCGAAATCACTAAGTACCTGACTCTTCAGAAGTGTTGAAGCTTTGGCTATCGAAACCAAAAAGCCAGATCTCTGTGTACAGAAAAAGTTCGTCCAACCCCCAACAACTATAATGGTCTTAGTCCCTCTATGCTAAAGTATGGTAACCCTCAATCATATTTTAGCTCTACCAATTTTCACTTTTTTATTTTATTCATTCAATTCGTAGTCTCTTCCTTATTACGTCAATTGTGACTATTAATGTTCTCACTTTGAACTGTCCCCGGTATTATTTCACTTGTTACTGTAAATCAACTCGCTTTCACAACGTTAAATTCTATGCTATTAAATTTCCCACAATATTACGTAACGTTGTTTGTTTTATTCGATTTGTCCACTAATCCTATAATTGCACAACCTTTTTCAAGTTCTATCCATCCTATGAATTATTCTGTATATGACATTAATTTGTTTTGCCACTTGACATTCACTTATGTTTATAATCACAAACATTTTAGTTTTTTAATTGCATTTCATACTACTATTATTGTTATTTTATGCATTCACACCTAAGATTCAATTCCCTCACCGGATATAACTTCTTATAAAGACCGTGTATATACGATGGTACAGCTTGATGATAAATTCGTTGAAAACAGTCTCTTCACTGAATCACTTGTTTTGATTTTCTATATGAATTAGTATTCAATAGTATGAATTTAAAAATCCGTCTGATCGAGGGTTCTAAATTCCTTCATGGATGTTAAAGCGAATCGTGCACTGTTTTCGGGTAATTGAAGGAAATCGTCATAATTCCTCGGAATGATACTTCGTGCTTATCGGTATTCATGATCACAGGATACCTAAAGCCTTGAGAGATATTATTACAGAGATTTTCGGACTCATATTTCACCTCTTGTAGGAAGGACTTCAGTCGCTAATATATATTGTGTTGCTATTTTTTTTTTTAAATTCGTATGTGTTTCAGACAGTTCTTGATATTACACAAATATCTCAACCAATACCTTTTTTTGTCTTTTCAGAAGTTATTACCAAGGGAGAATCAGAGATATTCCTACCAGTTTGTTTGTCAAGATTTGGAAATACCAAAAATAGACATTGGTTCTGAATGTTTCGTCGAGAGGTTAATTCGTTTGAGAAGAGCATCTTCAGCGCCTAGCGCCTATTGTTTTAAGCATAATAATACCAATAATAAAAGGCTTGATTCGTGTCATTATAAATTTAATGGTCATCATGATCAGTGGAATAGAAATGGGAATAAATCTGTGTCTGATTCTGCTGGGACTGCTGCTGCGGTAGAGAATGTTAATGGTTATATTAGTGAATCGTCTGGCTATCGATATTCAGACATACGCTCTAAAGGTCAATTACGTGAATCGGATATCTTTGCTAACAAGAATCACTACAGAAATGAGCAATGTAAGTGGAGAATTTGCGCGGTGTAATCGAATGGGTATTCTTTATTAGTTATGTTTACTTAATATAAAACATAGTAATAGAGAAAATTTGTAGCTCACGTGGATGATTTGCAATTATTAGTGTTCTCTGAGCTGGATGGTTTAGTTGCGGAGCTTTCATCGTCCCCCTGATAGACATCATCTTTCTGGTCACCTGATTTACTTTTTATTAATTGGTATATTTCGTCTATTTTAACGTGTTTGTTAATTGCATATTCGCTTCTAGGAATTCCGTGACTGCACTTTTGGTGTTTCCTGTCTGTCTAAGATTTCGACAATATCTCAATCAAACTGATATCCATAATTGTCTATGTGCATTGATATGAAAGAATGTATATATCGTGTGTTTTCACGGCTGATTTTTGTTCCTGGATTCTGATTCGAAGGGGACACTCTCTTTGTTGACCGATGTAATGCCTGTTACAGTTCACTCATGCAATTTATTTTGTAAATGGTATTAATTTTATCTCCTTTTTCTGTTGGATCTTTCAGTTCGCGCAACATCGAATTAAGCGATTTGACCGGCTGGCTTGTATGCTATATCTATATCAAACGGTTTCAGTATTCTAGCTGTTGTTTCAGAGATATTTTCAATGTATGGTAGGGTGAATTTTCTTGTGGTCTTTGATGATGGTTCTTTGTTGGTATTGTGATTCAATTTTAAACATTGTTTGATGAAATTCAGTGGGTAACCATTCTTTTTGAAGACCATTTGTACGTATTTTTCTTGCATTCTTTTCAACTCTGGAGTGCTACAGTGTGTTTGAACTCTTTTAAACAATGTCTGCACACAGTTTCGTTTGTGAGTGAGTAATTGGATTATTGCTAGTATAGTTGAGTATTTGATCTGTGTGTATGCGTTGATTTTCTATATACTTGTGTTTCTGAATTTTCTGTGTTGGTTCTCCTGATTAAGACATCTAAAAATGGAATTTTGTTATCTAATTCTTCTTCTCTTGTGGTGAATTTGATGTCTTCAAATATGTTGTTTATTAATGTATGGGTATATTCTAAATCATCTTTCTTAACTATTACAAATGTATCATCAACGTAACATACCCAGATTATCGGTTTAATTATAGTTCGAGCTATTAATTCGAATCTTTGGATGACAGCTTCAGCTATTAATCCTGACATGGGCTGTCCCATTGGTGTTCTTTTTATCTGTTCATATATTTTGAGTATATAAAGTGTTGATAACTGAATGAATTTTCACGCACAATTTATTCACAGGGTTCCATATATCACGTCATATAATCTTACTTTCCCCTGTTTCTATTACAGTTATCAGTATATCTGATGTAGACGTTGCTTCATTTCCACTGCATATGTATAGTGTTGGCTGAATGCAGAAAGATCAGGTTATAACGACAAAAGACAAGGGTCAGGCAACAGGTCGTTTATTGGCAAAATCAACAGATATTTATAGATTTTTATGTACATTTTTATTAGCGTTATTGTTAGCAGAGAAGCAACACCTTCTGATTGCTCTATGATGTTGTACAGTAATATTAACTGATGATGTTTCGAGCACCATCGATGAGGTGCTAAACTCATCAGCAGCGTGCACCCTAGATGTATCCATTCAGGGAGCTGAATCTCTCCTAGGTATCAAATTAGGAACCTTTCGACAATATCCTACTGTTACTATGAAGTTATTTCGTTGGTGGTGGCTAGCAGTAGTAACCGAAATGCTCATTTCGTCTTCTTTGATATTTGTCAGCCAGATCTATCTGTGTGTCTTCAGTGATGGAGGTTGCTTCCACTCAACAAAACATTTCAACTCAACAGAATCAATCAACCAGAAATTCAAATCGACTTAAACAAATAACAACTGACGTTCACTGAGTAATAGGTGACTCTCTTTAGGTCCATTGACTTAGTGGATAACACTATTCCTTGGTGTTTGAAACGATGAATGAAGGGTTTGAGCTTAACTGGACACAAAGTTACTCACTAGGGATTACAGGTGTGTACATTCAACTGACTACTTCCAAACTGGATGAAACGAGAATTCTGCTAGTTGTCATCAGCCAAATAATTATCGGATTCGAAAAAAATGGAAAATCTCCGAATGAATGTAAATTTTCTATAACTGAAGAACAACCTTCCCACTTAAAACTAATTCAGTGACATAAACTTACGATGGAATCAGTTTTCAAGCGTTGACTTGCAAGGATTTGATTAATTTCAGTTTTGACTTCAGTTAGAGAACTACTGAAAACAAGGGAGTGTTGAACACTCGTTTTGTCCCTGTTTGTGACTCTTCAACAGTACGCAACCTTTGCCTCAACACAACGCACACTGCTGAATAACGGCCCCCCCGCACAGCTAACAAAGCGAACTCAGATACCATTCAATGTAGTCCAACAAGTTGGGCGTGAGCATAAATACTCGCTGATGAAATCAGATGACGGTCAGACTATAAAGCGAATTGTCAGAAGGTAAAATCAACGGGCCTTTGGATTCCGTCTCTGAATGGCTGAATGTTCTACGAGTTCACCATTTTAAACCTAAGGTCGATTATTCAAAGCTTGTTGGGTTCATGGATGATTATTGCTGAGGAGGCGGAAAGCGGGACGAAATCTTTGTCCAGTAATTCGTGGTTTTCTAACTGAACTCAAATTAATTTCGTCTCCTTAAAGAAATTTAGTAGAATCTTAATCTCATTGAAAAATCAACTAGAGTATTCGCATTGTTCAAAATCTGTTTCCATGTAGAAGTATCACCAGTTTTGTACTCTGGCTAAGATACAACTCTTTTTAATTATTATTGTTCTCTCGGGTTCCTAGTGGAACATAAGACTTCAACTACATGTCTCCAGTTGCTTCTGTCGTTTGCTCTACTTTTCACCTGCATCCATGTTAGTCCATACTCTTTCAACTCCTTTTCACACGATCTCCCCCATGTCACCCTCACCTTGACGTCCCACTCGCTGCTTCCCTTTCGGGTTCCACTCTAGCAATGGCCTAACGCGCGCGTGATGTCACCCAGCGGTCTCCTCAGCGAGTGTCCAATCCATCTCCACTTTCTCATGCATATTTGTTGGGCGATTGGTTCTTGTTTTGTTTGTTTGTGTCCATAGTTTCTTGTTGGTGATTCTTTCCAGCCCGGCCATCTGATCTTCAGCATAGAGCGAAGAGAGTTGTTGATAAAGGTCTGCAACAGGCTATTGAAAATATACTTTGTGACTCGCACGCCAAGTTTCTGATCTGTATAGAAAATTTGACTTGATGTTTGTATTGAAAATCCGACCGGATTTCGGTGTTGATGCTGAGTGACGAAGATTTCCAGATTGGTTTCAGGTTGGTGAATGTGTTTCTGGCCTTCCCGATTCTCGCTCGATTTCACATCCTCGTCCGTTCCGACTTCCTGTAGTTGAGACAATTCTCCGTACCTAGATAAGTGAATGAAGTAACCTCTTTCAAATCCCTCCCGTTGATGGTGATTGACGCTGGATGTTGCTGCTGTTGTTGGTTGTTTGGTTATTTTCATCACCTCCGTCTTGTCTATGTTCACTTGGAGTCCTGTCTTCGCCGGCTGCTTCTTCAACCAGTTTGTCGATTTTCGCTTGTAAGTCTTCGATTTTGTGTGACATCAAACATAAATCGTCCACGCGCGAAATCCAGGTCTTCTGGGTTCTTCGCGTCGGTCCAGGATATCCCTGTCTTCTCGTTTCCCACAGTCTGACGCATAATCCAGTCCACCACAATTAGTAATATCATTGGTGATAATAAGCACCCTTGTCTGACTCCTGTGTTTGCTCCAAACGCCTCGCCGAATTTTCCGTTGTGGATCACCCGACATGTTCCGTTGTCGTACAGCTGTTGAATAAGGTTGATGAATATTTGAATTACGCCGTAGTACAATTATTGCCTTGTATTAATTCAAAACCCACTTCTTTTTTGCATGTTTCATAAAGCTCATGTCAGTTCGACTGAAAATAGACATCCATTGACAAACAAATCAGGCAACTCAAATCTTCTCTTTGGGAACAAACCTTATTCTTCTTCTCCGTCATCAGGACTTTTAAATCCTCTGATGTCAAACACTACTCATTTTAAACAAAATACCCTGAAACCTAATGGATATAAGAAGGATTCAAGAGAACAGCCAGATGTATCCAGGACAAAGGAAGTCAGTACAGCATATCAGCATATACGAAAAGCGTTTGGGAAAATAGCTACTGCAAACAATTCCATTGGACATTTCCCGCATACTTCAGCGATTTCGAGGTCGAATTCTATTTCATCACAGAACTATGGTAACAATATAAAGGTAAGGATAAAATGTTACAACATTGTGTATATTTTTTAAAAGATGCTTTGACTTATAACGGAAAAGGATTGAGTAATGCTTCTCTCGCCCCCATCAACCCTCCCCTCTTCTTCGTGTACACTACAAGTTAAGAAAGGCTTCTGTCTGTCTGTCTGTTTTCGACATAAAACTTTGCACAAAATGTGCAGTAGTTCAAGTCTCCTTACTCCCTCCTTGCAGCACACAAAGCAAGAGAAGAAAGTAGAAGAAATGCATAATAGACACAGTAAACGGAGGTGTGAGACAAAGGAATATTAATAACGAAGAAAAATATATTTTCATTTGAAATCATAAGTCACAAGGAGTGGATGCATCTGGGCCAGCCATTGAGAACGATTTTGAGCCATATCACCAATTGTTTCCAGCCATTGGTGTTTACCATCCGAGATTCACAACCAGCAAGTCTACACCTTCCTACGTGGCTTAAACTAACTTTTGTGGATTTCATTGACTGATGAAGCCATGTTTTGGTTTGACCCCCGCTAGCTCTTTTCCAGTCTGATACTATGTCAGCTAACAATGCCCATTGAGGAAAGCGATGACTAGGCATACGTACCACATGTCCTAACCATCTCAATCGGCGTAACTTCAGAGCACCGTCGATTGATTTCCTCAAAGAGAGGTTTAAGAGTGCTTCACTGACCGGGAATGGAACCCAGGCCTGCATATGTGGCTGGGGAATATTCTGTCGCCAAACCATTATCAGATACACGTAAATTCTCTTTCACAGTTTGTAATTTAATTAACCAGAACAAGGGGTTTTCGCGCTTTTTAAACATACATGATTTTTCAGTAATCAATATATATTTTCTGAAGCATATCAATATCTTGGAGTGAAATTATCCTGATAGCACAGGCGCTTTTCGGCGATCATATTTATCATTGTTTTTGACCACAGTTTCTGACAACTTTCAGTAACTAGAATTTTAACTTGTTCCATGGTGGCTGTAAACAGAATCTAGGACGGGGGTTTCATTCATTTTGACTCTTTATTCATTCATTCATTCATTCCTAGTAAGTGCTAATGTTCCCAACCAAATGCGAACCTGGTACGCATCAATTTAGACAACACAATGTTGCCTACTAAGTCACCGAGCCAAAACAGCCACCTATTGGTGAAAGTTTAAGGTCTGAAATGTTTTATCCAAGTCTCCGTTTTCACGTTGACATACTGTAACACTTCACTATTCACCAAGGCATTTGATTTGGGCCTGTTAATTACCATCAAGTGGCTTCCTGAAGTAATTGTTTTTATGGGCTAGCGGTTTCACCGTGGAGGAGTTGCTGTCAACGCTTTACGATGTCTGTGTAATTAAATATCCAAAAAGTAAAGGAAAATTGTCCAAGACTGTATAATCATAATTTGCAACCAAGGCCTCAGCAGTATTCAACTAATTTGAAAAACCAAAAAAGAAACAGGCTGCAGACCTTACACTAGATATAGTAGCGAGTCCGTGTTCGGTTCCTAGAGAAAGCACTCTTAAACATGGCCTAGAAGATAATAAGCACGGAAAAGGGAAAGGCTTGACGGGGACTAGTAACTCCATCATGTAGAAGCAGCAGTATCACAGCTGGTGATACTTTAAAGAATGAGGCCCTGTGTTCCGTTTGAAACTCAAGGAAAGAAGAAAAATGTCTTAATTAGTCTAGTAAATGATTCACCTTTCAAGTCATAGCAGTAGCTCCTACTGCTTTGTTTCGTTTTAGACTAGAAAACTGCTTTTGCAGCTTCGCCTACAGTTGGAAAACTGGCGTGGACAATGCGTTTAGGTAGACGTTGGATGATAGGTAGCTTCATTGCAGGTAGCTATAGGCCAGTTGAGCTTCTCCTCAATGTCCTATTACTTTCTTGTGAGATATGATTGAAGTTCCGTGATTCTCGGATATCCAAAACCAGCAATATCAACTGATATATGACGAGGTTAGAAAAGGATCCAGAGTTGTCAGACCAAAACAATGACACCAAATCATGAAGTTACTTGACTATTGTCTTGAGCTGCGTTGAAAAATGTTAACTCCCTGACTTAGATCTTCAGGACATTGGAAACTGTTGATGGCCTGGATAAAGCACCATATTATCCAAGGAAAGGTTTCAGTATATACTAAACTTCAGATATTTTTTAATGTTTCATTCAAAGAAGGGTTTATCAAGCTTTTTGTCAGTATTAAAGTCACAAGAATGTGTAACAGATTTGTTGTGGAAAAACCTTTGTCCGTCCAGGAAGTTTAGTTCAGTGTTGCCCTCCATCTGTTTGATTTTATTTTGATCCTAGACATTACGTTACGATGAAACATTCAGCGAAGAGACTGTTTTCGACGGCGAATTAATTCACATAGCAATTGTACAATCGCATTTATTTATAATTATTTGTGCGTGTATGTGTGTACATGAGGTTTGTCAAGTTTAATTGATCAGGTAATAACAGAATGGTCTAATATAGAAACAAGGTTAATCAGACAGCAACTAAAGTAAGATTCAGTTAGTAAGTTAGATGACGTAATATAATTGACTAAAATGTTTCAACTTAGGTCAGGATAGCAACAGAGTTAATTACAGGTAGAGACTAAGTAGAAGCGGAGTAGAGAATAGTGCCATTTAAATTAGAACTAAAACTGAGCAAATAAATTGGATGACGTGACATAAATGACTAGAACTTGAGCGTTGTTCAAGTCAGTAACAGTGGTAGTGAGGTGAAGAAATTTAATCGGGTGGGGGTAGGAAACAAGAAAGTTGAAAATGTAAAATATTACAATTGTAAAGACAAAATAATACTAATGAAGAGACAGAAAGAAGTGGAAATCACCTGTCAGGTATTAAGACAGATTACGTCTGTTGCAAGTGTAGTGATTGAACGAACTACTGTATGCAGACTTCAGGGCTTAGCAAGTGAATTGCCATTGCTTCTGCAGTTTTGAAGAAGTCTGACTCGTACACTTTTAGGAAGACTGCTTCGTATTATGTACACGACTTTAAAGTTTGTTTGGGGTGTAGCTTGGTGTCTGGAGTATATCAGATGTTCTAAGATAGAGCTGCGGGGCATCCTTTTTCTATTTTGTAAAACCATGCTGCCAGGCGTTCAGTGATACGTTTGGATAGCAAACTCTGGGTACAACCAACATACCTGGTTCCACACAAGCAGGGGGATTGGTAGATACAAATTGATGAGGCATGTAGTGGTAGCTTATCTTTCACATTCACACGAATCATAGGTTTCGTGGAGAAGGTTAATCGTAGTTCAGCTGTGAAGAAGGTTTTCTTAAGTGAACGTGACAGTTGGTTTTGCAGCATTTCTGCAGCTATAATGAAACATGTCGATCGAATGAATTTGTGAAATTTATTGAACTGATATATTTGAACAAAGCAAGAATTACACTTTTATCAGAATAAAGTGGTACCACCTTTTATTTTATTGCCTTCTCGTCAGCTGCTTACAGGCCAAAGAAATTGTCAAATATATCTACAAAAACAATTTTAACATACTTGCACAGAGTTCATTTTAAACAAAAATCAGTCGATCAATAAAGGGATACAGTAATAATACTATATATATATATCTCCTCAACACGGGCCATGAGGTGGACGTCGAAAAATCGTTCAAAATTATCAGTAGGCAGAAGAGCTCAATTCTCCTCAAGTTTGCTGAAGCCATTTCTATCAAGCGCCTAAAACCTGTTATGTGTGTTCAGAAAGAAGTGGTTATCAGTCTTTGTTCGCTCTGGTAACCGGATATTTTCATCTCTCTTTCATCTGGATACGTAATGCCGAGAGTTTCCATTGTGTATGATTATTGTTGTTCGGAATAGTGTTTAATATTACATATATATATATATATTATTACTGTGTGCATATATTGACTGATTTGGGCCTGTAAGCAGCTGATGAGAAGGCAACGAAATAAAAGATGGTACCACTTTATTTCACTAAAAGTGTAGTTCTTACTTTGTTCAATTTCACTAAGGTAAATAAATGTATGAACTGATATATTTGACAAACTATTCACCTATGTTCATTCATAGCCAACGAAAAGTCGTTATTATATATGAAGCATGAGACTATTGTACACCCGCATTGATCAAAAATACTCGTCTATGTTCTGTCTGTTGTTCTTATACGAAAGAGAATCGACAATATAAATGTATTTATAAATAATCCCTTGACTAAATTACACAATGATAGAATTCAGTCTACACCAATCAGAGGACTAGACGCATCACACTAGTTACTAGTGTCGAATCAAAATACACAATGTCATGCTAATCAAAGTTATCGCATTCATAAAATCATTAGTCAACTTTATTTGACTACTGCTATTTATTTGTTTTTAGACACGTGTTGTGCAACGCTTAAGTTGTGGGCTAAAACTTCAGAGTAAAAGTAAGTTAGTCTGGGTTAACTCGCTTTCATGTTTCTGTCAGTAAACAATGAGTCAATTCCTGAGTTGTTTCAATCTATACTTGATATCTCTAAATAATAACAATAATAATAATAGCTTTATTCTAAAACAAATGTGTTTATACACATTACAAAATTTCCAGCAAGTTTCATTACAAGGCATTTACTTATTGTACATAATCTTCGGATTATACAATAATCGATTATAGTATCATCTGAAGAAATATCCTTCCAGCTGAAGTCTGTCCCAATACTTCTACATAAATATAAAACTTCACCATTGTGGTAGAGTATAACTCCATTGTGGATAAGATTTTATTATGATAAAATCACAAAGTGTAATACAGTAATACTTACTGATGACCACGTTTCAAGCACAAATTATTGCCCCTCATAATCATATCAAGTCACTCAAACAACTTTCTGGTTTCATTTATATACATGAGTAAAATATGGTGGAGATATGTGGATGATACTTTCACAGTGTTAAAAACAGAATATATCTCTAGCTTCTTTACACACATAAACTCACTAGTAGAAGGAGTAAAATTCATATTCGAATCGGAAAAAGAACAAGGAGAATTGGGTGTGATGTTAGATTGCAAAATAAGATGAATAGAAGAAGGTAAACTGCACACTTGTATTTATAAAATGCCAATGCATTCTGCTAATAGATATTTACACTTCAATTTATCTCATCCGTTGTCTATCTGTTTGTGAAGGCAGGCCTAGTTAAGTGTCTAACAAACCGAACAATAACACTAAATAGTGCAAGAATAGACCTAAATGATGAAATGAAACAGATAAAAGAAGCGTTATTGTCAAATAGCTAACTAACCAATAAAATTCATTAGGAAGATCAGAAAAGGTCGAAAGCAAAATAAAAATAATGAGGGAAATAATCGTGGTAAGATAGATAAGAGGGAATATAAGTCATTTACCGTTATACCATATGAGGAGGGGATATCTGAGACCCTACGTAGGATGCCTAATAAGGAAGGAATTAGCGAGGTGGCATTTAAACCTACTAACTCATTCAGATAGGACAAGCTCTGTAAGCTGACCTAATTAAACAAAATAATATAATATATAAGTAACTGTGAGTGAGGTCAACTACATAGGTCAAACTAGTAGGTCGGGGGTAGTCAGATTGTCGGAACATAACAATTTAGCTAAGGCAACAATGGTTGACCCCGAAAAGATAAGTAATTTAGAAAAAAGCTCAGCAATTGCACTGCATGCATTAACACACAACCGCACAATATGATGGGAGAGGGTTAAAATTCTTAAACGTAATGTAGGTAGATGGAAGTAGAGAGAGAAATTGATTACTGATTCCTGGTTCATCGAATCTACACTCAACACAGCACATGTAACAGACATGATTCAATGCAAATATCAGAAATATGCATGGAAGATATTATTACCACCAGTCAGTCAGTCAAATCAGAGGACAATAATAAATAATCTCGAAGTTCTATTTCAATTCAATTCAGGTACATCACAACATTGTAACAAGTTACTTATTTTGACTATAATAACACTCGTCTTATTTCCTATCTGAACGTATTTGATGAATAACACTCATTTTATTATTTCTGAATGTACATTATCACATATTGAATATTATTGAAATATCTAGTGAATTTCACACAAGTGTATCAATGAAGGAAAAAGTTGTGTGAGTGAGTGACTTGATATGATTATCACTGGCAATAATTTGTCCTCGAAACGTGGACATCAATTAATATCACTGTGTAACACTGTGTGCGTCGGTGGCACAGTGGTTAGGACTCTCGCCGACCATGCACATGGTCCCGGGTTCGAGCCCTCGCCGACCCACACCTGATATCTATGGTCGGCCTGCGAATTTTGGGCTACCGATATCCATGCTGAAAATTCCATACTTGTACCAAAAATACAGTGTGGAATCAAGCTGTAATCAAAAATAAATAAAAAAAACTGTACCAAAAATACAGTGTGGAATCAAGCTGTAATCAAAAATAAATAAATAAAAAAAATAAATAAAAAAAACTGTACCAAAAATACAGTGTGGAATCAAGCTGTAAATCAAAAATCAAAAAAAATCAAAAATAATTTATCAAAATAAAATCTTATCTTTAATGGAGTTATTTTCTTTCCCTATTTCCACTGAAAGTTCCCTAGCAGTAGGTAAGAAGTTGATTAAATTGTGTGGGATTATAGATTGGGTTTCAAAGCGCTAATTAAATCATTAAAACAAGTAGGAAACGGAGTAAACACGATGCGTTTTGATGGATGGAAAATTTAGATGACTCACCCGTCTAAGCAGGTCACCGAAATGATAAAACTCAGAAGACTGAGGGATGTGTTAACTTAATGCATTAAAATAAGCCAAACTCGTGGAGAAATCTAAAAGTTCACTTCAATTCAAATTGAAGTATGCGATTAGGATGTTGCCTAGTAGGGCGGAGGGGCAACGAAAGCCTCGCAAATTAGCTATCCAGCTCAGACAACACAAGCACATCAAAAGCAGGTAACATGGAGGAAATTGTCTGTGGAAAAAATTGAGGCTTAAATGCAACTATGAAGCCAGTTAAGTAAGACAGCAGACGTGCTGTTGAAGGTCTGTGTTCCACTGGTAATAATCATCTGGTTGGCCCTTTCCTACCACTTCAGCTTTTGTATTCGTCCTGAACATCATCGCACAGTATTTTTTTTCCTTCACATTCCCAGTGGAACATAGGGCTTCAAGCTAGTGGCTTGAAGTTTCTGTAGCTGTGTTTATTTTAACAGGATGGGGTTGCTAGCCTCATGCCCAACCTTTCCTCTTTACCAGCATTATTTCTGGCCTAGAGAAGTAAAGGAGTGCGTCTGTGGCCGGGGATCGAACCCCGGACCATACGCATGGCCGGCGAGCGTCCTAACTGCTGTGTCACCGACTCACACAGTATTGCATTAATTTAAAAGTTACAATATAAAAGTTTAGTGAAGACGAGAGTAAGTTCACGATTCAGTCCCTCTTTTAAAAAAATATTTTTGTATTCTTTTTATTTTAGATACATTGGAGGAGACCATTTCACTGAATGTTAAACCAATACCCATATTACAGAAAAGAAATCTATAAACTACTCTTCCTGAATCCCCTTCCCAGTTTTTGAGAACTAAACACCCTGATTTATTCCTACCTTTTTCTAAATTTTAATCCTAATGTGTGCATAAAATAACTTCCTAGTTTGTATAACTATTCTTTTTAAATAAACCGTGTTTATTTTTGGTAACGAACTCTTCAATTTTTCTATGAACTTCAAACCAATCTCTAAATAAATGTGAAAATTTCTAGCTGAAAATCTTTTATTACTGACAAAAACTTACAAGTAGTGTAATGACAGAAGACAAGGGTTAGGCAACAGATCGTTTACTGAGTAGATATTATTAGCGTTATTGCTTGCAGAGAAGTGACGTTTTCTGATTGGTTGTTTTACTGCTGAAGGTTATTATGTCAATCTCTTCGTTGCCGTTTCTTATACAGTCCGTTGATATATCTGCGAATCGTATCCGCCCACTCAAAGTCTGCTGTGACTGGTTGTTGGTTTCCTCAAGGTAAGGCTTTGTCTTGTCTTCTTTCCTGACCCAGTTTCGGCTGGCAGACAGCTCTCACCACAGTAGTACACTGTGTAAGTCATATCTTCTACAAGAATGCTGGTTAGTAGAGAGACGGATTACTAATTGCGAAGAGGAGAAATGAGAGATTCTTACTATGACACATATACACAATACACTACTTATAAACTTTTGTCAGTAGCATACGCTATAGCAGGTGAAAAATTAAAGTTCAGTAACAACACGACAATGTATACCACTGGCGTTAATGTCAATAATTACAAAACGGAAATGTTAAACAGCAGTGCTTAGTAGCCACATTAATTTGACTCAAACATCAGACAACTAATCATCTCGTTTGGTTCTCGAGCTTTTCATCGGTGTACTCGATCTGGATCAGCTCAGGGAGTTGAATAATTTCAAACCATCCAAATTCTGTCTAATTACTTAGGTGGAAACTGGTGAAACTAGTGAATCCTATTCATAAGCTATTAATGCTGTTCGCTGTATTCCTGTATTTTCACTCTACACTCTCTTCTGCATAATCAGGCCCATCACAATCAGGAACATCATCGGTGATAGTAGGCAGGCTTCCTTGTCTTGCTCCTGTCCCTACTTGAAAGGCTTCTCTGAGTTTTACACTGTAGATCACTTGTGAAAATTTTGTCGTCACATAAATTGATCACCGCATAAGGTATTGTTGAGTCTTGTATTTATTTGCACGAGCATAAAGTCTATTATAATCTCCTATATTCCCACCTGATGAGGTATAGGGAACAGTTGTGAATGGAGAAGTTTCTCAAAATCAGACAAGACGATTTTTGCCAAGTTCTTGTCTGAGTTCTGGTGACTGCTCAGAACACTATTCACAAAATGGTTCACGAGCACAAGACTTATACTACCGAGAGATTTGAATGTCATTCACAAAGCAACAAAGTCTTCTTTCAGGTGGCATGATAAAGATTGGGGAGGCTCAACAGAGAAGAGAGAGTTTAAAAACTGTAAAATTAGATGCTGAATAACACCAGATGTTCTTAACTCCCGAGCGGTGAAGGTTAGACAAAAAGGTATCTCTAGACTTTAAAACGGATGTGAGACATCCAGCATCCAGTCTACATCACAGCAAGCTTACTTAACAGAATAGACGTTTGGCGGAGAGTCGACAGCTAATGTGTAATCCAAGAAAAGTAATTAGTTTTACAGGAACAAATAGGTTTGTAAGAAATTTCTTTCTATGTCACCTATCTAAGTCTATAAAAGTTGCTGTTACGAACTGGCTGCTTTTCATTTTGTGTATTTCCTAATAGGAGCCAGAGTTTCTTCTGATTCTGTATAACATCATTTCTGAGTTGTTAAAGACAGAAACAGCACCTACAAATTGACAATAGCAATTTAATTAATATGCCATCACGCTCTTTGCACTAGTCATTATAGCGCTAAAAAAAACATTCAATTATTACTTCAAGCGACGTAGCACAGTATAAGTAGTTGGTATAACAAAGGTGAATTATCAGTTTTTCTTGTAGAGACGTCTCGTTTCTTTTTCATTCGCCGAGCAAGTGTATGTCTGTGGTGTTTATAGGACAATCAAATAATGAAACTAGTTTACTGGACTAGTGTTTTGATTATATGTACATTTCTGGTACACCACAAAAATCTTGCTTCTATGTCACATGTTAAAGACACTTCCATCGTCGTCTTAATTATGCGTTGTTGGTTCATTGGCAGAAATTCTGCACCCCACTCGAGAGGTCCAGGTTCATGTTTTGACTAGTTAACTCTTAAGCACTGTCTGAACTACTTGTTGATAGTAAACCTGTAAAAGAAAGGAGGTTGGCTGTGAGGGTAACAGTTGAACCTCGTAAAAGCAACCATGTCACCAGTGAATGTTTACTTTTGACCGATTGGAACATATCGAATCCCTGCAAAAAAGCTCATGAAGATGAATCTGATGCTCGCTAGTGACTGGCCGCAGGATTAAACCGCCTGAAGTTCTAGTGAAATGTCATGACCAGTGGGGTCTACACGATCGAGAATCAGACGAATACTCGCCTCCAATGACATTAGCTGATAGTCGCGCTAAAATCACGAATTGATAGAAGTTCGACTTCATGTGCTAGTCATTGAGTCGGATACCAGTGACTGAGTGGTCTACTAGCTTTCCATGTAACCAGAAGGTCGTGGGTTCGAGCCGTAGTAGTGGGTGCACGCTGCCGATGAGTTTAAAACCAGGACAAAGCAACTGTCTACTATTCCTTGCTTTTCAATGGTTCTCTGACTGATACCAATCCGTGACCAAACTTGAATACTAAAGTCTAATTAAGATTTTGTTATATTTACCCTTACGAATAAGTACTTGAACAACAGAAAGTTGAATCAAGTTTACAAGAAACCTGAAGATTTCCAGGTGACTGAAAGTAACCGGTAAGAACCTCTTGATATAGATTTCATGCTTGTTGACATTTATCCATAATGCGAATCTATAACTCTGAAAGAATGGGCGTCTTCCTGGAAATTTCGTCAGAATAAACACTTAAAACTAGACGTATGAATTACAGTCTTACGAGATGTCAATCAAGAGTCTGAATAGAACAGTGGTAACATTTCTGACAGCAATATTGGATAACACGGGTTCGAAACTCAGAGAGGACATGAGTTCCTCCAACTTTGCTGATACGCCTCCTTCATGCCAACACGCGCGGAAACTAAGTCCAGAGATTCCTGTCAACTCTCTGCCACAATTTAACATCATTAACACCTCGATGTTAAGCCACCTAGGTTTGGTGACCAAACTGTAAGCTTCACTGAGGGAATTCAGCCTGCATCAATACACCCAAAAATAGAAATATGACATTATTCACTCATAAGCCACACACAATTCAATAGATTTTTACAATTCATCTTATTTTTTATTTACTTTGGTTTATTTATTTGTCATGCATCCATTTCTCATTAGTGCATATGCAATACAACTGCTTATCCTTCTCGTTTATTTTTAACCGAAGACTTTTTAACCTTAGGTGGGTGACTTTTATTTAGTTGTGTTCTTTAAGTTCTAATTCCATTATAGATAAGATTTTATTTTGATAAATCGCACAGTGTTTACAGTTATATGAACTGATGACGTTTCGAGCACAAACTATTGCTCATAATCATATCAAGTTACTCACACAACTTTGATCTCTCATTTATATACATATGTGGAATGGATTAGATATTGGATTAAAAATCAATGTGAGATAATGTACATTCAGAAATAATCGTACGAGTGTTGTTGATCAATTGCAATTAGATGGGAAAATTGGACGAGTGTTTTTACAGTCATAATAAGCTGCTTGTTAGAATGTGTTTGAATTGAAATAGAATTTTAAGATTATTTATTATCTTCTTCTGGTTTGACTGATGGCATTAATACGAGTGTTATTGATCTACTATAATCAGATGGAAGATACGACGAGTGTTTTAATAGTCATAATAAGTTTTTTGTTAGGATGTTGTGATGTGTTTGAATCGAAATAGAATTTTAATATTATTTATTACCCTCTTCTGATTTGACCTGCGGTAATAATATCTTCCATATCTCTGGTATTTGCATTGAGTCATTTTTGTTGCATGTGTTGGGTGTGGACTCGATAAATAAGGATTCCGTAATCAACCTCTCTCTCCACTTAGCTATATTACTTTTTAGAATTTTAACCCTATCCCACCCTATTGTGTGGTTGTTTGTTATTGCATGAAGTGCAATAGCTGAGCTTTTTTCTAAATTACTTATCTTTTTAGGGTCAACCATTCTTACCTTAGCTAAATTCTTATGTTCTGTTAATCTGACTATCCCTGACCTACTAGTTTGACCTATGTAGTTGACCTCACAGTTATTGCAGGGTATTTTGTAAATTATATTATTTTGTTTAATTGGATCCACCGGGTCTTTTAGCCTACAGAGCTTGTCTCTGAGTGAGTTTGTAGGTTTGAATGCCACCCTAATTCCTGCTTTATTAAGAATCCTACGTAGGGCCTCAGATGTGCTTTCCTTATATGGTATAACAGTGGATGACTTATATTCTTTCTTATTTGTGTTATCATTAATAGTTTCACCATTATTTTTATTTTGCTTTTGGTTTTTGGTGATCTTCCTAATGAATTTTATAGGATAGTTATTCAACACCAACGCTTCTTCTATCTGTTTTATTTCATCATTTAGGTCTTTTTTTGTGCTACTTAGTGCTATGGCTCGATTTGTTAGACACTTTACTAAGCCTGCCTTAACAGTTAACGGATGAGACGAATTAAAGTCTAAATATCTATTAGAATGCGTTGGTTTTCTATAAACACTAGTGTGTAGTTTGCCTTCTTCTATTCGTTTTATTTTACAATCTAACATAGCTAATTCTCCTAGTTCATTTTCTGATTCAAATGTGAATTTAATTCCTTCTACTTGTGAGTTTATATGTGTCAGGAAGCTAGAGATATGTTCTGTTTTTAACACCGTGAAAGTGTCATCCACATATCTCCACCATATTTTTG